AACTCTCAAGTTTTCAAGGGCCCCATCCAGGTTTCATGCAAATGCAGTATACATTTCATGTGTTATCATGTAACCAATCTTTTTTTCATAGCATGGCCATGGATTGATTTGACTTGATGTAAGCAATGGCATGTTGAGGAAGCATTCCCCCCAAAACAGAATGTCACCATTTTTGTAATAACATGAACAATGACCTTCACCTTTGACCAAGGCATCTTAAAATAAACCTAGAGTAGGTATTTACCAAGTTACCAAGGTGATGAAAGCAGGAATTAAATGGCATAAGATGACCACAAAATTCTCATGTGTTTTCTTGCAATCTTGACTTTCAGTCATGTCTGGTCTAAATGAATTCCCATGTGGAAGATGTGGACTGCAGAATATCCTGATGTCTACAAGCTCTGTCTAATTTCAAAGATCAAAGTTTTAAACAAAATTGTTTTATTTGAAAACAAGAGTCATCAGTATTTTCACAAGTTGAATCATTCTTCACCAGTTTCAGGTGACAGCTGTACCACTTTTAGAGGAATGAAATATTTTACTTAAGTATGTCTTGGATAACCATCAGATATTTCAGAGAAAGGTCTGTATTAGAGTTCACACACGCCAAAGCATAAAAATCAGACTGTTATATTAATACTCAAATAAACACCTAACGTGTATCCGATAACATCCCCGTAGTTCCAATGTTACATTGCTGAACCAAGTCTGCCTTAGTGTTACACTCAGGACCACTTGCTTTGGATCAGTATCTTAAACATTCACTGATCAGTGTGCCGAACAGAACATCAACATAAACTAAAGTTTAGAGGACATACATTTCACTGAACATATTCATATCATCAATGTCATCATGGCTGCCATGGAACAAGCAGCCTGGAAGACATCTGTTCCTGATGTAATAAGGTATCCAGGACAGCTCTTCAATGGTAGCCTGGAGTGCATTCAAAAGACAAAGCATGGACATTTCTTGTGAATGGTCCCGTGTTCAGATCTACTTTTTGCTCTTTTGCTTACAGGACTTGACAGGACTATCTACCTGAACTTGGTCATTATTTCTAATAATTCTACTCCGAGCAAATACAGTACCAGCCTTTAAGATGTGGAGTGTCATTTTGACACTGGAGGCAATTGCAATCCTGGGGACATCTGGGCACTGAAAGCAGTGCAGGTTACCAACCAAATCGGCAAGTCCAGTTTAGTTGTTCCTGACAGTGCAAACTTCCCTATCCCTTCACCAAATGGTCATGTTTGACAAGCTAAACTGTATTCTGAAGGTCTTTGCTCACCTCAGTGGCATTCCAAGAATGTCAGGAACTGGACAAGAAGATAGTCTTGAAGTAAAGTGGTATACCTTTTCCGACATTATCAAATTAATCTTAGTTTCAGGAAATTTGTGTCTTGTTGCTGCCCATGCATTACTGATTCTGGTAAGACTCACCTGTATTTTACAATCAAAACTTCAATGAAGTGCATTTCACTTCATGCCGATGTGGTCATTCACTCAGGTGACAAGTCATGAAATAGACAGGTGAAATACACAGCACAGTGGATGTAGCTGCACACATCAATATCAATATGGTTAGTGTTCTATCCCACTGATTAACAAGTGAAAATATTGAATATTGATTCCAGTGTACCTTTACTAGGCTTTAGCTTTCTGAGTCAAGAATATATCACTTCCAGCGTATAAACCTAAAGCAGACCTTCTCACCAACATTTCATGAAAATGAAATACAACATAAACATGTATTGAAATACTATATAAATTTTATTCTCACAAGGAAAAATAAACAGAAAGCTAACATTAAAGTTGCAATGGTTAGTCCCTTTTGCTGACCAATTATCTCAGACTAATCTGCCATTAAAACTTAAGCAAATAAAGTGCATCTCTCAAAACAGTTTCTCAGCTTTCAAACCACCTGTATTCAGCTACTCCATAGCTCAATGTCATTTTCATTATTAGGATTTCATTATCTAAAAATGTGGAAATAACACAACAATAAATTCACCTTTAAAATAAGACTTGCACATTTCTGAAACCCTGCAATCCACAGGTTTCCAGAAAGACAAATGCAAAAAAACATAGAATACCAACATCAGAATAAAAACCTTTTCAAAGCCTTTACCATATAAAAAACCCAGCAAAGATTCTTACAGTTCTTACATCTTAGACCTACAGTGCTTATGCCTTCAATATACTTACGCATTTTATTCAGATTTTCAAATTTGATGTGGTTCCAAACACACAAACTTCATAACCAGAAATGGACATTGATAAACTTTTCAGAAAGGTGTATATTACAAAACATTAATTTATAGGGTACAAGCTACACACAAAAAGGAAAACATTCATATGTGACTTGTAATCATACTTCAACATTTTGAAAGCGTTACCTCAAACTCAAATCTTTTTCGTAAAATATCTAAAGTAGTCATATGTTAGGGTGAAAAGTTAATTTGTTGTACAGGCTAACTAAAATCAATCCAAAATTTAAAAGTAACAGTGAGCGAGTGAGTTGGCTTTAACGCCGCTTTTAACAGTATTCCAGTCTTATCACGGCTTGTCAGCTTAAAGCGGGAGGTGAAACCCACGAGCACGGGTATGGTGCTGACAAACCTAGAAACATAATCGGGGCGAACCGGGATTCGAACCCACAATCATAGTTTCTGGCATGCCCAAGAGACGCAACACTGCACAGTCAATCGCGGCACCTTAGACGACGGGGCCACCCAGGCCCCCTTAAAAGTAACATGCAGTCTAGATATTTGTTGAGTTCTGTACACAGGTAATGAATTTCTGGTTTATTTCTGGTTTATGTATCAATAGTTCTGTACTGTCGCTTGAAGGGGAAAGACAATTGAGAGGATGATCTTTTTAATATAGCGAGTGAGTTGGGTTTAGCACCACTTTTAACAGTATATCAACGCATTTCAACTTATTGTGAGAGGAAAGCCTGAAGTGATGCAGGTCTTAGACGACCTACAATCACAAGTAAGGTGCTGACAAACCTAGAAACATAATCAGTGCGAACCAGGATTCAAACCCACATTCAAAGGTTTCTGGTTCACAGGAAACTTGAACATATGTTTTTAGAAAGATCACCATGATTGTCAAGTTTAGGGTCAAAACCTCAAGGTAGGTAGTGTTATGACAATATTATTAATGATTAAACAAATTATTACATGATTCATAAATGCTATTCCTATATAAGGTGAACACTTTAATATTCAAAGTATTCACAACAGTGCTTATTGTGACATATTGTTGATTCTTTACTCTCCCAAAAAGGAACTTTGTATTGTTGATTCTTTACTCTCCCAAAGGAACTTTTAAACATGGGACAGAATGCATCAGGCCAGTAGACTTGGAGCCGATTCTTCCCTGCAAGATGCACTCCCAAGATCAGTTCTTCACAGCTCAATAAGAAGGCTTCATCATCATTATCATCATTATTACTGTCGTCTGTGTGAATCAGTGTAGGGCTAGTTGTCCAACGTTGGACCTTGGGGACGTCACAGTTAGGTCATGACACAACATACATCATGGAACCCAACTTATCATCATAAAACATACACAGCCAAGATATGTGCAGGCTCTGGGCTTTTGTTCCGCTATTATCAGTACCAATGTTGTTTGTGAGATGGTCTCCACCTTTGATCTCGCTCCCACCATGATAGAAATGGGAATAACTCCTTTTTCTCTAAAATATCATTGTTAATTCAACAACACCAACACACAAATTTGGTACATAACACCAATACCCAACTTTTAAGTCAACATTTGATACATTATGGCTCTGACCCAAAAGTTGCAAAAACAATATACACAACAATAAAACAACATTGATTGAATTGATGCCCACACCCTCAGCAATGGTTTGTCTGATTTCAGCTTAAACTTTGAAACAGCTGTAGTTGGTACTGATTGCTGCAGCTTAACACATCATACACTCAACAAATCTAAACATTATACTGTGTATCCATTTAAGATAAGGGACTGGTCAGTTATTAAAGGTTGGGGGGGGGGGGGGGGGGGCAGAAAGATGGCGCTGGTCTTAGTACTGTATTATATTTTGCCGACCCATACCCCCATTTAATGGAACATTTTTTCATGTCTCCTCCCTATAATAAATGCTGTCCCTAAATAATGTTCAAATTTATAAAAAAAATATATATTTTTGCTACACCCCCACCCCCCAATAAAAAAACACACTCTCACACACCATGATGACACTGGCCCAATATTGTAAATAACCAGTCCCTAATACAAAATCAAACAAACCATAGGTATTTAAAAAAGCATCATGTCTAAGAATCCTAATACATCCAATGCTGCTGCTTTTCTAAAATTCCATTTTCATGTGTGGTAATATTTTCTGAGTTATTTATGCCTTAATTTATGAAATACACATCATTTGTCTGGAAAATAAGAGTGTTTACAATCAGGCATGAGTCACGCCATCCTGGTATCACATGGGAAGCAGTCATTGTCTTGAAAAATCTATTTGCTGGATTTATAAATAGACAGTCAAGCCTGTGTTCAGATATGTTGTTCGGTATGCATTTATCACTCTTTAACACTGAGGAAGCGTATCCCTCAGTGACCAAGCTGAACCCAACGCCTTCCCTTTACGAATGAGTGACCTCAAGGCGGACCACAGGGCGCTGCGTTGAGGTCGATGTTGCCAACTGCAACTTGCAAGGCGTGTATTTACATAATGACATCTCGCATCTTCTCTGCATCGCAGTAAACGGCCGAATTAGCGTTGCCCAGTATCCTAGTTAATAATCACCATTTATAAGCAGCATTTGCTGCCAACTATGACGTAGGCAATAGTTCGTAACCTTGCGAAAAAACAAGCCCGGCATCTCTCCGAATTTTAGCTATGGCATCGCGAGAGAGCCTGTGGTTTGTCAGATTCGAGACTCTACACCGTCCACACATGTGTCCAGCAATCGAGTCTACGGATCATAACACACTATATCGACAAACCTACCTGGTATATGACGCAATAATATTCACGTCTTGTGAAAATTCAAGCAACGATCAGAAGGAAGAACTCGCAATCTCTCCGAAAAGAAATTATTTCCAGCATACACCCCTTGAAAACAGCGTAGAATCTAATGGCGCGGTTGGCCGATTTGTGATTGTTATGGGAAACAACCAATCAGATATCCGTATTTCGTCACATGGTTTCATCGCGTCAGCCCGAGGCCTACAGTTCAACCAAGGCAAGGAGGACTTTCCCTGTCGATATCAGGTGTTCATCAAGACAGTTCATGTGTGGTCGAAGTCTTCGTTATATATCTTGAATGTTGAAACTTGCATTAAAGGGACATTTAATCACAGCTATACTATAAAGTATGATAAGTCGTCATAGCTAACATTGCCTATGTCACAATGAAGTAGCGTCTTACTATATTTATGCCTTTGATGTCTCTGTCATCAAATCGTTTGTGCACTTGATTCATATATTTTATTGCATGAACATTTAACGTCCCAACCCTTTTAACCAATTAAAAGTATTTTGTTTTGTTACATATCAAAACAAACAGAGCCAACAGTTTTTTGTTGTTTGTTTTTTTATAGTTAAGTTCAATTAAATTTACCAACATGTTTTTTCAATGAATTTACCATATGTTTGAACAAAATATTATTCAAATGTGGTCTGCAATTGTTAACAGATGACATTGTCTCTCTATACCTGAATTATCTTAAACTTATATCCATTTTTGTTACTTTCGCTTCCAACAGCGGTCTCGTAGTTTTCAAGAATATTTTTTGTTAAAGCTGATTTTGTATACAATCATATCTAAATGTATGATAACGAATTTTCGTGACCCTAAATATTTTTGGATACTTTTGTTTATATTTCTTTAGATTTTGCAAACACAAAACTACTTTTGAAGTCGCAAATACAAGAGATGGTGAACCGTCCCTGTGTGTTAAGTAGGGAACATTTACATTTCAAGGTTTTACATTTGAAATGAAATAATTTAATTTTCCGGAAGACAACTACACACAAAGTCAATCTGCACACAAAGTATATAATAAATAGGATATTCCATGTGTCTCGTGAAATATCATTTTTCTCTCATCTGGTGACGGGGGCAAAGGAAATATTTTCACGAGTTCGATGTAGTTGTCTTCCGGATAATTAAATTATTTCATTACAAATGTAAAATCTTACTTACAATAAGCTTGATCCTAGTTTCCCCTAAGCGACGCCTAGGCTGTTTGTCAGTATGTTGGATCAACACTGCGCAAAGAAAATGTTGTAGCATATACCTACCTATTAATGCAAGTACCTATACTGTCACAAGGCGCACATGTAACCCAGAAGATAAAACAAATTACATGTGGTACCTTCAGTATCAGGAATGAGAATATGGCACATTTCAGTTTAAAAATTTATGTAATACAAAAGTAGAAAACATAGTATGAAGACAAAACGTGTAATATGTTCACACAACAATGACTTCTTGAAAGATTTGTTATTATGTTGACATTATATACTAAACCAAATTAAAAACTTAACAATCCTAAAATTTTAACATTTTGACCAGTTATCATTGTGGGGCCCTTATTGTGTATTTAAACAGTAATGGACACGTATCGTCTTCAGATAACACCCGTTTTTGTGCAGGTGAATCGATCAAAAATCATGTGCAGAGCACTATAGTGGCAAAAGTATTTTTTCACGTGCAACTGGTCACGTGGCCATAATACCGCACGTGTTTTCAGCCATATTTGTTAGCAGTCATTAACAAAAAAAGAAAAACACAAGAAAACAAAAGTCTTTACGGCCATTTGTCATGCCACGCCTTTCAAGTGTGCAACGTGAACGTGCCATCGGCATGTTGCAGACGGGAACGTCCGTAGCTGAAGTCGCAAGGACGATGGGTTGTAGTCGACGGACTGTTTATTATTTACAGACGCGTCTACAGCAAATGGGTACCACTGCTGATCGCCCTCGGCCAGGTCGACCACGTGTGACGTCACATGCAGAGGATCGTCAGATTGTCTTACGTCACCTCCGTAACCGATTTTTGACGGCTACATCAACCAGAAATGAACTGTTTAGGGGTAGACTGAGTGCGCAAACTGTTCGAAACCGTCTGAGAACTAAACTGCTCACCTTCAAGCACGACGGCCATACTGCGGGCCGATTCTTACTCAGTTACACAGACGTCAACGTCAATTGTGGGCACAGCGACACTTACGATGGACTCAGAGGAGTTGGAATCAAGTCGTCTTCAGTGATGAATCCCGATTTAATCCTCGATTTGCTGATGGTAGGGCCAGGTTGTGGAGGCGGCGTCATGAACGTTACGCCCAGTGTTGTGTACAGGAAGTTGACAGATTTCGAGGCGGAAGTGTCATGGTGTGGGGTGCTTTCTGTGGCAATGCACGTTCCAGGCTTCTTGTCATCCGTGGCAACCTCAACGCAGCTGCTTACCGCGACCAGGTACTGGCACCAGAACTTCTGCCTTTTATGGCAGCACATGGACCCGGTTTGATCTTCCAACACGACAATGCCAGACCCCACACAGCAATTTTGACAAGGAATTTCCTTCAGAATGCGGGAGTCAACGTCATGGACTGGCCGTCAAGGTCTCCCGACCTCAATCCCATCGAACACGTCTGGGGTGCTCTTGGCAGAAGTCTGCGCACTCTCCAGAACCAACCACGGGATTTTGCAAGATCTTGGCACCATTTTTCAGCAACAATGGCGTCGTCTTCCCAATTATGTGTTCAATAGCATCACAAGGTCCATGCGGAGGCGTTGTGTGGCAGTTGTCAACGCACATGGTGGCCATACACGCTACTGAACACTGAACTTGTGTGCCATCAGATTCTCGTGCTTGGGACTTATGATTTAAACTGTTGATGTTACTACCGAATACCGTAGGTGCTTGGAACAAATTATGGTTACCACCGTTTATTAAAATCCTTCTTTGGACATTAATGATTAAAAATTACCTTCTCTGATACATTTTTCCGTTGCATATCACATATGGGATTACTTTTAAAAATTTAAAGTTTTTATTTTGACTCAGTATATGTTATAAAATAGTGTTAACATTTTTCAATGAATATTTTAACCTTTTCTTTTTAGGATCTCTCAGGATCAACTGTTTGCGAAAGCTTGATCTAGTAAGAAAACTTTTCGAAGAAGTGTCATAAGATGTTACCTGAGTGTAAACCAACTCCATGGCAAGATGTTACCAGTGTTTAAACCAACTCCATGGCAAGATGTTACGAGTGTTTAATCCAACTTCATGAAAAGATGGTACCAGTGTTTAAACCATCTTCATGGCAACGTATATCCAGTGTTTAGACCAACTCCATGACAAGATGTATCCAGTGTTTAAAACAACTCCATGGCAAGTTGTGACCAGTGTTTAAACCAACCTCATGGCAAGGTGTATCCAGTGTTTAGACCAACTCCATGGCAAGATGTATCCAGTGTTTAAACCAACTCCATGGCAAGATGTATCCAGTGTTTAAACCAACTCCATGGCAAGGTGTATCCAGTCTTTAAACCAACTTCATGGCAAGATGTTACCAGTGTTTAGACCAACTTCATGGCAAGATGTTACCAGTGTTTAGACCATCTTCATGACAAGGTGTATCCAGTGTTTAGACCAACTCCATGGCAAGATGTATCCAGTGTTTAAACCAACTCCATGGCAAGGTGTATCCAGTGTTTAACCAACTTCATGGCAAGATGTATCCAGTGTTTAAATCAACTCCATGGCAAGGTGTATCCAGTGTTTTAACCAACTTCATGGCAAGATGTATCCAGTGTTTGAACCAACTTCATGGCAAGGTGTATCCAGTGTTTAAACCAACTCCATGGCAAGGTGTATCCATAGTTTAGACCAACTCAATGGCAAGATGTATCCAGTGTTTAAACCAACTCCATGGCAAGGTGTATCCAGTGTTTAAACCAACTTCATGGCAAGATGTATCCAGTGTTTGAACCAACTTCATGGCAAGATGTATCCAGTGTTTGAACCAACTTCATGGCAAGATGTAACCAGTGTTTAGAACAACTTCATGGCAAGATGTTACCAGTGTTTAAACCAACTCCATGGAAAGATGTTACCAGTGTTTAGACTAAATTCATGGCAAGATGTTACCATTGTTTAAACCAACTCCATGGCAAGATGTTACCAGTGTTTAATCCAACTCCATGGCAAGATGTATCCAGTGTTTAAACCAACTCCATAGCAAGGTGTATCCAGTGTTTAACCAACTTCATGGCAAGATGTATCCAGTGTTTAAATCAACTCCATGGCAAGGTGTATCCAGTCTTTAAACCAACTTCATGGCAAGATGTATCCAGTGTTTGAACCAACTTCATGGCAAGATGTTACCAGTGTTTAGACCAACTTCATGGCAAAATGTTACCAGTGTTTAAACCAACTCCATGGGAAGATGTTACCAGTGTTTAGACCATCTTCATGACAAGGTGTATCCATAGTTTAGACCAACTCCATGGCAAGATGTATCCAGTGTTTAAACCAACTCCATGGCAAGGTGTATCCAGTGTTTAAACCAACTTCATGGCAAGATGTATCCAGTGTTTGAACCAACTTCATGGCAAGGTGTATCCAGTGTTTAAACCAACTCCATGGCAAGGTGTATCCAGTGTTTAAACCAACTTCATGGCAAGATGTATCCAGTGTTTGAACTAACTTCATGGCAAGATGTTACCAGTGTTTAAACCAACTTCATGGCAAGATGTATCCAGTGTTTAAACCAACTTCATGGCAAGATGTTTCCAGTGTTTAAACCAACTTCATGGCAAGGTGTTACCAGTGTTGAAGTCGAATTCATCTGCTTCATGGTCAGGTGTTTCCATTGGAAGTCGAATTCATCTGCTTTATGGCAAGGTGTTACCAGTGTTGAAGTCGAATTCATCTGCTTCATGGTCAGGTGTTTCCATTGGAAGTTGAATTCATGTGCTTCATGGCAAGACGTTACGTATGTTTAAGCCAAATTCATGTGCTTCATGGCAAGTTCTTACATGTGTTTTAGCCAAATTCATGTGCTTCATGGCAAGGTCTTACATGTGTTTAAGCTGAATTCATGTGCTCCATGGCAAAATCTTACATGTGTTTAAGCCAAATTCATGTGCTTCATGGCAAGATCTTACATGTGTTTAAGCCAAATTCATGTGCTTCATGGCAAGACGTTGCACGTGTTTAAGCCAAATTCATCTGCTTTACGGCAAGCTGTTACATATGTTTAAGCCAAATTCATCTGCTTCATGGTAAGGTGTTTCCACTGGAAGTCGAATTCATGTGCTTCATGACAAGATCTTACAGTATTCCAGGTATCTCAGGATGTGTCTGTGTTCCCAGCATTACCAGTGTGATTAAGCTGACTATTAATTTCCATGACAAATCAGTACCAACTTTTAACATAAAACATGAACCAGTCAGTCAGTACGTTTGTGTATTAGAATTTTATTTTAAACCATGTATGAGAAATATGTACATTTCTATGAGACATCCAATGTAACAATCATCTGTGTAATAGCAAACCAGCACCACTGGGCAGAGCAGTCCTCAGCAGTTCACTCTAATACTGTCTGTACTGGACCAAGGTAGCAGGCGGTACACCCTTCCACAGCCAGTTTTCAGTAGCATATAGTAGCACATGCACACGACAGAATACACAAGCTGCCATGTAATGTACTTTGTTACTGTGGAGTATATTTGTACTGTTGTCGGCAAGTTTATCCTTGTTCAAACAGTACCAAGTCTGAATGAACAATGGCACATTGATGTTAATGCTGAAATGATTTATAAAAATAATAAGTGCATCGAAACACCATAACAACTAATGCTTCCATTGGCTAAAGAATAAACATCTCTGGAACATTAATCACAGGCATATCAAATATTAAAACACGTGTAAACTGAGACATATATTATTTGCAATAGGACAATTTAACAGAAACTGCATATGATATTAAAATATTTGCAATACTAATTTGCAGTCATAAAATCAAAAAATATTTTCATAATGCTGTTTGAGACCAAATACACAAAACTGTTGGTTATTATGGGGTGCAAAAATAGTTTGTGGAAACTCAACACTGTAAAATATCTCGTATTGGTTTTGGTTTGATATATATTGAATGTCAGACAAATATACAAACTCTAACATACTTCTGGCTGCATGTTGATAATACTGTTCACAGAATATTAAACAGACAATCGAACCAGATATTGGCAATATGTGGAAGGACACAATGTTATCCCTATCAATGATGGTATATCATAAATACTGTCACTGGCGAATGATAAAATAACCATACTATTGTCCATTAGGTTTATATTAAAATACTCTGCAAGAGCTAAATAAATATACAGTTAAGGCAGTTGATGGTCACATTTTGAATCCCGAGATTAGAATGTGACTTTATAAATATACCACCTGCATTGTCTTGAAGGAAAAATACTTTGGAGAATTTATTAAATGTACTAACATCTGAATACTGTGTACAAATGAGACTACAACCTGAGACATATGAGATAAACTTATCATTGTCAGTAAATACTGAATATTGAGACAAAAAACAGTATTGAGAATACTGCATGTGTAATGAGACAAAAGGCCTTAACATTGGCAGCAGCAGTAATTACAATATTCGGAATGAGACAACAGCAAACATGAGATGTATGGTTAACGTTTCCCTGCTACCCAAACATCACATCTCAGAGCTATATATAAATATAGCACATCTTCAGACCATTAACAGAGAGTCAATAAATAATACTTCTTCCCTTTTGAAATAACGCATCTCATATAAATGTTTGTAAATTGGTGTCACTCTAGGGTTTTCTTGGCTCGAAGCCAGCTAGTTTGTAGATGAAGTCACAGAATGCAATGTAGTTGACGTCATCCTTGCCGCCAATCTTGATGTCAAATTTCTGCCACAAAAGCTGGAACTCCTCCTGACTGACCATGCTGCCAAGCTCCAGCTCTGTAAGGACTCGGCGGAACTGGGACCGGGAAACTGCTCCGTTGTGAACACGGTCGTAGTCCTCGAACAGAGGGAACAACTGCATCCGGTGCTTGCGTACCTAGACAGGTAACATGTTCTGTTTAGCATATGCTTTTTCAGTTTTGAAAGACAACTAACATTTAACTTGCTACATATGAATCATCCTCATTTATCCAGGATATTATACCTCAATTCTATTATGATAAATACCCTGCACGCAGTTACTATCAAAGCTCCATTTGATGTCACATCTCCTGTCCTGTCAGTAACTTCACACAGATTTTCTCCTCATCATGAGTATGATTTCCCAGCATATTTTTGGACAGCTATTTTTCGGCATCACATATTTCAAATCGGACTCCAGTAGTATCGAAAGATTGGCTGGTTGGTTTAGTGTTTAACGCCGCACTCAGCAATATTCCAGCAACACTATGGTGGTCTGTAAATAATCAAGTCTGGATCAGACAATCCAGTGATTGATATCATGAGCATCGATCCACGCAATTGGGATCAATGACATGCATCAACCAAGTCAGCAAGCCTGACCACCCGATCCCGTTAGTCGCCTTTTATGACACGCATAGTCACCTTTTACAGCTAGCATGGGTTGCTGAAGACTTACTCTACCCCGGAATAGAATCAAAAGAGGATGGAGACATAATACACAGGATGATTGAGGATGTACAGGCATTATAACATCTCACGACTCTAACAAGAAGCTAAGTTTGTGTATCTAATAAACAGTCACTCTCATGTGTAAAAGTGCTTTAGTGGGTTGGCTTTGATAATACTTTGAACAGTGAGCGAGTGAGTGAGTAGGGTTTAATGCCACTTTGTACAGTATTTAAGTGATGTCACTGCATGTTAGCTTAATGTGGGTGGAAAGTCTAGAGAGATCCAGTTCAAAGCTGTTCACATCTCTGGTACAACAAGTACCGTATTCGACGTAATAAGCGCCCCGCTCTAATAAGTGCCCACGGCGATATTTGCTAATATATTGGCTAGTGAACAATCCCAATTAGTACCCCTTCTGATTGATCAATGTACACAAGACTTATTTATTCGTCTATAATATGCAGTCGTGTGTTATATGCACCCTTAATTATGGGCAATTAAATTCTGGAAACTAGTGAACAATCCCAATTAACACCCCTTCCGATTGATCAATGTACACAAACTTATTCATTCATCTATAATACGCAGTCTAGTGTTATATGCACACTTAATTATGAGCAATTAAATTCTGGAAAAATATATCTGTCGTATATAAACATTTCAGGCTGTCAGCATAAACCACGAAATTTACAATCTTACAACTCTGTTTTATTTCACCGAGATAATATTCTAATAAGAGCCCCCTATTTCAAAATTTGAGAGCGCCCTGGGCGCTTATTACGTCAAATACGGTATGGGTTTTTATCCTGTTTTGTGACCATGAATGCAACGTCAGTATTTATGGGTTAGAAACACTATGCTCCTCCATCACCCATGGCTATACACAACGGCTTTGCGGTGGAGTAGTGATGTGTGACAATTTGAAGAGAGAAATGAGCCCATTCATAACTTACAGAAGCCAAATGAGCCCTACACTGAATGTTGTGTGAACACAACTGCCTGTAAATAAGGAAGAGAATATATGGATGTCAACTTCTTTATTATGAGGAACACATCCATATATTCTCTTCCTTATGTGTATCACTTCTAAATGCCTTTCGAAGACCTAACTCTACCATTGCCTGATACTGAAGTAGTATGTAGACACTTCTTGTATGATAAACATTGGACAAAGCACTCTGTTTCCTTCCCGCTGAAACAAGGCTGTGATTTGTTGGTCAAAAATAGCAACCATTCTGCAAATCGGCTGTACATTCTCATGGGTGATGCAGAAATGTAGTGTACATACAAAACATGCAAGTATTTACAATGACACGATTGCTCAGTGAGTAGATGGTGTTTTGAGCCGTAGGCAATATTGAAGCTATAACACAACTGCCTGTAAATAAGGAAGAGAATATATGGATGTCAACTTCTTTATTATGAGGAACACAACGTTTCAGAGTATATGCTTACTCCTTCATCAGGTGAATGAATGCCATGAGGCAGAGAGCATATATATGTACATTTAAGGACAACATGTTGATGAATGAGCAAGCATATACTCCGAAACGTTGTGTTCCTCATAATAAAGAAGTTGACATCCATATATTCTCTTCCTTATGTGTATCACTTCTAAATGCCTTTCAAAGACCTACCTGTAAATAATTGAGTCCCCAAACACATTGTGACAAGCTTATTCTCAATGTAGTCGTCTCTAGTAACGGGAACTACAACAGAATCCCTCTTCTGTCTATCTCAAGCCGGGGGTCAACCTACCTTTTCTGCAATTTTGGCCATACAAGCCTGAAACTTGGCCTCGCTGTCTGCGGGGAGAGCGTTGAGCTCCCACTCTACTGGCGGCTGGAACTGGACTGTCTCCTGCAGTGGTGCCTTCTCCAAGTCCTTCACAGTGAAGATGGACTCCAGCTCGTCCGAGAATGCCAGGTAGTCAATGTAGTCAGGATCACGGCGGCTCTCGTACCTGAACAAACACATAAACATGAGCAGTTGTTGCATAGACAGACAGTGGAAACCATAAATCCCTATGCTGGAAACAGAATGATCAATTTGTAATTTTGCAAATTTTGGTGAGTTTGGGCAAATAATGATAATGTCTCACTATATTTATTCATTTTCATGTAATCGGTAGAGATTGTACAATCATCATGTCTAAATTTGCATAACTACCGAAAGGGAAAAAAATCAAACACTGTGAAAACAACCACCAAAGCATGAGTTGTTGTCCCTAGTATAAGCTACAAGTCGTTAAAAAAGTCCAAGTTGGTCAAAATAGGCAGGGATGTGACCTTTTCATTTAAAAAAGTTATCTTTTTAAGCTGACTGATAATTGTTTTCTTAAATATGTGTACCACCATAGTAAATGTTACAATTCATGATATATCAGCAGACAATTTTTCTCAAACATTGTACAATTTTTGTTCTTATGATTGAATCCTCCATGGGAATCAGAATGATAGAAAAAACCTGGTGTGTGCACTGTGTTAATCTGCATAGCACACCGGTTATAAACACAAAAACATATTGAAGTTATTTCTTATAAATGAATACATCAACAATAATTACTTCGAAGATTACTTGTTTAATCATTAACACCAAGCAATCATCAATATTAGATAACAATACGAAATCTGTAACAGCGTTCAGCGCAAAATGCAACCAAACCCACAAACCCAGCCAATCAGGAAGCAGCCGTCTACAAGTGGGCATGACCTATATTCTTTTTCATTTTGAGGAAGCATCAATGCAAAACTAATTGCTTGACTAAGGGTTATTTTGGTGAGATAGCAGTGACTTTCGTATTGATATTTTCAGGTTCCAACACCCTTTTCAACCATCCCTCATTAGGGACTGATCTATATCACCCAAATTATATGCTCAAATTTTCAAGGCTTTTACTGTCTGGATGATTATGCAAACCTTTTCTATTACTTGGATCACCATTGTAAAGACAAAAAAGTAATAAATGCATCTGCCTTGCATTTCGCTTCCAAAAAACATATGAACAGATTTTCCAGTGATGAGCATCAATCTACATAATCGGGACACCATGGCATGCATCAACCAAGTCAGCGAGTCTGATCTCCCAATCCCTTAGTCCCTCTCACGACAAGCATTGGTAGCTGAAGACTAATTCCAATGGTCATGGGGGTCGCCATGTAAGAATTACTTAAACTAAGAACTATGGACTTTTTGAATTTCTAGCATTGCATCTCTTACTTGTCTTCCAACAGAGAGACTTCTGACTCCTTCAACTCAAACCCAGCGAGGTCCAGAGCACGACGGAATGATGTCTTCAACATCCGTCCCGACCGTAACTTGTCATAATCCTTCAAGAAGTCCAACACCCTGAGTCTGGCTTTGAACACCTGTAATACAAAGGAACTGACTCATCACACATGATTTTATGAAACAAGTATCAGAAATGTTGTAGGTTCTGAACCAGAGGAGGGGCAATACATGAAGTTCGTAAATTTGGTAATGATCTCGCTCAAACAAACCTTTATTATCAATACTTAGTGATTATCTTTAGTCAATAAATGTTTTCTATATTGAAACCCTTAGCATGAAGCTCATATTTTGCCCTTTAACTTCAAGATCAGATTGTTAAGACATACTATGCCCCGAAAGTGAGTTCCGAATGTTGTTTATCACTGCACTTCCAGCTCTGTCACAGTGGCTTCTAAATAAAAATTTCTTGAGAAAACCAGTGCAAAAACGTCTGAGCAAGAGTCCACAGCATCAGCACATGATGACACGCATTCAGTTATGAACAAAAATTGGCTACTGGGGACAGTTGCACCTGGGAATTTCTGATGGGTCACCTGAAAGAACCACTGACCTTGGTCTTGAGTTTGAGTAGGATCTCCTCCAAGTCTTCAGCAGGATTGAGTTCGGGCAGTTTGCGATTCTGGTTGGTGAGTCGCAGCGTCTTCAGTCTCTCCACATACATGAGCTGCGGTGGGACTGGGGGCTGCAGCTCGTCCAGGAATGCCTGGTAGTTGAATCCCACGTCATTACAGAACCTGGCCTCCAGAGCTGCGACCTCGGCCTCTGTGGTGTGAAGCTCCAGCATTGTGAGGCACTGTCGGAACTGGGAGCGGGTCACATGGTGGTTGGTGTGCCTGGATTCAGAAAATAGATTGAGTTGTTTTACACATTGCTTTTCGCAATATCCCAGCCATATCACAAAAACGGGTTCCGTGCACAGCACCCAAGGGGTTGGTCAAACATGGGTCCTCGACATGACCCGCTTGTCCACTAGGTTACCTCACCACCCCAACACAGGAAATTGAAAACCTTGAGTTAGTGGGGTTTTTTTTCAGTTAACATATCTCAGCTATATCCTATTTAGAGAACAACCAACGAACCATGAGGAATAAAGGATAATCTGCCCTGAGTGAATGAATGGTGTTAATCCCAAGCCTTGGGCAAGTGACTTACAGGATTCATTCATGGGGGACAGATAATCCGTCATTAAGAGTTTCAAGTAAGTCATTCTATATATCACTCAAGAACATTTTAGGAGAAAAAATGAAGAAAAAACATATGGATTGTCAACACTAAAGAGATACTTTACTTTAGGCAGCTTATTGTCAGATGGTATATGTACTCACTTGTGAGTGAGTGAGTATGGTTTTAAGCCGCTTTTAGCAATATTCCAGCAATATCACGGCGGGGACACCAGAAATGGGCTTCACACATTGTACCCATGTCGGGAATCGAACCCGGGTCTTCGGCGTGACGAGCGAATGCTTTACCCCTAGGCTACCCGACCGCCCTACTCACTTGTGACATCATGAACGATAAATGACACCATATCATATTTTTCTCAACATTCATGAATCCTAAAAGGCACATGTGCAGATATTACACACAATTCTACCTTTATGGGTAATATTAACAGTAATTGGGCTTAGAGGAGAAAAACCATAAGTATGAAGGTACATGGGACCCTGCCATCTGGGTATGCCTTGTCAATACGCTGTGCAGTTGTGACACACAATGTAGTGTCGTAGTGAGTGAGTGAGTAAGTTGGGTTTAACGCAGCTTTTAACAGTATTCCAGTTATATCACGGCGTGTCAGCTTAATGCGGGAGGAAAGCCCGAAGTGATGCAGGTCTCGGACGTTTACCACTTCGGTGAAACCCATGAGCACGGGTATGGTGCTGACAAACCTAGAAACATAATCGCTGAAACCAGGCTGTCAGTGAATAATAGTGAAAACACTGCATGGTAGTCACATGTGTTCATGGATGATGGAGGAATCTAGTGCAAGATTATATCTAGGATTCCAAACTAAGTGCCCTTGGAAGGCAAATTGGGTGAAATAATCACTGAAGTTAAGAATTCAAAATTCAACACTGAAGTTAAGAATTCAAAATTTGAACCCCCCAAGCCCCTTAAAAAAGTCCTGGATATTCTTCTGTCCTATACTGCACCCATCACCCCCACTTTCCATCAACTTAATGTTTTCAAGCTAGTTCAGGTCTCTCTACCTGTCAAAATCCTGAAACACTGGTTTAGCCAGGAGTCTGCGCTGCCCGGCGCGCTGCCTCAGTCTCTCCATGGTTTCTTCATACAAGCTCTTGTGGTCATCACTGGCACTCTCCCAACTGATGCTGCCCGGCTTCGGCACTTGGAACATCTCAGATGGTGGGACTTTGTAGGTGGGGCTCTGTTCTAGATTTGGTTCTGTGAAGACTGCAAACAAACAACATAGATAAACCAAACATATTATGAATAGATAACTGATTACTCAAGGTACAGGCCTTTCGGACAAGGTGAAAACATAAATATGTTACACTTCATGCAACCATGTGTATATGTTACAGGTGGTGCAACCATGTGCATGTGTTATAGGTGGTGCAACCATGTGCATGTGTTATAGGTGGTGCAACCATGTGTATATGGTACAGGTGGTGCAACCATGTGCATGTGTTATAGGTGGTGCAACCATGTGCATGTGTTATAGGTGGTGCAACCATGTGCATGTGTTATAGGTGGTGCAACCATGTGCATGTGTTACAGGTGGTGCAACCCTGTGTATATGTTACAGGTGGTGCAACCATGTGTATGTGTTATAGGTGGTGCAACCATGTGTATATGGTACAGGTGGTGCAACCCTGTGTATATGTTACAGGTGGTGCAACCATGTGTAAATATAACAGGCGGTGCAACCATGTGTATATGTTACAGGTGGTGCAATCATGTGTATATGTTACAGGTGGTGCAACCATGTGTATATGTTACAGGTGGTGCAACCATGTGTATATGTTACAGGTGGTGCAACCATTAGATTAACTGAAACACAAAGCAGTTGTACATGTTTACTGACCACTCTCCACATCATCCATGAAGCGTGTCCAGTACACCTGGTCAGTCTTGGCAGGGTTCTCGTACATATCACACAGCAGCTTAAACTGGCCATCTATCAGGTCATGAGCGCCAAGCTTGCTCAACCCGAGCAGTCCGAGGCCCCGGCGGAACTGGCTCTTGCTAATACAGTTGCTCTGAAGAGGGTCGTAGTCCTCAAAGTACTCTTTCACCTGACAAAGAAGAGGGGAAAATAGTGAATAATGTTCTTCTGTCAACATCAATACAGAAGAGTGAGTAAGCTGGGTATAGCGCTGCTTTGAACAGTATTCCAGTTATGTCACAGCATGTCAGCTTGATGTGGGAGGAAAGCCCTGAGTGGTGCAGGTCTCAGACGTTAACCACGACCATGGGTATGGTGCTGACAAACAGAGGTATTTCAACATTGGCTATGGACCATGAGGACCAACCTACCCTCAGCCTGTTTGTGAGCACATGGTGTCTGATGCGAGCCATCAGGTCCTCATAGCTGACCTCACTGTCCTGCACGACGGGGTCGGGGACGGGCTGGTTGGTACGCTCCTCATCCTGGAGGTTCACAGTCTCCAGGGTGTGCCCCACAAACTCTGAAACACACAAACAGCTGGTCAGGTAACAAGGTGATGGATGCACTTACCTATGACTGATGATAACATTCAAACTTTCAGTCCTATTCTTGAAATGAACATCAACATCCCAAGTCCAACATAATATCATGGATATATAAAAAAAATAAATAATAAAATAAATCCCCAACCAAGATGTATTCAGCTGAAGAGAAAACACAGTTGATCATTTGATATTTCATATTCCGGGCGGAGGAGTGGGGTTGGGAATTTCTTGTTCAAATTTACCTCCTGAAAATGATAGAAGAAAATCCTTTGACCTCAGGTAAAATATTGGGCATGCTCAATGTTCCGAAAATAATGTATTGTGGGTAAAAAATAAAATTGCTTGACTCCACCCTTCAAGGGCACCTTGTATGTTTGAAGCACTGCCTGAAGACATATTCTGCCTCAAACAAAAATCAAAGGATAATTACATGGTCACCCCCAGAATATTACATTGTCACTCCCTTTGAAGCTGTGTCTGTGTCCTCATCACCCGCATCATATGTTGTGTTTACAGATGATGCCCTGCATTCTCTCATGTCCTGCCCCAAAACTGTTTTTCAAAAATACATAAATACTATTCAAAACCTTTCTAAAATGTCCTTTTTAATATGCAACAAGACATGACATAGTATTTTACTTTCATCAAGTGATTAACATACAAAATATTTGTGAGGAACACCAACCTTGATCCACTGCCTGTACAAAGGCAGGGTAGTTGACGTCTCCACTGCCGGGATCTTCAAACTTGCGACACAAGAGCTTGAGATCTTCAGGCGCCACATTGAGGCTGAGGAAGTGCAGGATACGCCCAAACTGTGTCTTGGTCACGACCCGCGTGTAGGCAATACCCTATGAACAAGAAACACAACATTTCTTAACTTTGTTTGTTTATTTGTTGTTTAATGCTGCACCAATACCCTATGAACGAGAAACACAACATTGCTTTACTTTGTTTGTTTGTTTTTTTGTTGTTAAATGCTGCACTCAGCAATATTCCAGCTATATAACGGCAGTCTGTAAATAATCTAGTCTGAACCAGACAATCCAGTGATTGACATCATGAGCATTGATCCACACAATTGGGATACAATGACATGCATCAACCAAGTCAGCGAGCCCAATCCCGTCAGTCACCTCTTACGACAAGCATAGTCGTCTTTTACAGCAAGAATGGGTTGCTGAAGACCTATTCTACCCCGGATCTTCATGGGTCGCTTAACTTTGTGATAAATTACAAATTAATCATTTTCACCAACAGAATGTGACAGACCATAAGTGTGCCTTTACTAGTAAATTATATCTGTAACAAATCAAATTATTTTTTTGTTAGTAAATTGTTACCTATACGTTGTACCAGGTCTTGGGTGAAGATTTATCTCAAAGTTTACAAACAAGATTGCAATTCCTCATTGGTTATTTGCATGTCTTTGACATAACAAGAACACTCAATTTTGCACTCATGTAGAGGATTATATCACTGGTGGATATTTCTGAGCAGCAGTGAGAAGGAGAACCATTACCATGTAAATGAACTTGTATTGAACACAATGTTGACACATTGTTAGATCTAGCACAGCCTTGGAGATATTTCCTGCCCTAAATTTTAAGAACGGTTTTAACAGTATTTTATTTTCAAAAGGAAAATGGATTGGTCAACAGGCCATGGCTATTTAAAGACCTCTCCAGTACAACTTTATTTGTTGGTACAGCAGTTGTTTACATATAAAAATAAGATAGCTACGCGAAAAATCACAAAGAACAATAAAGAACGAGGAGTGGTTTATTTCATGGTAAAACATTGTTCTATCATGACACCATTTCTTGAGATTCGAACAGCTTGATGACCTCGTATATTGAACAACGGAATTTTTGAGAGTGGAGAGTCTATTGAGTTGTTCCCCATAGACATAGCTGGGCTACGCAGATAATGTGATGCCATTTATCATCATCATCATCCCTGAAGAGGCTGTACATAATGTTGATATCTCATATGAGAAATAAACGACTCGTGGTTTTGTTTATCATACAATATAACACAGCAGGGAGAATAAACCACTCAGGGCTGCGACACTCATGGTTTATACTCCCAGCAGTGTTCAACTGTACAATAAACAACCACTCCCCACCCCCCTGATCCCAGCCCACCCACCCCAAATTTCTTTTTACATATGTAAAGTGTGCCCAAACTTCAATGAAATTTGTCAAAATGACAGGATAAGAACAAACAGTGAAATATAATCAGATGTTCAATAAATCGGTGATTCTATATTTTAATTAATACATCTAATCAATAGGCTACTGTAACGCTCATCTTGTAAATGAAATCACTGGTTCATATATATTCTAAAACTACCAGTTTGTGACAACTGAGACAACAAGCACATCTAAGACCACCATTAATGATTTACTAAACTGACACCAAGCAAGTAGTGATCTGCTGTTCCCCACCTGACCTTTGGCTATGAACACCCACATGTAAACACATGTCCCCATGTTACATCATAGACAGCACACACAACAACCCCCTTGCCCAACACAGCCCAGGGTTGTAACAGGATACCTTTCATCTCAGCATAAAAAGATGCAAGCAGACATGCATTTATGGCTGACAGTAATTGCAGGCTTAAAAGCATAACAAATGTTTTGCAACAAAGTACCAAAGTTACATCATCCAATATCCCCAACACATACCATTGTTGAAAGCTAACACTTGAATGGCTGACCCCAACAGCCTTACTGATTACACTGGGAACTCCTGGGGTCTACAGGCTGATGTGTCAATGAGGTGTTACATCACAGTCAGAGGAAGCAGTATCACCCCCCACCCCTTCCACCACCCCACCCCACAAAGACTGTCCCACATGTGGTTGTCCAGGAGATACGCTTGACTACCCACAGCCCTCAATGGGGGTGTTTGTTGTAAGCATTGTTTACTATGCATTATTATTACAAGGGGACATGTTATGACATGTGTCACACATGTGGTTAATCTGTACTTGTTGGTTGTAAAACAATATTTTGTATTTTCATCAAACATCACATTTAATTCTGTTCCTTTGTAGAATAGCAAAATTAGGCATGTATCTTCATGTTGTTTTAATTATCAAGATATATTTTCAAAAATATAGTATAGGATCAGTGGGGGAAATACAAATACAAGTTTCAGACATACTTTTTTTTAAACATTCTGACAAAACAAAACTTAATTGAAAGAAAAGTGTATTTGGGAAGGGAGTATGCCTTTGCCAATTGTTCTACTCTGAAGTATTCTTATTTTTTTCACATATATGACCAGACTCCATGCAAAAATGATGATTTTATCCCCAACTGTAAAATTGGGTGGGTGGTGGATCTGTAAACTGAGTTATGAAAAACTCCAAAATATTTCAGAAAATATCTTCCTGCTATAACCAATGAATGTCTGAATGGAGATTACAAACATTTATTTCCTTCTAGAAAAGATGAATGTTAAAGACAAGCCCAGGAAACATGTTTCTGAAAGTTTGATTCCTCAAGTATGCAATCACAACTACTCATATATAAATGTATATATTTTTTTATATATCTTCAGATTAAAAAACCCAATAAGCGTGACTTCTTAAGAATGAAAAAAAATATTTATTATGTGTAAGCATGTGGCACAAGCAAAACTGGTGTACTCCCACATGGAATCCACATGTGAAAGTCAGCACCACCTAGGCTGACCTGAGAAAGTAGGTCAGCCCAATCAGCGACTTGCCTGAACAGGGTTATCTGGCATGCCAACATCTACAAACAGTGGCCCAGCCAGCCCTAAACTTGGAGACGCAGTAACCTACATATGCAATATTCACAAGACTATGTTTTCTTACCCCATTCTGTTTTCAAAATACCATACAGTACACGCGAACACCAAATATGTGGGATCTCCCATGTTGACATAAGTAGGAACGACAATGCTGGCCATACAACAAAGATATTTTTAAAACCAAGAAATTGCTGTATTTATTATAACAACATAATAGCCTAGCATTTCATGTAACAGAAGAAGCACATGCAATACTCTCCCTTCATATCAGTTTTGTTATTTCAGAATATTTAAGAATGAAATATGTTTTAAACTTATACTTTTACTAAACCAACTGGACCCTTGAAGATCCAGGGTAGAATAGGTCATCAGTAACCCATGCTTATAGTAAAAGGCCACTGTGAGGCGACTAATGTTCAGGCTCACTGACTTGATTGATAGATGTCATCTTATCGCAATTGCATGGATCAATGCCCCTGTTGTCAATCACTGGATTGTCTGGTCCAGATTTGATTATTTACAGACCGCCGTCATATAGCTGGAATATTGCTGAGTGCGGCGTAAAACAATAAACAAACAAAACAAAACTTCACCAACTGACTGTATTGCATTTTTTCCTACTTTTTCTCATCATTATATGGTTGTAGCAATGTTACCCACAATTTTGTTGATATAAAAGGTTTCCTGCTTTTCCAAATATCCATGCTGTATCCCAACCAGTGACCTAATCATTTCAATATCGGAGATCCTACATTATTGGTATACTTCTGTACTGATCTCATTTCATTTAGCTGCAATGGCTTTTGACATCTTGTTAAATAGTTCCACATATCTAAACCAATACTGTATGTCAGTGCTGTTGAGGAGTGTCAGATAAGATGCTATAAGATTTACAATCACTGAATTATGCTGCAGAAAGGATGAAGATGAATTCCAGAATTGATTGATTCTTGCCCAGAATCTACCGCAATTACTACTGTCATTTTATTCATTTATTTACTTACTCCGATTGTCACTATAATCTCATGCTCCAGATCTGCACCATTTACCGAGCATCAGTTTCATGTACTACCTGGCCTTGGACATTTTTTAGGTATAGTTGTACACAGGCAACCTAAATTTAGTTGGGGAAGAGGGATTTATTTTGTGTTTTTGACAAAATACGCAGCTAATCTGGGCTCTGTCTGCTTAAATGTTGGAAAGTATATCACAGGAAAAATAACCTGACCAAGGCGAAAGGATATATTTTCACTCATGAAAATATCTCCTTCCCCCCCCCCCCATCACTCGGAGAGAGAAAAATGATATTTCACTCAACACATGAAATTTCCTCTCTATATTGTTATATTTCATGATTGTCAATTTTCAACTGCAATAAAACGCTTCTATTCAAAATAGTTGTGTTTTTTTACGATTTCTGTCTGTTATCGCCCTTGACAGTCAAATGGGGAATACCAGATGGGGGCTTCAAGAATATTTGATGGTTTCTTTAAGCTTCACAAAGGCAACAAAATGATGCAGCTCATTGCAACAACTACTGATAAATTTGAATGAGGTTGCATTTACTGATTTAATGTAACATGAACCATACCACAGTGAATAGTGCACGAAGGTGCGACATCTTGTTTATTGCAACTAAGACATGCACATCACTGTTGTAAAACTGATCTGGCCCCCTAAAACACAGAACTTTGATGTGACACAGGAATCACATGACCATGCACAGGGCATTCCATGTGTGTGGCGTGGGACACTCACCCTGTCGTAGTCCTTGAAGTAAGGATACATCATCAGGCGGCGCCGCCGCACGTTGTCCGACAGTTCACGCAGCACCATCTCCACACGTTGATCTTCCTCCGCACTCAGTGCCTTCAAACCCTGGTAACAAAAACACATGAGGATATAATATGAACATAACTTCATAGAAATACACATGTAAGGCCGGAGGTGTTTTGTTTTCTTGATATTGAGGCACAATGACATGGTGGTCCATGTAATACAACCAACATCACCCAGCCACACCCTCAGTGGGGTTATAAACACAACAACTCTCAGTGGTCCACGTAATACAACCAACACCCACCCAGCCACACCCTCAGTGGGGTTATAAACACGACAACTCTCAGTGGTCCATGTAATACAACCAACACCACCCACCCAGGCACACCCTCAGTGGGGTTATAAACACAACAATTCTCAGTGGTCCATGTAATACAACCAACACCCACCCAGCCACACCCTCAGTGGGGTTATAAACACAACAACTCTCAGTGGTCCACGTAATACAACCAACACCACCCACCCAGGCACACCCTCAGTGGGGTCATAAACACAACAACTCTCAGTGGTCCATGTAATACAACCAACACCACCAACCCAGCCACACCCTCAGTGAGGTCATAAGCACGACAACTCTCAGTGGTCCATGTAATACAACCAACACCACCCACCCAGGCACACACACAGTGGGGTCATAAAACACGGCAACTTTCAGTGGTCCATGTAATACAACCAACACCACCCACCCAGCCACAAACACAGTGGGGTCATAAACACAACAACTCTCAGTGGTCCATGTAATACAACCAACACTACCCACCCAAACACACACAGTGGGGTCATAAAACACAACAACTTTCAGTGGTCCATGTAATACAACCAACACCACCCACCCAGCCACACACACAGTGGGGTCATAAAACACAACAACTTTCAGTGGTCCATGTAATACAACCAACACCACCCACCCAGCCACACACACAGTGGGGTCATAAACACAACAACTTTCAGTGGTCCATGTAATACAACCAACACCACCCACCTAAACACACCCTCAGTGGGGTCATAAATACAACAACTCTCAGTGGTCCATGTAATACAACCAACACCCACCCACCCAGCCACATCCTCAGTGGGGTTATAAACACGACAACTCTCAGTGGTCCATGTAATACAACCAACACCACCCACCCAAACACACCCTCAGTGGGGTTATAAACACAACAACTTTCAGTGGTCCACGTAATACAACCAACACCACCCACCCAGCCACACACACAGTGGGGTTATAAACACGACAACTCTCAGTGGTCCATGTAATACAACCAACACCACCCACCCAGGCACACCCTCAGTGGGGTCATAAACACAACAACTCTGAGTGGTCCATGTAATACAACCAACACCACCACCCCAGCCACACCCTCAGTGGGGTCATAAACACAACATCTCTCAGTGGTCCATGTAATACAACCAACACCACCCACCCAGCCACACACACCCTCAGTAGGGTCATCAGTAGTTGCAACCAGACTGTCGTAAGTCTATGTTAAAGTATGGGAGTTACGATCATGGTAGCGCTACGATTGCTTTGTGGAACAGGGCCCTGGTCCCTAATATACAGCCACCCAGACCTGTGATATTGAACTTATAGTGCATTTTTTCTAATTTGTCTCTTCATGATAGTACTGGAATACTTACCCTGGACAAGGCTCCCTTGGGTGGTCTCACTGCTTCTTGTGTTGGCTTTTTGTCCAGATCAGGAATGTTGAATGCTGAAAGAAATGTCAGCCATAAGATTAACTTAGTGTTCACGAATGCTACTACCAAGACTTAGAGTGACATTTTGCATGAGGAGGGTTGTGAAAAAAGATAGAGCAATGGAAAAAACATGAAGGTTTAAAATGGTGACCAAAATTGTGACTGGTTAATTTCTGATAGTTTTATGCAATCTCATTAAGCATTGTGTTTCGTGATATGTGGCAGTGTAGTGCTAGTTATCATGCCGAGTTATTGTTTGTTTTTTTGTTTGATGTTTAACACCGCACTCAGCAATATTCCAGCTATATGACGGCAGTCTGTAAATTATCGAGTCTGGACCAGACAATCCAGTGATTGACATCATGAGCATCGATCTACACAATTGGGATCGATGACATGCATCAACCATGTGGCCGAGTTATTGCAACATGTAGCACACAGTATTACTTTTTGAAAATCGATAACAGAAAAGAATCATAAAACGATCCATGAGTAGGCGTATCATGTATTGTATGGTTAGGCATAAATGTGGATCGCGACATGGGGAAATTTTCATGACACTCATGGATGAACACCTCCTCCAAATGTAATATACATAATCAGTCTCAAATTAATCAAAACTGTGACAATACTTTTACAACATATATCAAAATCTAACTTATATATTAAATATCTATTATAATAATATCTCCAAATAAGAAACCATAGCAACTGTACCATTTTCCATGATATCACAGAACTCCTTGTACTTGATCCTTCCATCAGGCTGGCGGTAGAACTCGACCACCTTCTGTATCTCGGGGCGAGACAGCTGGGCCTCCTTCCCCACCGCCAGCGCCAACCCACACACAAACTGGCTCTCTGTGATCACGCCACTCCGCAGCTTGTCGTGGTCTTTGAAGAACTCTATAGTTCTGATGCCACTCTTGTACACAGCGACACGGATCCTGTCAAATATCTGGTTCAATGTGGGGTCTGCAGTTATCTGGGGAGGAAAAACACCGATGGTCAACAATTTGCTTCTCTACTGGCCCCAACGGTTTGGTTACTGGCCTCAAGATCTTCCCCCTGTTGGCCTCAAAGACTTCCCCTTTTGGCCTCAAGGACTTCCCCTATTAGTCTCCAGGGCTTCCCCTATTGGCCTCAAGATCTTGCCCCTGTTGGCCTCAAAGACCTCCCATGTTGGCCTCAAAGACTTCCCCTTTTGGCCTCAAGGACTTCCCCTATTAGTCTCCAGGGCTTCCCCTATTGGCCTCAAGATCTTCACCCTGTTGGCCTCAAAGACCTCCCCTATTGGCCTCGAAGACTTCCCCTTTTGGCCTCAAGGACTTCTCCTATTAGTCTCCAGGGCTTCCCCTATTGGCCTCAAGATCTTGCCCCTGTTGGCCTCAAAGACCTCCCCTGTTGGCCTCAAAGACTTCCCCTTTTGGCCTCAAGGACTTCCCCTATTATTCTCCAGGGCTTCCCCTATTGGCCTTAAGGGTTTCCCCTATTGGCCTCAAGGACAAAATCGACATCACTGTCCGGGGACGCTTTATGCACAACATGTAAACAATATACAACAATTGCACAATGAGCAGAATACCTGCTCTGACAACACAAACACAGCGATGAGCGGACACTCCAGCTCAGGCATACATGAGGTGAGCAGAGCTCCAGCTCACCTCAGGACGTTTCCTGCTCGAGGGCACAAGGGTACAACTCTCATAAAAATCAAATCATTTACTCTGATACAGTACCTCTCTCCATGAAGATCTTACATGGACTCTATAGGAGAGGAACCTTCTAGTCAGTCAACTAACTTCTCAGTACAAGTGAGCAAAACATTGAGACCAGCAGATCTGATTTCTGTGTCTCAAAAACAAACCTAAAACGACCATTTCTGAATGTAAATATAATAAGGCCACATCATGATATTGTTGATATTTTATACACCGTCGTGATGACATTGGACTGGCTCAGGACCCAAGCATCCATCACATGGCCAGTGAAAGTTCGCTCAGGGTTCCCTGATATGACATGTTATGGAGGTGTCGTCAGATCTTCATGCAGAGAGGTATCATATTGGAATGAAAGATGTGATTTTAATGAGATTGTCTTTGATAGTCATCCCTACCGTGAGCGGAACAAAGTCGATGGAAGACACCCGGGGCATTGGAGGCAGCTGTGTCTCCTGCATTTGCATTTGCTGCAAGGACATGATGTCCTTGTGGAGGTTGAGGTAGTTGACGACACCAGGACGCTCAGGGTCTCGATATTTTGTCACTAGTAAGTTCATGTCGGCCTCCGACACATCAGGGGGGCCCGGAAAACTGCGATAAAACTGTGCAACACAGAAAAAAAGATGTCAGGGCAATGTCACTAAAATGCTTGAAACAATATGTCACGGCATTGTCACTAAAATGCTTGAAACAATATGTCACGGCATTGTCACTCAAATGCTTGAAACAATATGTCTCGGCATTGTCACAAAAATGCTTGAAACAACAAGTCACGGCAATGTCACTGAAATGCTTGAAACAATACGTCAGGGCAATGTCACTAAAATGCTTGAAACAATATGTCACGGCAATGTCACTAAAATGCTTGAAACAATATGTCACGGCAATGTCACTAAAATGCTTGAAACAATATGTCACGGCATTGTCACTAAAATGCTTGAAACAATACGTCAGGGCAATGTCACTAAAATGCTTGAAACAATATATCAGGGCAATGTCACTAAAATGCTTGAAACAATATGTCACGGCATTGTCACTAAAATGCTTGAAACAATATGTCAGGGCAATGTCACTAAAATGCTTGAAACAATATGTCACGGCAATGTCACTAAAATGCTTGAAACAATATGTCACGGCAATGTCACTAAAATGCTTGAAACAATACGTCAGGGCAATGTCACTAAAATGCTTGAAACAATAAGTCAGGGCAATGTCACTAAAATGCTTGAAACAATATGTCAGGGCAATGTCACTAAAATGCATGAAACAATATGTCAGGGCAATGTCACTAAAATGCATGATACAATATGTCAGGGCAATGTCACTAAAATGCTTGAAACAATATGTCAGGGCAATGTCACTAAAATGCTTAAAACAATAAGTCAGGGCAATGTCACTTAACTTGCATGAACCAATATGTGAGGACAATGTCACTAAAATGCTTGAAACAATATGTCATGGCAATGTCACTAAAATGCTTGAAACAATAAGTCAGGGCAATGTCACTTAACTTGCATGAACCAATATGTTTCTTGTTTTTGTTAGTTTGATTATAAAACTCAGCAGAAATAACACAAAAGTTAAACTGTATTATTTTCTTTTACATTCATGTTATTTAAATGGATGTTAAAAAAAATTAAATCTGACTGAACATGCACTATTTAATACTAAGATTAGATAAATATGAGTTGTCTCAGCGTGTGTCCCCACACTATAGTGTACCTGGCTCTCTGTAATGACCCCAATGTGATGGCGGTCAAAATCCTCGAAGCATGTTTTGAGGTTGACGCCATGGTATTGGTAGAATTTCATCATGTGCTTCAAGACCTCCACCAGTCGTGTCTCGGAATCAGTGCTCAGGGGTCGCACTGACCGAATAGTGCCCAGACTGGAAGTAAGCATTTAGGACATTGTACAAAAGAAAGGTTACCTCTGTTTTTCACAGCATAATTCTGTATTTCATTTTCTATAATAGTTATCACAACATCATAAATAACTATGCAAATCATACCCCAAAAAAGTATAAAAGTTTTTTCAATGCCCCAGTCAGCATTATCCCTGGGATAACATGGCGTCCTGTAATCAGTGGTTGATAGAGATGAGAAATGGAGCATGTCATCGGAGTACAACGATACGTAATCCGCCAAAAACCTGGTCCCATGAAGTCTTCTCTTACAACAAGCAATACAATGCTGGGGGGCTATTTCAACCCAAGTTCAAGTTCTAAAACAGAGGAGAGTCTTTCAACACAGACATCCCCCTGGTACCCTGCTTCACTTACAACTCTAGGGGCTGCTGGGGGGCTGGCCTCTGTGTCAGGTCACCTGGATTGAATGTGCCATCAATCTCCTGGCAGAAGCGCTTGTAATTGACCCGTCCACTGCGATAGAGGTCATACTTCTCCCTGAGAGCAACTTCTTCATTAGGGTTTAGTTGAACACCCAATGTCTGCCACAGGCAGCGGAAAAACTGTGGCTCTACAACAGATTGAAGCAACAACGTTCTGAAGATTATTACATTGGCACTTTGTAATCCCAATGCAGGGTTAGCGTACTGGTCAAAGGTGGCACACTGGTTTGTTTGTTGTTTGTTTGTTGTTTAACACCGCACTCAGCAATATTCCAGCTATATGACAGCAGTCTGTAACTAATCAAGTCTGAACCAGAAAATCCAGTGATTGACATCATGAGCATCCATCCATGCACTTGGGATGCAATGACATGCATGAATGTAATCAGCGAGTCTGAACACCCGATCCTGTTGGATCCAGGGGAGTGTGTGCACCCACCTTTTTTTTCAGACACCTTACACATGTAATTGTTCCCTGGGTCAGATCAGTTTGTGACTAAGATTCTATGTACACCCCACCCCCTACGCACCTCTGTGGCACATCAAACTGTGCAGAGCTGCATCCTTCAGCCATGCCAAAATCTGATAGTTGTGTCAGCATGGTCCCAATTTACACTTGGCAGAGGGGTACACAAAGTACGTGATCTAGACTACCAGTTGACAGACTTTCACTTTTGTGAAAGCCTCGGTTGCTGAGTAGGTTAAATCGTTGACTTTGTGGGCTGGCGATTAGGTGCCTCATTCTGGCAGTGTGGGTTCGAATGCCAGACAGGACTTAACCCCAAAAAGTATGAGAATCTGTACATCACTGAGAAAGTCTTATCCCAAACATAACATTTGTTACATGTCAAAGTTTATTTAAGCTTTCCTTACCGCCGGAAGCCCAGTCTCCTGTTACGCCTAGTTGTGTTAGCAAGCAAATCAACTCACGGCAGCTAGTGAGCCCTAGTGGGGAGTGTTATACAACATGGAAGATGCCAGACATTAGTGCCCCTTTAAGTAATTTGTCTGGCATAAAGAATCTAGATCTCAGCCAAATTTTGGAAGTTACAACAGTCACATCACTAAAATCGTTTTGTGGTGGTCATTATGTGCTTACAGTCAAGCTCCGGGACCTATGGGCCCAATAAGGACACACAAGAGGGTTGTGTTGTGTTGTGAGTGACTGTCTGTCGATCTGTCTATCTAGATAAAGAACCTTAGGTCTCCTAATGTTGTATACATAATTGTCAAGGGAGATAATTCACATAACTGAAGGGACCCCGATATGTAGAATCAAACTGACATCACTATTTTAATAGCTATTCATTCTGTAAACTTTCAGATATAGAATGTCTAAGAGTGAATGTTATGTACCTGTAATAAACCCTGATCGCAGTTTGTCAAAGTCCTGAAAGAATTCTGTGACCCGGATACGCTTTGTCTGTGCCAATGTTCGGAGGTTATCTTCAACTCTCTGGGAGACACTTGATGCAGCCATTGTGATATTTCAGCTATATCACTACCTAAAAATAACATACAATTATAATGATTGTAAAAACTTAGGCATGAAGTAATATATAAAAAATCATCATGGCAAACCAATGGTTGACAGCATGAACAGAGATTGCAACCACCCAATCCTCAGTAGTTGGCCCAAATGAGTCACTGTCACTGGGTTATCTTTTTTTATCAATTACCTTACACATGTAATTGTGCCCTGGGTCAGATCGGTTTGTGACTAAGGTGCTATGTACACCCCACCCCCTACGCACTCTTTTTCAAAATTCTGGATCCACCTTTGTGGTACATCATACTGTGCAGAGCTGCATCCTTCGGCCATGCCAAAATCTGATAGTTGTGTCAGCATGGTCCCAACTTACACTTGTCAGAGGGGTACACAAAGTTCGTGATCTATCAAAACAGTATTACAAAACATCCCCAAAATTATAATTTTATAATTATTTTCATATCGATTATATCTATAGATACTTATGGCCACTGCACATTATTGCACTGGAAGCATATATTAATGGTGCGATATGCTTAAATCTCAAGTCCTTACTGTTACACAACCTTGGGCAAACATTAAAGCACCTTGGTCATCTAACAGGTGCCTTGGTAAATAACTATGGATTTGCCCAACAGTCAACAGAAAAAGCCCTGTGTCAAATACATGTGCAGATATGAAACTTTCCATAAGACAACAACATGGCATCTAGTCAAAGGGATCCTGTAGGACAGGTTAACCAGAGCTCCAGATAAGCTTTTGGTGTTGTGGGTATTTTACCCATGCATTTTAAAATCATTGGGTATCAGTAATTCTATCTGCGTATTCAAATTTCTGTTACCCACTAGTTTTTACACATGTGGGTATTTAAGTTAAATATTTAAAAACACTATTCATCTAGTCCCTGCAAACTGGTGTCGTGTGGGTTCGAGAGCTTTATAGGACTCAAAAATACCACGATACTTCCACAAGAAAGTGTTATGGCAAATGATCATGATGTAACTGTCATCGTGGAGTTTGGCAAGGTTGACAGAATGCCCGTTATAATTTTAAAATAAGTTGCTGATTTGCTAATCGAATACGCAGGGTTACTTCACAATATTTTGATGATACGCACAAGTTTTATTTTTGTAGCGTATCTGTAATGTTCGTTGCGTATTTGATACGCTTGGATAATATTTTACTGTGTATTTCTGCATTTCTGATGCGTATTTCACGCAGATACGCAGCTTATCTGGAGCTCTGGGTTAACCATGCTTCGATTCACAGGACCATGTAACTAATATTCGTAAACCTCATCCATGAACTTGTTATATTATACAACATTAGTTACATGGACCCACTTTAACAGTAGTGTGTGATCATATGGATGAGAGAGAAAGCACAAACAAAAATCTGAACTAAAGTAACCGAGAAAACATCAACACTACCCGTGATATTTTCCTAAATCCTTGTATAGATTCAGTTATATTTTGTTTGGTACTACTTTGAAAAAGGATAATATCTTTCTCAGAGTCTGACGACGTCTCAGAGTCAGAAGAATCACATCTTCAAGTTGTTAATGTTTGTTTGGAAAGGCGGCTTATGGACTTACAAACAAAAACAAGAGTAATTTATTTACCGAGGACCCCACAATTATATATGCAGTACACACATGGCAAAAGATGTAAAATCTAAATATTTAAAATAATAACTAAAATATAGATCTAGATCATCGCAAAGACAAGCAAACAAACATACGGTATTACAAACATGCGCTTCTTTGAAACAAACCTGAACTGACAATTTGCAACCTATATCGCAAGTCACTAAGAATCATAAAGTATAACAACGGTCAAGCTACTACCTTTCAACGATGTTGTTGTTCGGCCTGGTAGCCAAACTTCTCCAAGTCACACAATCAAGTGACAGCAAATTGTTGAAACGTTGCTATGGCACGGGGTCGTGTTTGCGCACGCGTATTGATTACTTCCGTGACATAAAGGACTGGTTACGTTCTCTTGCATTGCGCTTAATAGACAGAACGCAGTTAACGCAAGACAGTACTGTTATATGTGAAATTTAATGATTATAGCAGAGACCATATATCGGTATATGGCCTCTGATTATAGTAATACAGACTTGTAACGTATTTAGAAATAACTATTACCCCTTAAACACTTGCATACTACACCACCTCACCACTTACAACTTGCATGCTTGCCGTGACAGACGACTTTGCTTGTGGTTAGAGGCGACTAACGGGATCGGGTGGTTTGGCTCGCCGACTTGATTGATGCATGTCATCGTATCCCGCGTAGGTCGATGTTCTTGATATTTATCCCTGGATTGTCTGGTCCAGACTCGATTCTTAAATATTCTATCACATTCTATAGCTAGAATAATGCTGAGTGTCGAGTCAAACGAGAAACAAATAAACTTTCAACTTGTTTCATCCGCGAGGGGTTTCAGAAATCAATATTATTACCCACAACAACATAAAATTCCACTTAGATAAATATTATAACATGCTAGCCATTTCAGCTTACCAGTGCTAAACGAAGATCACGTGATTCATGCGATGTGTTGGGATTGGCATTTGGTGAGATGTCAACGCATCTGACATTGAATATGATACATCAATTCAATGTAAACATATTCAGTATGAGGCACGTTGTTACTATTAATCCCTATTTTTTAAACCAATAATTAATCTACTGATACCACAAAATGAATAATTGACAGGAAACATTCGATTTTATTATGTAAAGTAATTGTTAATTTCATAAATAGTTACTGATATAAAACATTCGATTCCTAGATATCAATATAGATGAATTTATTGTGATAAACAATGTATTCGGTGATATGTTAATATGTATTTTACAATATTAAAGCGGATTCATAATGCTTGAAAATCTTAAGTATTTTTTGTCACAAATTCCATCTGTCTATATGTTATTAAATCGCAACATATCTTGAAATGTAATGTCAATAATATTCACACATGTACAAATTAAGAAAGAATTCCATACATTTAAATGCGTGATAGACGTGACAGAAAACAATATTGTGTACCAGTAGATTATTTAATATGTAATTTTGCAAGAATTTAATTTTTGATATTACAAAGTAGATTTTAAGATATCAATAAATGCGTTTAGAATTTGTGATATTTTAAAAATGATTTAACAATATGAAAACACAAATTTGTGATATGCTTTAAATTTTGATATCACTTATTAATTTATTTATACCTTAAAAATATATCTGACAACTGTATTTGTGGTATCAGTGAGGGACCGACCACTCGAAAAAAATGTTTGTCCCAGGAAATGCTTGAACAAAATCATGCTTCAGACAATTTAAAAAAGGAACTCCTTGCCACAAATAAAATACATTTTTGCAAGATATTGGTTATTTTTGGTTTGTTTGTTTTTTAAATATTTAGGTAGATAGTTTAATTAAAAAAAGGTCTGGTTTTGCAGCTGAAAACAAATCTAGTGGTCTGTCCACAAGTACATTTATTGGTATCTAAAAAAATTGTTTATGTTAACAATAAATTAATTATATTTAAAAAATCTCACCCGGGTGATTTCAGAGATATCAAGATGAAAGTTACAAATATCCAAGGTTTGATATCAACGAGTCTTGATAGATTTGAATTTGGAAGACATAGGGTACAGATTCTAGTTATCATCCCAGATCTATCTTGCTCCTGTTTCAGTTTATAAACAGTACTAACCAGTGTCTTGAGCGTCAAAACTACAGCTGACCAGCTTCAGTGCAAAAGAGACTATTGGCGTCATATGATTGTGACGCCATCGTAATCGATGATGCCAGAGTGGTCTGCAAAGCACTGTGGTTTAATTTCATTTTAGCGATATCTCACCCAAGCGATGTCTCCTGTGGAAGTTTTGGATGATAAATATCATTCTTCCAACTTATTCTGTTTGTAAACATACAACCAGTTCCTTTAGTGTAAAAACTACAGCTTCAGTGGAAGAAATATTTTTATGTCATTTGATTGTGACGTCATTGTAACAATGACGTCAAAATGGCCTGCAAAGCATTGTGATGCAATTTCATTGACGCGATATCGCCAAGGAGACATCCTTGATCTCACCGAGCGATTATCCTCTGATCCTGTGGAAGACAGTTTTGAATTATAAATGCATTTTACCTTCAGTGCCGATTGCCTGCATGATGTTTAATACATTTTCAGTGCACATTGCATACAATGTGGTCTTGATGTCCATTCTACATGAAAATGAACTTGTCCATTCAGAGTATACTCAAACATAAGAAGAGTGTCACTCATGCATGTAATACATTCATGTGAAAGTAAATCATATTGTCACTTGATCTATTAAAAATATCCAATAATTCTTCGTTTGAAGCCGCGTTTGAAGTGGTGTGTACGTTGAGATGCATATTTTACGAGAGCTCATATATTTTCTAGGGTTAAAAACATACATTTATTACTTCGCTCGCTGCTGGTTCGGTTAGATTACCGAGTGACCCTAAACATATACAATACACAGAAGAAGCCTCACAATACTATAGTCAACATGTCATGTCATAAGGGATTAACTATATTCATGTGAAAACAGCGAGTGTTCTTTAACTTCTTTTGAGTAGTATATATTGTAATCTCTTCTTCTCATATGTTTTGATAACGTTTGGACTTGTTTCACTTGAAGTCTTTTGCGTTTCTTTTCATCTTGAGTACTGTTCCTTTTTTACCGATGAGAATCCAGTGACAAAAATAAAAACAACAGGGACATGTCGTTTATCATGTCTTTTTTTCTCTTTGTTGGGTTTGGATTGGGATGGGGGTCAGGGGGAATCAGGGGAGGGTCACCAACAAATATGGCAGCCTCTAGAGGAGGGTTATAAAACATAATACACTTATTTGTGGAAGGACATAAAGAATGGACAGTTTATATGTGCACTTTGTATTTTCAGATGAGTGTTTTCATGGTAAAAGTGTACAATACATTGGAAGGGTCATACGAAAATATGACAAGCATTAAGGGAGGGTAATTATTTTCAGTACATTAACGCATACAAAACCTGTGAATTACATTCATCTTCACAGATGTTTTGATAACAAGATTGATTAGCAAAATGCATGATGACGTGAGATTCCGATTGGCACTTTGGAACCACCATGAAAACGTCTCTTGAACAAAACAAGCATCTTGAAGGCTGACGTGCTAGACTAACACTTCGTCTTTGAAAACATTTCTTCAAAATAATTGTATTTATTTTATTATTTTTTCAAAAGAGGCCTTCCTCCTCTACTGTTTTGTGTAATCAAGAAACTAGACTTGGCTTAGTTTGATCTAGACTTGCCTTGGCTTTTAGTATAAAAGCAGAGGAGGAAAGGTCCTTTTGAAAAAAAAGCACCAAACAATTATTCCAAAGAAACGTTTTTTTCTATCTCTCTCTCTCTCTCTCTCTCTCTCTCTCTCTCTCTCTCTCTATATATATATATATATATATATATATATATGTCCACAGTGCCCACACAAACACCGCTTTACCCTGACCAAGGTCCGGCAGCGAGTGCAAAAAATCTTGAGAGAAACAAGCTGGCACCGCTCCTTAAATTCTTGAAGCTCGACCATACTCACTGCATACGTTGTTAGTACTCCTTGTGTGCTGCAGGGCTTCTGTTTTCTAACATATAGTTGCTGAAATGAATATATTTGAAAGAAAAAGAAACACTTGTTAATTAATCTTAATATAATATGATAAAAAGAGACAACTATTATAGTCTTGAGTAGGATTATTGGATGTATTTGTTTCAGGGTCTGCATGTACGTATGATTTGTTATTGTTCTCGCACTCAGCAATATTCCAGCTATATGACGGTGGTCTGTAAATAATCGAGTCTGGGCCAGACTATCCAGTGATTAATATCATTCATGAGCATCGATCCACGCAATTGGGATCGATGACTTGCATCAACCATGTCAAGCGAGACTGACCATCCGATCCCGTTAGTCGCCTCTTACGACAAGCATAGTCGCCTTTTACGGCAAGCATGAGTTGCTGTGAAGATCTATTAATTTTTGTATGACAGACCAGGGCTAATAGTTGACACAAAACTAAATATGTAAGCAGTGAAGAATACGGTATTCGGTATATTACTATGTCCATCCTCATGGTTTATTCTCTCTGCAGTGATTTATTGTACGATATACAACTCCCATCCGTCGTTTATTCGTTAAATATAAGAACTCATAATGTGACAAGTTAGTTATCAGGTGATAAGAGAGGATTTTATGCAAGCGTTTATATTGTTGCAAACGTGCAGTGAATAAAAAGTAAAAGATCTAATTATGTCAATACTATTCGGGTAAAACGTAGAAGGAAGGAAGTACATGTATCCTGTTAGTATTTTCATCTTTGTAATATCCGAGAGAACGACATGCGCCATCCGGGATATTGCTCGATATTGGTAACAACATGACTGAACGAAGCTGGGTCACACACATGGAAGACCAGGCCTCCTTTGTGTGTAGCCCACTAACTGGACAAGCATGTCACATTTCTAGAGATCGCCCAACCCTTGATTTCCAAGGGAGGCTGCAATATAATTTACCACTAGGATTTTACATTAAAAATACATATTACATTATTATTTTGTTGAACTATACTGTAGTTGTTACAGTACTATTCATTCACACTTGTCTGGAATGACTCATGATCCTTGTGAAAAGATTCAATAATTTATGCTATATTTCATCCGGGTTCTATTTTATATGCGTGCTTGATCACGTTTACCAGAGCAGACGTGCAAGAACAATATGCTATGTGGATATATGTAAAATTGAAACGGTTGTCCGCCTCGATCTATGCGTGTCATTCGTGCCAGTGAAATATGTGATATAATTTCTGTTGCCCTGGTAAAAGCAAGATCCACGAGGAGCTGGTTAGATATCATGTGATCACACCAGCCAATCGGAGCCGCATACATAAGTCACGTGGACATGACCTTGGACAAAGCCTTGCGCGCCTGTCTGCAGCCTTTACCACACAGGATCTAGTAGTGTTAAAATCATTCGACACAATGGCAGAAGGAGAGGCATACAGTCAGCAGGATTATGCGAATTTTGATGGTCAAAATGGGGACCAGTATGAAGAAAGTTCAGGGGCATATGTACAGGAAAAAATGGAAGGCCAGGAAACAACAGAAGATCAAGGCTCCGGCGATGATGAATCTAAAGACGATGGGAACGAAGACGCAAGGTTCGTTGTTTATTTGATTTGCCGCATTATCAATACCCGAAATTACATTTTAACCAAGTTCGCTTTACTTATGGTGCTGTATTTCGTGTCAGATTCCTTGATCGCATCTTTCTTGCGGTTTTACGAGCGGAGCCGGTCCGATCTCGCTCTAGACAACTGGCGTCCAATATGGCGGCCGGCTTTGCCATGTGCTTTCATTGTCGCAAACCGGTGACCTACTTTTTGAGTTGAATTTGCTAGCAGTAAATGCTAAGTCATGTAGTGCAGCAACAACACTACTGCTGAAAATACAACTCCAGTGAAACGGATTTTTATGAAATAAGGCGGTTACAGATCTACATTTAACATGGCAAATGCAACCACTTCGTTATCGACAAGACTAGGCTATTGCGTTCTAGGCCACCGGGGTTGTTTTTCATGCACATTATGTAAGCGTATTGGTTGGTATGCGCTTTAACAATCGTGGTACACAGTTCCCCAATTGTAAAAGGTTAACCGTACTGGCGACAATGATCTGTTTTGAAACATAATTTTCGTAAAGACATTTTTGCAGCTAGCCTAGAATGTTCCAACTGATGAAGGCCTGCTATCTCTGAATGGGATAGTATGTATCTTGGCCTAATCTCTGAATGGATAAGACTAGGCTTACCTCTTATCTAAGACCTGCTAATAGCTTATTTTCGGTTGTAGCTGTACAGTCATGCCTCAGAATTAAAAAATAATTAGAATGTTCAATAGTAAAATGTTTTTATTTTTTTAAGGGTTATTTGCGTTTCACAGATATGGGGGTGGGATGGGACAAAACCCATCAGTAAACTGGGATATCATATTGTGATCAAGAGTAAGAGTGAAAAAGCTATTTGTGTGCCTTTAAATGCTGGGTAGGGGGCATGGGTGGCCCAGATGTCTAAAGGTGTCGCAATTCGCTGTGCAGAGTTGCGTCCCTTGGGCACCCTAGAAACCTATGATTGTGGGTTTGAATCCCGGGTTGGCCCGACTATGCCCCGAACGTCTCAGACATGTATCTTGGGCTTTCCTCCCACATTAAGCTGGCACGCCGTGGAATACTGCTAAAAGCGGCGTTAAACCCAACTCGCTGTGCTGGATAATAATTCATTGCCTGATCCTTATCTAAGCATAAGTTTCTTAAAAGATATAAGCATACTCTAGATCGTTAACTGGTTCATGTGGAATGCAATGATTCAGTCAGTAACTAACACTTTTGAGTCTACACTAGGTGAACATGGCACTTGTCCCCAAATAAGTTCTTTGAATAAACACAAGCAGTCTGGAACTTAAGCCACTAGTCACAAGCCAAAGTCCCGTAAGATCAACTAACAGTCCCTACATAACGCTAAAATGTACAAAAAGGTATGCTCTACACCAAGATTGGGCTAGTTTACCCTGAGGTGTTTGGCACAGACTATACACTCAGCTAGTTTGAAATGAGATGTGTTCAGAATGACATGATTTAACCAAAGTCTTTAGTCTGAATTTGAAATTTATCATTCTCAAGGATGCCATCCATTCCTGTCATTTGATTGGCTGCCTTGAGCCACATGCTTGAGTTTGGTCAATCCTTATATGTAGATTGCAACAAACAGCTTCATTAGATACCAATTTGTATCCAAATACCCAAAATAGAAAACAATCTTTGGACATGTTACTCATACAAAGCTTCGACGAAAATGGAGGTATTTCCGGGCATCTTATGCTACTGGCCGGAAAGGCACAACTATTGAGAAATGTGTGATGGTAGATTTAAATTAAATTTTTAAAAATGATTTCTGATAAATGGAACAATGACAATAAAAAGGTATGTTGATATTATGAAATCTTTACAATTGCCGAAATTCACCAGTGTTTGCTTCCATGGTACTTAATCTGGTCATTAGGATTATTATTATTTTTGTTAAAAAGAAACTTATAAGATACTAATACTTTTATGTGATTGACATAACTCATATATATATATGAACAGTAGGGTTAGACCTTTCAAATGGTATTTGACATGTGGTTGGAAAAATAATTACAAGTTGATAATTTCCTTGATAAATGTAAGCTTCCTCTTTCACCCGAGTCTATTTGGTGACCAATTTGGTTTTCACTGTTTTAATTTTAGTTTTGGCAGCCATGTAATTTGTGTATACTATGCACCTCCACTATTAGACAGCCTTTCACTTCAGAGGTTATTATTCTCTCAAAGAATGAAGTAGACACATGTGTATACATTTTGTTCCTGTGATAAACCTGTAAATCAGTCAAAAGGTATCCCAGCAAAAATGAAGTAATTTGAATGGAATTATCGGGGGAAATTTAATCTGAAACTATGGTGCTAGGAATAAATTATTCTTAGTTGCGGTCTTCACAATAAATGTTTAAGAAAAAAAACGAGACTTTTATTGGCAATCAACCAATTAGCAATCACAGATTTGATTGATTATCAATAGATCCGAGAGACATGATTATCTATATTAATATGTAAAGCAATAACCAGCACCACTGATGAAACCCCATATTTCTTTGAAAAATTGCAAGTCAAGTTTAGAACTTAACGTTAGCCTGGGGCTACTACCCCCCTAGTGCAAATTTCTGTGGGCTAGTACAAATTACCCAGTAAAGCTTTTGAGTTAAAGTTCTAACTCTGCACATGATGAAAATTTGTTATGTGAATGTGTTTGTCGTGGGCTCCCACATGTTCTGTTTTCAGCTTTTTTTAATACTTTGTTCATGCTCCTAAATTCTTCCAAGTGTGACTGAATTATTCAAGAGGTTCTAATCTTGATTTTTTTCAATATGAGTATGACAGCCATATCTAAGAAACATTTTATGGCAATTGTTTGGCATATTTTTTTAATTACCATGTTGTAATTTGCTATGTGTATAGTTTGGCTTAACATATGTTTGCAATATTTCAAATTTTGTCCATGCACATAAATTCACCAAATGCTTATTTGCCTCTGTACACTTCTGATCCGTCTGAAAATACCAGTCTGAATGAGAACTCAGATGTTTTCTTTAGTATGATAGAACTTGGTGTGTCATCTCTAGGTGTAGAATTTAGGGTTCTGAGTGATCTTTATTAAAGTCAGGTCTAAATGGAATGGTAATTTGTATGATAGTTCTGCTTTATGTTCTTAAAAGGTGTTGGCATGACAAGTTTGTAAGAGTTGGCACACACCACATTTACAGCTAGAAATAATAATTAACAATTATTGGCCGGGCAGTATTGGGTTTTATGCAATATCCGTTTGTTTGGACAATAAAACATGATTGCCCGAATTGTGGTCAATAGTACTTTTATTACATAATTTAAAGTTTTTTCGAATTTCTAGAATAATTGAATCAGATGCCACAAGAAATCGCGAGGTGATGCACAACATGTTATGCATTACGCTCTGGTTGATTGAAAATATTTCTTTGTTTAGTCCATTGGCTTAATCACGCAGGGCAATATCACTTTTGATCACTGCATGGCAGGGTGATACAGCTCAAGCATGATAAGGTTTGGCTGTCTGGTAACTGGGAACACTATTTTGGTAATACATGTATGCTAAGTTTGTACAGTCATTCATCTGTATCATTACCCTAAATTTTAACATATCTTCTGGACATTTTAATGTCAAAGACAGACTGATCTGAGACTATTCTATTGTCAGTTTGTAATATTCACTATTTCTTCTTTTTTTTTCAGAAAAATATTTGTGGGCGGATTGAGTTGGGAAACCACATCAAGTAAGTTACCTGTGGAGGTTTGAAGGCATTAAGTCAATTTTTCATATGTTATAAGCAAGTTGCAAGAAGATTCCTGTACCACATTAACAGTATTTATTTAATATCATAACATCCAATGTTATTTTGTAAAGTGTTATTAACTGTATTCATTAGCATGGACTATATCTTTAAATTATTCTTTTGCAGAGGATTTAAAAGATTATTTTACAAAGTTCGGCGAAGTCGTCAGTTGCACATTGAAGACAGATCTAGAGACAAAACGATCCAGAGGTTTTGGATTTGTTGTGTTCAAGGATATAGATTGTTTAGAAAAGGTAAGTGTCAGCAATTTTGAAAACACATTTTTGGCCACTGTTCAGTAGACAATATGGGCTCTTTTGCGATGGTAACCCACACTAGTGTGATAGTATTAAACAAACTTTAAGGTTTGATAACTAGATTTTATCAATGTTATGGAAATGAATAAAGTATTGTCAAAGTCAGTCATTTTTCTCCCTGTTGCCACTCCAACCAAAGAGAAGTAACTCTAATCTGAAATTTGGCCTGACTTTCCTGACACAATTGTTATTTTAAACTATTTGCGACTTTTGAAACAATTCTGAATACCATCGACAATAAGCCATTTTTACATTCCTATCAAGTACACTTGTAATGCAAACAATTGCAACACATCAGTAGTTCCATATATATCATACCACTCCAACTGTTTAGTAATTTCTGCTCAATTTACTTGTCGCCTGAAATTGTCACTGAGGGTGAGCACTGGCATGTATTTTTCTCCTTATACATAGTTTTCAAGTCTTTAGGATTTTAGTGGTTTTTTTTTTTAAAAAAAAAGCTTAGTCTGGCATTGGAACATTATGGCTCAGACTTGAAACTTGAAAAAGTAAATTTCAATGTACTCTTGCAACAATGTTCTAAAATTCAGATTTAGAAACATTGTGGAAGTTACGTTATTTGTGCAGAGAAAAATTCAGAGCATTGTTGACAGCAACTAGAAATTTTGGATTTGACTTCACATGCAGGTGTTGAGCTAATATGCTTTGGCACTTCTTGAAGGAATTCAATCCTGATTGCAAGTGTATCACCAAGTTGTGGTGTTCTGATTAACATCCAAGATTGATAAATCCTTGTCCAAACAATCAATAGAACATGATATTCCATAATCCAACAAGCAACTTTGACCCCTCTAAACCCTGAGATAGTTTTGTATCTTACTTGAATAACAGAAAAAAATTGAATTAAGTGAGGCCAGGCTAGAGTTTTGAAATTGCAGAAGTATGCGTGTTTGGTGTGATAAAAATAACAAAATTATACTCACAAATGAATTACATTTACTATTTTACAAACCAATTCACAAAACTACAAATATGTTGTTTTTTGTCATAATGATGTGCACAAGTATATTCTGCTTTGCTCCAAGGAGCAGCATGAAGCAGTGTTATTTCATGGATATTTTGTTCTTATTTACTTCTTTTTTTACAGGCACTTATGGAGTCAGAACACAAACTTCATGGGAGAAATATTGACCCAAAGAAAGCAAATCCAAGGGCAAAGGCAAATAAGATATTTGTGGGAAGATTAGATCCAGCAGTTAAAGAGGATGACATCAAAGCATACTTTTCAAAGTTTGGAGAAGTAAGTTCATAATTTGTCTTTCGAAAATAATATCCCATCATAACCCTTGAATTTCTTTGTCATGTCAAGATCCTCAAGGCCCATTACCTGGAAAAGATTGTTCTAACTGAAGAGTATAATGATTACTTATGGATTGGTCTTAGTCATATGCATTAAGGGTGAATGCATTCTTTCTTATTGATTAAGCTATTGCCATGGGCATTTCTTAAAGGTAGCTGGATGCATAGGTCTTGCGGTTTTTAACTTGATACGCATTTTCCCAAACAGAAGGGGGGATGTCTCAAAACCAGAAGTGCTTATAATAGTAGCAAGAAGCACATGACTGAATTGGACTACATTTGAAATTATGGAACGACAAATATGAATATGAATAGATCTGTGAGGTCAGCTGTTACGAGACATGGTTCCTGACACATATTTCTGGTGGGAAGGTATGGGGCATTCCAGCGTTAGAAATTGGCACTAGTCCTATAGTCCTTACTAAACTGCCCGGGGCGGTCGGGTAGCCTAGTGGTTAAAGCGTTCGCTCGTCACGCCGAAGACCCGGGTTCGATTCCCGACATGGGTACAATGTGTGAAGCCCATTTCTGGTGTCCCCCGCCGTGATATTGCTGGAATATTGCTAAAAGCGGCGTAAAACCAAACTCACTCACTCACTACTAAACTGCCCAATGGTAAAGGTATCCTAAGGACTAGTAGAAATTTGCCCATTTTCAGGGTTTTGCTATATGTTATTATAAGGACCAGTGGACAAAAACTGTTTCTAACCCTGCATTCAGAAAAAGGTTTGGATGGACCTGGTTTTGATTTTACCTAAAGTGCAAATGCATTTCTTGTGTTTATTAAAGATGTACGACTAAGAAATAAGTCCCTTTTTTTAACATAGGTTGCAAAATTGGATCTGCCATACGACAAGATCAAAGAACAGAGGAGAGCTTTCTGCTTTGTTGAGTTTGATACAGAAGAGGCCCTTAAGCATTGCTTAGAAACAAATAAACACAAGATCGGAGATCAAGAGGTAAGGGTTCAGAAGAATTACATTCTTATGTCTTAAGTACTTTTTTTTAATAAACAGTCTATTTTCTATTACAGGTAAATGGCAAATTCATCTTAGATCTTCATTTCATCTTTCCTCCCATTGTTCATTAGAATTTAAAAAAAAGGGAAGACAATGGTATCGAGTTCCGGTTGGATGAAAAAGATCAAGTAACAGATTTGCCTTGCCTTCAGTTTTATGTGTAAAGGGTAAGACTGCTGCTTGGCAGTGTGTGTAATAGTAAGTGGTAAAGGCTCAAATAGTGATAGAGGTACCCAAATCTGACGATACCACTAAATGATCCTCGTTTTGTTCCGCTTTCCTGCAGGCGATGGAATTGGTGGGACAAAGGAGCCGAAATATTGCCAGTTGAGGTCTGATTCAGAGAGGTACCTCCGCATGTAACTCTCGCGGCAATGATAAATGTAAACTTGTTAAGCTGATTTTAGTTTACATTTATCGCCAGTTAAATATAGTTTAACCGCCCATCATTTGTGTTAAATTAATTATTTAATTGCATATTTTCCTTAATTTTTCAACAGGCTTCTTGACAGGGAAGTAATCTACAGTTTCATTTGCAGTATATTTGCTGGTTTTCAGGTTTGATAATTCAGTTTAATTTCATCTTTAATGATGGGCTTTTTCATTCCCCATCCCCTTTTGTCTTTAATCCTAACTGGTTAGCTGTGTTGGGGACTTTGGTGTATGTATTTCTTGTAAGCTGTGAGATTCTTTTTCAGGTGGATATCAAGCGTGCAACACCGACTGCTGGCAGGGGCAGAGGAGGCAGAGGCGGCTACGGAGGTGGGTGGGGATTTGGAGGCCGTGGAGGTGGCAGAGGTAGGGGACGATGTGAGCTGCATGGCCTGATGAAATAGTGGCTCCAGTAAAGGCACTACACTTTATCCAGTCATTGTACTCCTTTTCAAACGAAACACTCTAGAAGTCGCAACTTTTTTAATCATCCATTTTTCAGTAGACTTTTTTTCTTAAATACATAGTGTATATGCTATTTTTTTAATTGTTTTCCCCTCTTATAATGAGCAAACTGCTTCAAAATTGTATTTGTCGAGTCTGACAATTGTTTGTTGAAAAACACATTACAAACATTGAACATATGCCTGCAAACATACATATATTTTTTTTAAAGTTGGATAATGTTCCTTATTAAAGTTACATTCTACCTCATACACATAAGAGTACAAAAATGGCATGGGTAAGTGTTGGTACCTGTTTATTTGATGGGCAATTTTGGACCAAATGCATGTTAAATTGAAAGGTAAAGCCAGATCTTTATAAAAATTTGAGGAAATTTTGCATGTGCTGTTTGTGCAAAAAACATTGAAACAAACTGGTTTCTGTTGTGAAATTGTTTGCCATGTCAGGCCATTGTCTGCTCTGTGTCGTGTCTTGCCTTGTCATTGAGTGTCTGAATGTTCCCAATATTTACTTATGCATGGTGCACAATAGGTAAATGTGCTGCCATACAAACAGCTCAGACAAGCCAAACCTGTGGAATGTTTGCAGCATCACTGAATTGAGGCTGAGTATGGTACATTGTATTTTATGTATTTTTGCCTTTGTGATTTTACACCCATTATTGTAATCTAGTTCTTTAGCAAATACAATCAAAGTAAATGATAGTTGTTGTCCTTGCAGTCTGCTTTATTTGAGGCTTGTGAATAGCATTTAGAGGGCCAGCTGGTCCTGACACAAGGACCATCGGAATTCACATTTGTCGTGATGCCCTTGAGCAATTTTTGTTTAACAATATATTGTAGTATTTTGAAAATGTTATGGATCTTCTTGTAAATAACCTGATCTTGTAGGGGCTCGTATGGTGTTTATTGAAAAGTCCTTGTTACTTGCTTAAACAAAGTTGGGTTTTTCTTTGGTCGATAAAGTGAAAAACTTCAACGTGAAAGCAATAATTTTTAAAGTAAAGCTGCTCAGACAGTTAATATGGTGCCAACTACGAGTCCTGTCATTTGATTCCTTCCTTCATGATTGCATTGAATCTTCAGGTGGCTGGGGACAAGGCTGGCATCAGGCCTACAATCAGAACTACAACAACTACAATAACTACTACGGTAGTGGCTATGGTAGTGGCTATGGAGGATACGGTGGCTATGGTGGTTACCAGGGATATGATTACAACCAGGGATATGGCCCATGGGGAGGATATGATCAATATGGTGGATATGGAGGATACGGTGGTAAGTCTAATCTCAGCTTTATTTGAAGCAACGTGTCCAATGATCTGACGGAATCCATGCCATCAATCTGGTAGCCCTGTTTTTGCAACTTTGATTTTAATTTGAGAAACGTTACCTAGAGAAATTTTAACTTCATGTTAATCATGAAATAATGTTAAAGTTCAATTATTTAATAGGAGAATTTGTTTGGTTTGCAGCTTAACATTAAGTGCCACTTCGAATTGTTGAATCTACAGAATTCTGGATTATTTTTTGTGTGTGGAAAGTTCAATGCCCATCTGAATTTTGTCTGGCTACATGGTGGAGGTCATGAGTGAAATTATAAGGAATAGGCATGGTATCATGGCATGTTAGTGTGCTTTTAGACAATGGCAATATGTACCTGTCAGGATACAACTAATACTGCTTAGTGGAGTTGGGGAAATATTGAACTTAATGGATTATCTTTCCTGTGAAATCTACAGTCATGACTAATACATGCAAAACAAATATTAACCCCTGCATATGACACACCTTCATTACAGACATGTTACATCCTCACATACACCAATTGTTCATGTGGATTATATGAATTTTGGTTGAATGTGAATTATTTGCATCCATATGCACTACAATTTTGAATGTATTCTGCCACACTGAGGAATTAGTGTTGTTAAGGTTATCTGCACCTTGGTAGTAATGCTAGTTTTCTGTAATTTTGAAGGTTATGATTACGGAGGCTGGGGCTATAACCAGGACCAAGGTGAGTTGACTGCTGACTGGTTGTAGGTTAGGAGGAGACATGCTCGATTGTTTGACTGCTGTGTTGATAGCCAGCCAGGCACGTGCACTGTCTCAATCCTCAGTTCCATGATGGATCCCGGGGATGCTTCTCTAAAACCCCTTGCTTGTTTGTAGAAACATCTAACACATCTAGGAGCCAGGTTGTGTTATGTATTCATTTTTTTGTTATTTTTCCCCTCGACAGGTTGTGTACAGTGTAGACATTGAATGATCAACTGTAGTTGTCATGTGGTGTTTTGTCACTTTTGTGTTGGTGGATCGGTGTACGAGGAACACTCACCTCTCTCTACATCTATACTACACAGGGTTTACATCTTGTAGTGTCACTTGCATGGTAGTGAATGGGACAGTAGATGTGCACTTGATGTATTCACAAGGTCCAGTGAAAACTCTGATGGGCATTGACACGTCAGTTTGAATCTTTTTGGAACTTCGAAATGCCCAGTCTGGAAAGGTGTTTTGGTTGTTTGACAGTTTATGCACTTTTTGTTGCTTTTGTTCTGTGGCACATTTTTTCAGTTTCTATGTCATAGAGTGCATGCTCCTCTGGTTTTCAACTCCCAAGTTGGTAACACTTCTTGTAAGCAACTCAATACCCTCTGTTTCTTTATCAGGCCAGCAGAGTAACTATGGAAAGGCACCAAAGAGAGGGGGTGGGGGCTACCACCCATACAACCGATCATAAGCCGCATCAAAGTAAAATTCATGGTAGGTCTCTAGAGAAGTCCTAGTTGTTGACATTTGGCTCTAACTTCATTTGACAATGTACATGATGTCTTCAAAAATGATCAAAATTTTAGAGAATGCACCTAGATTTAGCAGCTCACGACGTTCAAAATCCATTTTGAAAATTGACCGTTTGACCAATATGAAGTAAAAGTAAAAGCAGTCTTTTATCTCTTTCACAGGGTCTCTTCAGTCTGCAAAGATGTCATCGTGCTCGTGTGTATCATAAGACAGTCATTCAAGCTTTTTATTTCATTATCACCAATTGTCATGGCCTTGATTATTTTTTTTCTCATTCCATGTATGTGAATAGATTTTACATGTCATCACAAATAAACAAAAACTCAATTTTAAAAAGTAGTTTTGTGATATGTTAATTGACAAAGACTGCTCCCTGTCTGGTAAAACTAACGTGGTTTCTCATCTGAGCTGCTTTCTCTAAGTTATCCAAGCTACGTAAGACCTCAGCTATGTATGGGTGGTATCCTGACTCCCTCTCGTGTCTAGGGTCAGAGTAGTTAATCTTTTTTTCTTGTATATGGGATTCTACAGGCTCTTGATGAGTATCCACATCTTTTCCAATCGACGACTGGGAAATGTTTTACAACAGGAGAGCAGTTTGCAAACTTGGTCTACTGCAGTAAACTTCCTCTGAAGAAAAAGCATGTGGATTTATAGATGCTGTCAAAATTAAAGATCCAGTAGTTACTGCAGTTTTCTTCCATAGACTTGCTTCGTGTCGAAATGGACTCGGGACAGGTGCAGATGACTTCATTCATGGACATTCGGCCTCTGCGCTTTTCAGACGGACTTTCACACAATGTTTATGAGCAGATGTGATTTATTGGACTTAATCCTGCATGTGTAATGGTTTATGGGGTTTCCACTAGTTAATTAAAATAAACGAACAATTTCTGATAAAGTATTAAATGCTGAAGTTGGATCGCCATGATCTTTGTAAAATTTATAAATTAACTTTTGGAAACCCTGACACAAGGAACAAAGCAACATTACCAACATGTTGAACTTGGGAGTTTTCACGTACCTTTTGCATGCATCTTGTGCACAAGCAACATAAAGCAAAACCTTAGCTGAAACAAAAACACAACTTATGGCTCATTCACAGATTTTCAAGCATTACCAAACAATGCTCGATGAGTTCATGCTTGAAATTAGTGTTAAGATACCAGAATTTCTTTTTTAGCTTGCTATGACCAAAGGTTCAAGTAAGCGAAACTTAAGGTGTATCTGTTGTCCATGTCACAGAAAGGAAGTTTTTCTCTGGACTGCCGTATTCGACGTAATAAGCACCCAGGGCTCTTATTAGAATATTATTTTGGTGGAAAAAAAACAGTTGAAGGATCGTTAATTTCATGGTTTATGCTGACAGCCTGAAATGTTAATGTACCACATATATTTTTCCAGAATTTAATTCCCAAAAATAAAGGGTGCATATAACACAAAAGTGCGTATTATACGCGAATAGGGGAAGGCAGGGTCGCTAATTGAGATTGTTTACTAGCCAATATATTGGCAAATCTCGACGTGGGCGCTTATTACGTAGAATACGATACATGTTCTACTAACTGGTTGTTCGTACACTTTAAAATGTCATCTGACATATGTTGGAAAGATATAATCCATTATCAATAGCCAGAAGGCATCTCCAATGCTACAGTTTGCTGGCTTTGTAGAAGCAGTTCATTGTCATTATTTTACAGTCTACAGCTGGTTTAGTGAAGAGTATGCATATAACCTTGCACAATCATTTCATCATACACATTTCATTTAACATTCCATTTTGTCATTTGGAATAACAAACAGTAATACTTTGCTGCACATGTTCTAGATGTATTTCTGCAAACAAGACCATCTGGATTACTTTACATGAACTTGAGTGCTTCTAAGACTGGTTTTGTGTTATTGTGGCTTCTTAAAAGGTGCAAGATGCTTTCTTAACCGCACACATTTGATGTATATTGGAGACTTTATACCTGATAACACTGAAGAGCCGAGACTAGGGCTTCAGCAAGCCATGCTTGTAATAGGCCACCAACAGGATCTGGTGGTAAGGCTTGCTGACTTGGTCGATGCATGTCATGTCACAATGGCATGGATCATTGCTCATTATGTCAATCACTGGATTGTCTGTTCCAGACTTAATTATTTACAGACTGCCGTCGTATAGCTGGAATATTGCTGAGTGCAGTATTTAGCAAAAATCATACCTGATATACCTACCTTTGCCATTTAAGGTCAAGGACACTTGGTATGAGACATAAAAAGGTACACAATAGACATTTATGGTGGGAATTTGAAACTTAATCAAAGGATGGTCAATGTTAATTAGGTGTTGAAAGCCTGCACATTATAACTTTATTTATGATGTGATGAAAAATGACACATGTGAGCTTTTTGGTATCTCGACCAGATTACATTCGTAAAAGGTCATGGTCACTTGTGGTCAGATAAAAAAATAATTCGTAACTCAAAATATAGAAAATGTGCTTTAGGTTTTATAATTTTCTGGAAGCTCATGTTTCCAAACTGGATGCGATGCCATTTTACCAGATACTTATGGCAGCTTGAGGAAGAGAACTACATCAGACAACATTATGTATCACAGATGAATGTAGATAGATGCTCAATTTCCATGTTACTACCAGGGGATGTTAAGTTTTCTACCTGATATTAGTGAGTTTTTATCTCCAAACAAAACTAAGATGCACTGAAAGTATATTCAACTTTTGAAAACTTAGTAATTTAAGAAAGTTTGCCAAAAACACTTTAATTTTCTTTGTATGATTTAAAAACTGTTTTCTCCTAATGACATAATCCCAGTTACCATATTTGCTGTATTTAGCACCCTAATAAGCTCCATTCTGACCAACAATGAGACTAATGTCAATCAAGCTTTGTAAGCACCTGTTACTTGGACAAGTTTACATGACAGTAATTGTCTTGTGCATTATACAATAGAATGGGATGGGTATTATAAATGCAAATGTTGATTTTAAAAAATTCCCTAAAGCAGACGGTTTTATTTGACCATGGACCATGAGACAAATTCATAAACAAAAAATATATTTATATTCAAAAAGCAAACCCTTCATCTTTCTGCAATATTTAACGATTTTTCCACTACAAGGCAAGAACAAGAGAATCTCTGAATACAATGTTTCTACACTCGATCTATCAGTCCAGAACAACTACAAACGATTTATTAACCAAGACAGTGTCTTCTTTTCACTACATGAACTAGTGAACTTTTTTATAACTTTGTTGTTTATTAGATTAATAAGAGAATATAAAGTACAAATGAACTGGTCCGGCGTTTGAGAAGCCAGGCTATTAAAGTACAAATGAACTCTAATAGCCTGGCTTCTTAGAAGCCCCAGACCAAACTAGAACTGAAACTTAGGAAACATAAGATTTGATTATTATATACCATATATGAATACATGAATCAGAATTACTTTGTGAAATGTGAAGTTTGAAATTGATTATCGATAATCCGTACCATACTTAACAGCAACACACATTGCCTGGTAAATTCAGTACATTTGAGCCTTACAGCCTTGTGTAAGGCTATAACCATGTCTCACCCCACTCATGCTCAAACGCCTAAGAGCTGCATATGATATATGTCCTCGGTCAATTGAACCAGATAATGCAAAATGAAAATAGTCCCAGACTATGCCCCTCACAAAAACCTGCTTGCTCTTCTATAAATCAACTGTTTTCAGCCCACCCTGGAACTCTCATGTAAAGTACACTGGTAAATAATTAGCCCAGGTTTTGACAAGTACATGCCCAATTATCCGTAGCAATTTTCTAAACGATTTTCAGTGCACCTGACTGATAAGGCAAGTGTCCCATACATTAAATATTTTTTTTAAAAATCCCTGTCCGGTTACGATGCAAATGCTACTATAATGATAAAACTCTAGTATATCAACAGTTTTTCAGTCAGTTTTTCAGTCAGTTTTTCTCTTTACCCATTATTGCTCAAGGTTGTTCTCTTCCACCTGATCTGATATTTAATTCATGTATGGTCTGTTTGTCAATTGTCTGACTGCCCCAAGTGCTTTTTACAGTAAAAATGGTATGTTAGGCTGCTATTTAGCCAAAAATTTATTCAAATTTGTAATTCTTTGAAGAAAAAAGGGGCTGTCGGGTAGCCTAGTGGTTGAAGCTTTCGCTCATCACGCCGAAGACATGGGTACAACGTGTGAAGCCCATTTGTGGTGTCACCGCCGTGATATGCTGGAATATTGCTAAAAGCGGCGTAAAACCTCACTCACTTAAAGAAAATTGAATTGCATTCTTCATAATCCATTTTGTTGTGCTTATCCTAGATCATTTGGCCATCATAGCTTTGCTACCCCCTGGCATATAATGTGGGGGGATCTAGCGATCAGCCATGTCTGTCCGTCAGTAATCATTTCCTTTTCCAGGGCAGAACTCGAAAACAATTCAGTGTATTTGATCGAAACTTGGCAAATCTATCAGTCACATACTGAAGTGGTGCCTTTTGATAATTTGGGATTTTTCGAATTTATATTTTTTAGAAATTTTATGGAAAAAAGTTTGACATAGACTCCATTGGGGATTGGGATCGTTTCTTGGGCAGAATTCGAAAACCATTCAGTATATTTGATCCGAACTTGAAAGATGTATCAGACACATGCTGAAGTGGTGCCTTTTGCTATTTTTTTAATATTATTTTTTTATATTTTTAATTCTTGATTTCTATTGAAACAATTTGGACTTAGTCTCAAAAGGGTGGGGGTAGGTGTCGTTTCTGTAGCACAACTTGAAAACTGACAGAATTTTCATCCAAACTTGGTACATGTATTAACCAAGGGCTGAAGTAGTTCATTTTGCTATTTAGGAATTTTAACAAAAAATAATTTTTCCTGTTTCCATGGCAACAAGTTTGACTTTGACTCTGTACATAGTGGTGTGTTTGTCTGGACCTTATATCTAAAACTAAAAGGTATTCTTTCTTGAAACTGCACACACAAAGACCAGGTTATCAACTGGTGCCTTTTGCTATTTAGGGATTTTTAGAATTACGATATGTCTGTTTCCATGGCAACAAGTTTGATTTTGACTGACATAGAAATACAAAGTTCTGAATCCCAATTCCAATTCCATAGTATTGTCTTTATAGCCCCAAAACTACTCTTGTATGTGGACAGACAGATTAGAAATTCTCTCATCAACTTGGACTTCAGGTGATTTGCTCTTTCGAACTTGTTGGGGCCGGGGGGAATTTGTCATCCTCTGATGACTCTCGTTTTATTCAGTTTGGAATGTTACAACTGAAAATAGCGGTCCAGTGACATGACACTTTAGTTCATTTTGTAAAACAGTGGTGATATGACCTGTCTTTTTGCATACTGTCTCAGACATAAAATTTCACTCAGTGAAATTCATTGTTAATAGTGCCGTCACTCAAAAAATATCAAGAGAAGATCCATGTGTAACCCAGGAGCATCATTTTGATTAGTTTGGTTTTTTTTGCAAATGAGCTTGAAAAATCTGTGGCTACCCGGTAATTAAGATGGAGATTATATCACTTACTAATCTGAAGTGGCTTATGGGTACTTTTCATAATAGAATGGAGATATGATAACTGGTCAGTAGAGGAGGATATGCAGATGGCATGGTGTGATCATGTGAAGACAAGCCATGCATATTGATGATACATGAAATGTTGATCTTTGATTGAAAGTTCGATCGTAATAAATGAAAGGAAATGATGTGTAGAGATTTCATTTGCAAATTGGTGTACTAGCTTCAGTGCATTGTTAAGATCCACATGAAGTACTAAATTTGATGCCACTTTGCACTGGCTTGTTGATTCAGTCTTCCTGGATTATGTTTTGCTAATAAAATGAAAACAACTTTTGAAGGCAAAAAGTCTTTATTACACAAAGATGGGTCTAATATGGTGAAATTGGATCATAAAGCTCTTTTGGCATTACCATGGTCGGTATGATGGAATTTGGTGCAGATCCACTTCACATTTTCAAATTGGTTCAGAGGCAGGAATATTCCAGAAATGGATTGTCCATCCCACTTTGATGTATCCACTTCATGTCACTATTCTTGATTAATCACAGTATGAACATGTTGCATCATCCAAACATGGAGTTGTGTAAAGATTCCAGCTCATATTCACGTTGCTTGGCTCGGGCCTGGAATGAAAGAGTGTCTGGTATCATGATTGGTGTTCACAAGAAGGGTCAAGAGAAGCACCCCGGGAGAGACCTCAGCTGGTTTATTTCCTGTTGTTCCTAACAGTTGGCATTGACATGAATAGAATAAAGCCATTGTTCTAATATGTTGCTTGTTAATATTTCATGCTGTTGAACCATAATTTATTGTCTGGTACTGTCCAGTGTGCTAGAACTTATTGTTGTGTATGTCTATTGATGTTTGTTTTATTACAAAGTATTTTCTAGGTTACTAAGGGAAGCGTATGCATTGCATCAATATGTTTCTACTCTTGATTGTAGAGTGAGCTATTGTTCACTTCAAAGCTGAAGGTTGACGAGAATGTGTCAAGTATCAACCATGAAGAGTAAGCCTGGCCTACCAGTGAGATTGTGGAAAACCAACCATGTGGACTGACTGTGTTGTCTGGCTCATAGACGTCATCATCCAGACACACCACAGACCTGCCCGTCCGCCTGCTGCAAGCTGCAGCCGACGATGACATGCTAATTCATTTTAAGGTGTTCTGCATCTCTTAACAGTAATTTGAATTCTCAGAACACTTACACATTGATGGCAAATTTAATCATTTGATGACTATGATAATAATAAGAATAATCTTGTTTGCTTTCATTAGCCACTGTATTGTAAAAATGATAACTGAATGTAATTATTGAAAAACATATTACTGTGCCAGTTGTATTATTAATGATGAGATTAAAGGTTCATTCCATATTTAATCTTAAGCAAGGTAATTGTCAGTGGCTCTAGATAGTTTCTTGAATGTCAACAGCTGACTACGCTGTGTGAAATTAACTTGTGGTATGTGGTCAAGGACATGTCTCCACAGAAGTATAGAGCCAACAAGCTACATATACATGCCAGACTCCGGGCAATCGCCTATGGAGAACAAATTGAGCAGCGCTCCTTACATCTGAATGCGCAATGTAGCAACAAGACGATCGCTTCGAGCTGGTTGATAAGCTCAAGCTCTGGAAGTTGGGAAAGTCCCACAGAACCAAACCCACTCTTACCTTGTGCTTCCTGTATTCCTCATAATCGGGGTCATCTGTCGGCAGTTCATGTCGACACACAGGGCAGGAATTAACCTGCAACACAAGGGCAGCATGTGATAATAAACACATCTGTTGAAAATAAATGATTAGAAGCTCGCTCTGTGACCCATCACTGATTGGTTTTTGATTGAAGGTCTACACAGTTTGAAAATACAAAAGAAAATCACAGAATTTTAAAATTTTAAATTTAGTGCCTACTTTATAAAATTGTTCAAAATTTGAATTCAGATTTTAATGTGTAAAGCCTAGCAGTGATGGGTCACATCTAACATTGACAGACATTCTGTTCTCAAATGTTTGTACTGTGTTGTAATTTGTTAAGAGGAATGTTCCAAGGTTCATATTTAACAAACAGTGCACTTTTCAAGGAGTTCAGAAATTAAATTTCAGCTTTCTTTACAGTGAGTACTCTAGTCGGAAATATAGAAACTAAGATATACTTGATATACAGTAATGACGTTTGTGCTTCACTACTTGAAGAAAACTGCTTTTCTTCACAGGGAGTACTCTAGTCGGAAATAACAAGCACATTAACATACAGTAAGGATGCTTTACTAAGCAAAGCTGTTTTAATAATTATTTTGTAATTTGTCATTTATGTAAAAATATCATTAATTTTCTATTGTAGCATATTAGTTTGGTGAAGGTATCACATTACATAAATGCAAATTATGTTAAGTTGTCATTTTTTTGTGTATATTTGTCAGTTAATCATAAAGGGATTTTAAAACAAAGAAATGGTTTTCTACATCTCAACTAAGTAAGATTGTGTTTCCATCAGTAAAGTCAGGCTACAATTAAATCTTAACTAATGTTGGATCTTGTACACACATTCCTGTCATGATTTTGTAATAAAGAACTTGAGTATCTGCAAAATATTGTCTGTTTCATTGGTAATATTGATTGGGGGCGGGCAGTGTTTGAGAGTGAAAATAGTTGGCTGTACCATCTTGAACATGATTAGGTGCCCATGCCTCCAGGTCATGGCAGAGATTTTTGAGGCACTTTAGATTGGTTGGTTTGTTGTTTAACGCCGCACTCAGCAATATTCCAGCTATATGACGGTGGTCTGTAAATAATCGATTCTGGACCAGACAATCCAGTGATTAATATCATGAGCATCCATCCACGCAATTGGGATTGATGACATGCATCAACCAAGTCAGCGAGCCTGACTACCTGGTCCGTTAGTCGTCTGTTACGACAAGCAGTCACCTTTTACGGCAAGCATGGGTTGCTGAAGACCTATTCTACCCCGGATCTTCCATGTCTTGGGCACTTTAGCCATATCCATAAATGATGTTGATTTCATATAAACGGTAAGCTTTATTGTGTCAATTGGCATTTTAGCAGCCATACTTTATTTAGTTACCGCTGCTGACAAGGCATGGATATATTTTATGTAAAGGATAATCAAGGCATCATGCTAAAAAAAAAACGAGGGTATTTCACCAAAAGTCATTTCAGTTTTTTATCCTGACAGTTTAAGAGTTAATCCATGCTGCTTCACTAAAATCCCCAATGTGATGAAAGGGTTTCCGAAATTCAGATCAACAACCCCAGATCGTAGCCTTTACGCAAAGTGTATGGTGCTAAATATGAACAATGTTTATTTCTATATACTGTTTGTGCATATATATATATGGGCAGCACAGAAACATGATGAAAAAAGCAAGGTTTAGTTCGTCATAGCTATAGCACATATAGCTATTGTGACTCAAAGATTAGTCATTTTCGTTTTTAACACAAAATGTACTGTCTCACACACATTTAAAAGATTGTCAATTCAAAATAAAGGTAGGGTAGTTCAGAATACAATTCAAAACAAAGTTGTCATAGAATTGAGCATGAAGCCCCATATTAAACTTACTCTCTGCAGCCAAGGGATGATGCATTTGGAGTGAAACTGATGTTGACATGGCAATGTCTTGGTCTCGTCCTCTTCGTCAAAGTCCGCAAGACACACGGAACACTTCATACACTGAGCTGACAGTAAAGACAAAGGATGTTATTAAAGGCATATTGAACCGACATTCAATTTAGTACAATTCAAAAAAATAATTTCCCTGTGGTTCATGTTTCTGTTTCAACGCCAAATAAAATATACTACTCCAAAGAAGTTAAGGATCACATGATTCTTCATATTACAACAGTTAATCTGTCATGTCAGTAACTTCTCTTGAGTAGTATATTTTCTTGTTTTTCTTGGCTTATGGGCACCATGTTCAGTTTAGTAGGATCACATGATTCTTCATATTACAACAGTTAATCTGTCATGTCAGTAACTTCTCTTGAGTAGTATATTTTCTTGTTTTTCTTGGCTTATGGGCACCATGTTCAGTTTAGTAGTGCTGTGAAAATGAATTCTGCTGAGATTTAGCTGTATTTCCTTTAAAGTGTATTTTAAAGGACAAAAATCCTCCACGTTCCTAACATTCTAGTATACTGCACAGCTGAAAACAAACTGAATGGTGCTGCACCTGCAATATTCCAGCTATATGACGGCAGTCTGAACCAGGCAATCCTGTGACTGATATGAGCAATAATTGGGATATGATGACCTGCATCAACAAATTCAGCGAGCCTGGCCAACCGATCCCATTACTTGCCTCTTCCAACAGGTATAGTCTCCTCTAAGGCAACCATGGGTTGCTGTAGACCTACTCGCAACCTGTAAATCTGTGAAGATCCAGATAGAGCGCCACAAGATGGTCCTTCTTCAACAGTTTATACCTCACAGATATTAATCTGATATTGTATATACCAGTGAAATAATACCACCAAGCTTTTGACAGACATTTCTATATACCAAAACCAAAGGGGAATTTAGTGCCATTATTGCATCTTCTTTTGTCACTTGTCACACTGAATTGGGATGTTTCAAGTGTCCATGGCTGTGATACTGCTGGAAAACAATACCCTCTCACTTCTGTGCTACAACATGCAATTTGGCAGTATTGCAAGAGATTCAAGAAGTTCTAATATGATTTTCTTTATATGATCCTTTTATGGTTACCAGTATTAAATAGCATTTAACCTTTGCATTTTGAAAATTTCTATTCTCTCAAAACGCATTCAAGGATTTGTAAACAAAACTCACTATGATGACATTTGATATCCAAGGTCCTTGGAAAATAATGTCATGTCTAATGTAGACATCATAATTTGTTCAAATTGTGTTGATGTTATTTTTTTTATTGAAAATGGTTTTAAGCATCTTATTCTCCAACACCACAGAAACCTGAAAGTAACACAAATAACAGGACACATTAGAGCCAAAAAATAATCTACCTGCTTGCGTTGGTCCTATAACTTTAGTCGGGAGGTTTTCAACAACTTTCTTAGCGGCTGGTGGAACTTTTCGCTCTCCTCCAAATAGTCTATAACAAATAAAACATGAACTAAATCAAGACATTTACTGATTGTGCCAAATATTACTATTTAGTGTCACGATATCCTTGCCTCACATATTGCTACATATCATAATACTTGAGTCACGATACAATACATATACTACTCAAAAGAACACCCAAAAGACTGTTTGATTGGTTCGATTCAGTGAGTGAGTGAGTTTGATTTTACGCTGTTTTTAGCAATATTCCAGCAATATCACGGCGGGGGACACCAGAAATGGGCTTCACACATTGTACCCATGTCGGGAATCGAACCCGGGTTTTCCAGCGTGACGAACGAATGCTTTAACCACCAGACTACCCGAAAGCCCCTGGTTCGATTCAGATTGGCATCATGTCACTTGGTTTCATGACGTGGACTAAGTAGACCCAAGTAGCTAGCTATCAGGACAGCTGATTGTAAAACTTAGTGATACAGAAACAAATATTTCCACATGGGAAGTCACATCGAGTATAGTATTGTCAGCTGTGAATAGTGATGCATCTTGCATCACTGAATTCTGAAAACCCTACTATTTCCAGTTCAGTCACTTATCTAGGATTCCAAACTAAATCCCATGGAAGGAAAACGTGTTCAAAATTGGGATTGTTTTAAGTTCTTATTTTCTTTAAACATTACGTAGTCACACTATTGTTGCAGTTGATTTTTATCCAGGAATTACCTGGCCATTCTGAACATAATTTAAACAAATAAAACTGACACAAACAACTACAGGTCATTATGCAAAATTATTGAGAAGTTGGAGAAATCACTTGAGAAACTCACAAATTCAAGTAATTTCTCCATTACTAAAATTCAGATGTATTTTTAACAATAATGTAAAACTAAGCATTTATGCCTCCATCTATTTATTGGTCCTGCTATCAGTGAAGCAGAAGACAACTATAAGCAGATAAATCCTAGTTTTTAATGTTGTAATAATAAGTTCGATTGTCCAATAAAGAATAAGAGGCTTTAATGCTTACTTTAACATTACTGCATGGAATGGAATGTTGATATACAATGTTAAAACACCACTGAAATTAAGCAAATATGAACTTTAAAAACCCAATTCTGAATTCTAATTTTCCAGTTATTAGTTTGGAATTAACCACTGTATTCACCTGTTGAAGTCCTCATCTGCAGCGTAGCCCGTGTCAAGCAACAATCTGGAACAAAAGGGATGCAGCTGTTAAATGTTTTCTAACAAAGAAAAATGAAGTTTGTTGTTTAATGCCACACTCAGCAATATTCCTGCTATATGATGGCAGTCTGTAAATTATCGACACTCGACCAGACTATTCAGTGATTGACATCATGAGCGTCCATCTGTGCAGCTGTGACATGATAACATTCAACCAAGTCAGCGAGTCTGACCACCCGATCCTGTTCATCGCCTCTTATGACAAGCATGGGATGATTGAAGAAAAATATGCAATCTGACAGATCTGTTGACCTCCGAGGGAGTTTAAACAGATATGCCAAACTATACACAGCCAGAATTGTAAAGATTTTTCAACAATACTTTCTGTTGAAATAAATACTGGTCTTTTAGCTTTTTCGCCTACAAAGATCTATAAATTGAAATTGGTGTGAATCTTAATCTCATTAAAATCAGATCATTTTCTCTGATACTATAAAATCTGAGGCTTTTTCGCCTACAAAGATCTATAAATTGAAATTGGTGTGAATCTTAATCTCATTAAAATCAGATCATTTTCTCTGATACTATAAAATCTGAGGACATAGAAGGATGCGTCATGTGAACCCTAAACGAACTTTGACTGCTCAATCTAAACGAATGATGCACAGGTTCTGGAGCCAATCAGATGTCAGCTTTCTAGAATGATTTGGCTTCCTCTTTTTATCACTTCAACTGGAAAATTTAATTTGTACAAATGAAATCACAAACAGAACACCAATTTATAGCAACAATAAAACAGGGGTAATAGCTAAAACTGCACCTCAGCAAGACGTCAACCAAGTGAAAATAGATCCTCACCCAAAATGAAAACGGCTACTATTACGAGGCGAAAACGGCACCTTATTTGTTATTTTACTTTGGTTTTTCAAAATAAGCAAAAATTAATTGGGGACATTTCGCTGAGATGCCATTTCAGCCTGCATCCTATGATGGTGCTGCTTTATATTTCTACTTTGTGTTTCTTTTAGATACAGAGATGAGGAGAGGTGAAATGAGTTTTGACATTGTGTTCAAGATTATTGCATTTATATAGCAACATGCATGTATGCATGTGTGTGGCTGCTTGTGCTAGTCCAGACAAATTCTAGTTTTATAGTGCAAGCTGACAGAGACACCATGCTGCAGTTTACCATGGATACCCCCTCAGACACAATAGACTGACTCCAAGCCGACCAGTCCTTGTTTTATACCCTAAATGCCAAGCTGAAGGCAGGGTAACAATAAGTACCAAGGCAAGCTGAAGGCAGGGTAACAACAAGTACCATCATTAAGCATCTTCTGGTATGACACGGCCAGGGATCAACCCACTGATCTTCCACTCTCTGGGAAGGCGCTCTATCCACTAGACCACAGAGCCGGTCTTGAGGCATGCTGGTTTGAATACCAAGAAATTAGAAGCCTCAAAGCTGATGTGACCTCTAATGGAGGTGTCCTCAGATCGTCTTGCAGGGAGGTATCATAACGGGAGGGGAGCACAAGATCTGATTTTATCTGATCTGATCTTCAGTTATTCGGTTTTAGACACAAATCCAAAGCCTAGTAATGGAATTTTAGTAATCTAATTCTCACAATATTATACACATATCAGGATATCTACAACACAACGTTTTGCTTATTACATTTTCATTGACCAATCTGTGGTTATCCCCTACCTGACATTATATGTATCTCATTTCCTACAATTGTTCAGTTCTTAGTCTTCAACACTCAGTCTGATGGGAGTATGGGGTGGCCCAGTGGTGAGAGTCACTTGTCACTCTTAGGACGAGGGTTAGATTCCCAATAGGGAGAAACCTAGTCTGTCATACAAACCCGAAAACAAATATATCAAATACAGCGAAACCTAACCGCGAGCCGCAACCTGCTCTGAAACACTGTTCGAACGTTTGTTGTGCACAACATTAGAAAGATACCTTGCTAAATGAAGAAGATGGTTTGGGCGTTCTCCGTCTCTTAGTGGCTCACAGTCGTGTTCGTCGTAATATGATGCCATTACTTTTGTTTCAGTCACATATACAACTAACGTCTATCTTGTAACGGGACGTAGGTGGTCGGTCTCGCCTAACAGTAACCAGCAGGTGCGTGGATCAGTGATCGTGCAGTTTTAACGGCTGTTGTTTACTTCCGCTAATGTCGCTTAAATCATAAAGAAAAACGAAATGGGATAAACAATTAACATCACATCATTATACACTGTAACGTTGGTAGCAAATTTTCCTAGCAACCCTAGCTATATTTTGACGAAAGAACGATTTCTAAGTATCCACAAAATGCCAAAGTGTACACAAATGATTCGCGTATGATGTAGGGTGGTCAAATGATCCAAGATGGCGGAAAAGCAGGAACCACGGGAAACGTCAAATGTTAAAACGCCTAGTTCTTCCCAGAGGAAAGGTAAAACTGATCAGTTTCCATCTTTATTGATTGGTTATTTTCTTCTCCTTTTGAATGATTATTTAAAATGAATGATATTGCTGACGTTAAACAGTCCAAATACATTTTCGTACCAGTGCCCCAAATTAACCCCTCCCCTCCCAAAAACAAGTTTTTGTGGGGGAACGTAAATGGGATATTTAGGGTTGATTTATGACCAGAAAGATGATAAGATCGATTTGTTCATTTAAACAGACACATGTCCCCACGTTGCAATGACAACAACAGTGTTTTGATCCTTGGGAGTTTCCGGAAACAAGCAGGCGAAGACTAGTTTTGTTTGGTTGACGCTGATAAAGTAGAAACTGAGTTTTTTAAAAATAGGACTACAGTTTCGTATGGGTAAATCATCACGTGTAGTATCGATGGTATCAGTTTGTATTCGTCAAATCTGTAGAATAAACATACAAGTGACATTTATCCGGATTAACAATCCCCATCGGCATCTACACACTGTTTTGTTTTTTTTCCCGGGTGCAGGCACCTCAGCATAACGTCACCGATTTTGTCCGCAAATATCATTGTCATCTTCAATGTCTCCTAGCATTTCACAACACTTGGGAGTAGTGCACTTTACCGGGCGCACTTTTCCAGATCCAATTAGCACTGTAGGGGCTCTCGAACGCGCTTCGCCGGCTCACAGGCTCTGCTAATTAATGCGTTAATCAGCCGACGCTCTACCACTGGACCACAGGCGCTTTCACATGTAATCAGTGCTTGTTTAACGGGTCATTAGAATCCCCATTAACATGCATGTGTAATTCAGTAAACAATGAATTGCGCATGCGTGTGACATGTGAATCCCTAAGAATCCGCTACCTTCTTTTGGCCTTTCTGTGACACTATGTCAAGGGTACTTAGAACTTAATACATGTGATGTTTTCACACTAGGTTTAGTAGTGCCTCCCAGTCAGAGTTGGCGAGTAATTTATTTTCATTTATTTTAGTACCAAGGTAAAAAAAAATTGGTCAGTGGTCAATGCTGTGACCACATGCCAAAACTTAAACAGCACCTGGTCTAGTCACTTTGTGAACACTTGACTTGAACATCAGGATTTGACCAGAGAAGGGAAGACCTTTCAAGTATGTATCAAATCAACTAAGGCTGATAAGAAAGAGAAATGTCAATCTAATTAAAATCAGATCTTAGTTCTCGCTACCGTTAAACAAAGATCTGAGGTCATCCCATTAGGGGTCACGTCAGAACGACCTTTCATCCGACCAATCAGAGCGTTGCTTAGCAGATCATGAAAGTGACAGTCGGAATGTGTTTTCTAATCATGCAACCTAGAAAACGTTAACACGGGTATTCCGAACGACAGTTACGGCCCGTACGACTGATTCTGTTAAAATTATCGTCTATCTCTCTCTTCCTTGGGAGAAACATTTGAACGGAGGAGGCGTTGTACAGTACGTGGGAAGCACTGCCATACAATCGCAACCATATATTAGACATTCCGGAATGTTTGTTTGTTCAGTTTTTAAAACTTTAATCGAGAACTGTGTCAACATTTTTTCAAGCGTTGTCTAAAATGGAAGTCGCCAGGTTGAAAGGAGTGCCGTAGAGCTCGAGAAAGCTGCTTTCTAGTTGGCTGATGTCGACTTCTTGTTAGTCGTTTCAGTGGGATGTCAAGGTTTGCGAAAGGTCGTTCTGACGTGAGCCGTAATGGGATGTCCTCAGATCTTTGTTTAGCGGCAGCGAGAACTTAGATTTGATTTTAATGAGATTGGAGAAATATCAATCCATGACAGTGACATGTCGCTAAAGTTCTCATCATATTGTTGTGTGTTGGCACTCTTGAGTAAATATGGGCAATCGGGTGGCCTTGTGGTTAAAGTGATTGCTTATCATGCCAAAGGCCAGGGTTCAATCTCTCCCCACCCTACCCCCAATGAAAAGCTGTTATGCATTGAGATAGTATGAAATGTATGCTGATTGCTTCATACAGAGATGGATATTGTAAAGGTTAAGACACAGATATACATGTGTAAAGTGTGTTGCAGTTATGCAGCAAGAGAGTGTACAAGATGGCCAAGATGTACCACCTTCAGATGTTGTGAAACTGTGCGAGGAGACATTTCAAAAGACAGCAGAATATCTCAGAGGGGAATTAGAAGGTAAGAGATTTTAGCACTAATTTATTAATCTTCTGAGAATTATATACACCTATAATAAAAATATTTTCTTATTTTCACTGTATAATACTGTGTTAACTAAGCCTGTTACGATTCACCCACGTATTCGGTAAATCAAACTGATCCATTCATGAATTGAATTTGTTATTCGTGGCCACTTACTAAGAATAAAATATTTATGAATATGCAATCATGTGCATTTACAAAAATGTGAAATATCCATAAGAACATATTACATGCATAGATTTCTTCAAAGACAATACCACACTTATAATATTTAATTTGACAGTATTGTAGTCACTGGTCATTGTAGCATTTGAGCAGATACTAGTACCTGGATAAGTGCAGTATATGAATGTATAATATATTAATAATTAACAAACCATGTCAAATATTTCATGTTATTGTTTCACTATATATAACAAATAATAAATCAACTGCTGACTTGTTATTGTATTCGTGATTTAATATTCATATTCGTTACCCTATATTCGTGATATGAAACATATTCGCCTCATAGTGTATTCGTTGCAGCCCTAGTGTTAACATTATGTTGTTATGGACTCCTACTTGGTGGCAGGTATATGTCAGGCTATGTCTACTTGCAGGAACTGTGGAAGACTACAAGCTCCTGGAAAAGATGAACAAAGTTACCATCTGCAAATACTCAGAAATGAAAAACATTGCTGTCAGCATTGGCTCCTCTCTTACAGAGCTTAATGACAAATGTGAGCAGCGTTAGAAATTGGCACTAGTCCTGTAGTCCTGTAAAACTGCCCAATAGTAATGTTATCATTATAAGGACTAGTGGACAAAAACTGTTAGTTTCTAACCCTGGTGTACTATATCTGATTGTGTTGAACACAAAGTATGCCTGAGGGAAATGAATGGATAACATATTCAGTCATTTCTTACTTTCAGTTTGTGGCCACTTCTTATAATGAAAGCCAGGGGCATGGATCCCTCGGTAATCGAATATACATGAATTTTGTGTAAGGAGTTATGTCCCTGGGAGTGCTGTCCATAGATTTTATCTGTCAACACTATACACTGGGCTAGGGAGTGTTGTTCATAGATTTGATCTGTCAACACTATACACTGGGCTAGGGAGTGCTGTTCATAGATTTGATCTGTCAACACTATTCCATCCTCATGGGTTTACACCAGACATCAGGTACACATTATGTACATTATACTGACATGCTGTGATATGACTGAAATACTGTCCAAAATGGTCAATACAGTGAGTCTGATGGGTTAACATGAAGTACTGATGGATGATCATGTATGAATAAAATAATATAATCAAGTATCACTTTCCTTAACATATACAATTTTTTTTTTTTTTCCGCCAATGCAAACTAAAGACATTAGGCTACCGTGAGCATGTAACACCGTCAGTGCCATGTCAACAAATCCGTACTGAAGTATGCAATATAATCCTGTTATTATACTATCTGGTTATAAAAAGTGTTCATTGTATATATGGACTCATGTTTGTAATCTTTTTTATTCAAAACCTCATTTAATATTGTTTACATTAATTCCGGCGAAATCGTGTCAAGTGACTCTCTGTTTACAGCAACCACAGTCAGGTCACCGATAATAATGCCTTGAAATTAGCTTTAGTTGACAGAATGGACACTTTGACTCATTATATGTCATATTTGTTGTAGTTTGAATATTATATTTCAACATTACGTTTTCACAAGTCTGTGGGAAGTCTCAACAGTGACAGTCAAATTGTTCAACTGTTCTAAAGTGCTACTCTTATAGTTATTATTAATTTAAATATATGTGGTAAAGCTGCAACTAAAATAAAACAATAAAGGAATATGTTACTTCTGATAAAATGATAGTTTCAAATGCAATTCTTCTGATCGTTGCATCACAATCCTTTGAAGTTGTCACCAGTGGATTGGTAGAAAATGTGTGTACACGTGATTGCTATTTCCGGCTGAGTTTGACGGAAACCAGACATGGTAATCGTGATTTTGGTATATGAAACGAAAGCTAGCAGAACAGGAAATACATTGAGATGGTAAATCATGTCTACTGATTTTTTATCTCCAATTTCACATTTTTATTGACCAATTTAAGTTTGTTATCACCTGAATTCCTGAAGGGATACGATAATATGATGTAGACTGATAGCGCTTGACCACCCTTGCAAGTCGTGTATACAATAATCAACAACAAAAACACATGTCAGTCTGGCTGCAAATCTATTATTTATATACTTTGTTATGATGTCCGGTCTCACGTTGTAATGTCCATCAAGTACTTTCTCAAAAATATCTGGTTGGCACATTTGAAAATGTCCGCTTTGCACTTTTTCAAATCAGACATTCTGCAATCACAAGACAGGTCCGGCGAACAGACCGATTTCCGGATCCCTGCCCTTACCCTTCGTTGAAGCTGTTTTGCAGGTCCACAAATCTACTGTTGCTTACCAGTATGTTTTTATACCTGTTTCATGTTTTCTGTGGCAGACAAAAGTCTTCAACCCTACCTTGAACAGGTGGATGAGATTGAGGAGAGTGTGGTGGCTCTGGAACAGGCAGCGTACAACCTGGACCAGTACTCAAAAAGACTAGGTAACCACAGACCACATTCACGTAGTTTTGTATAACGCATGTTCAATTACATTAAACTCCAATAGAATGTTTAATGTCACAAGCACTTTACTTTAAAATACATATTCCTCTCTCAGGATACAGTGTTAAGCTGGAAGTAATAAACATTACAAATTTCATTTATCCAAGGGAGATAATTCATGTCTATCAGGTTCGTTGCTCCCCATTGATACAATGTGTGATACCCATTTCTGGTGTCCCCCGTCGTGATATTGCTGGAATATTGTGGTGGACACCCCAACCCACTTACTCCCTACTGAAGCACACCCCGTTCTCTCTGTCTTGTGTTCTGATGTGAGTATGGGGTGGCCCAGTGGTGAGTGTTCTCTCTTGTCACTCACAGGACAAGGGTTTGATTCCCCATAGGGAGAAACCTAGTCTGTCATACAGACCCTCAAACAAATACATCCAACACAGCCCATGCAAGTCTATAATAGTTGGCAAGTCTAGATTATTGCAGTATCTGAAAATGAAGAGAGTGTCTGGGCTCCTTTTTATCATATTTTATCACTATAAATAAACAACTGTTTTTAACTGTAAAATATGTTCATTTCAGAGACTACACGTTAGTCTAAGAGAAACCCAACGTTGGTGTTACTCTCCACAGACTGTATCATCTCAGTGTGCTGTGATAACAAATTGATAAAAGTTGAAAACCCTTCGGCATGCCAAGGAGTCTTACACTTTTGTCAATGAGTGTTGATGTATTTTATATCAAATGACACATTCTAATTCTCATCCAACATTATTCTTCCAACTTTCCGTTTATAAAGACCCAGTGTCATTTGATTGTGACATCATGGTTCCTGGTGACATCAACATGGTCTGCAAAACATGGTGATGCAATTATCATCTCACCCAAGTGATATATCTCCTCACGAACTCGTCACTAAATGGCTGAAATAATGCCGATGTGACGTTAAATTTTAATTCACTCTCTCTCCTCATGAAGCCAGTTTGGGAAGATAAATAGAGATTACTATCGTAAATATCAAACATTTGGAATAAAGATTGTATAATGGCAGCCATTGGTGTCTGTCTACCGAAACACGGCAACACATCATGAACCTATCTGTGCATATTAGGAACATTAGTCAATGTGTTTAGTGAGAAAGAAGGCATTGCATTGATGTTTCGAGCTTGAACGTAATACCTGCTTGGCTACCTCATGTCATCGGGTTATGATACATTGATAAAACTAACCATATATGATAAATAATAATTATAGCATATCGAGCCCGCTAAGAGACCTTGCTTTCCCGCAAAACATCTAACAATATTGACATCTTTTTTGCATTTTTGTTTCATTCTGTCAGTAAATTAATTTGTTTCTTAATGAATAAGCTCAATTTCAAGTAGTTGCCTCTTCATTGTTGTAACCATGACAGATTTTGTTGTCAGTGTTCAACGCTCACATTGCTAAATTGTTGTGATTTATGCTACAGAGGAGAAGTTCAAGGCTTTGGAGAAGAGGTGATCAAGAGTCACCTGGAGGAAGACTGGCGCTGTCTGTTCGTGGTGTCCTGTCATGCAGGTGGACTCTCTGTACAGTAGCAAGGGAGATAACCATGGAGATATCCCGCTTTGTTGACCACAAGATGGACTGATGTGATGAAGATAATTTTGTGCTTTCATCATGTGACTATTTCAGTTGAGCCTTGTATGATAATGTAAACATTTTCTTACACGTTAAGAGGAACAAATATTATGAATTATGTAGGAGTAGCTTGTCGTTTGAAAGTGTTAGTTGTTTTCTTATGATAAGCATGGTGATAGAAAAGCTAACTGCCATTGGATATGTAAATCATGTTTATATGTACATGTGAGTGTGTTCTGTTGTAGGGACAATGTGTTTGTTTATGAATGGTATGTTGTTTTCCAGGAAAACAATACTTTTTAAGAGAGTGACCACATGTTTTCATGCTTGAAAAGTCAGTACATTTAAATCACAGTTCATTAAAGATGAAGCTTGCTTTTTGTTTATGAATTTGATCATAGAAAATTGTGTTTGATTGCCTTAATAAGTGTAGACACACTGTTACATTTGTAATGAGCAATGATTCCTTTCAAGAAAGCTTGTTGTAAATAAGTTTTGTACATCCAACAATCAAGCCAGATAGACACATTAAAAATGTTAAAAAACCACCTTATTCAAAATATAATCGTCAATAAGTCACGACTTGTATGCATTCCATTCTTCTGACTAGGGCTGGGATGGGTAACTCGGGTACTCGGGTCGGGTGGGTACTGAGTAGGACCCGGGGACCCACAGGACTACCCGGACCCGTGGTTAGTCACGTGATATATTGTTTAATGACAAAAGATTATCTAGAACTCTACGGCTACACCATAAGTGACTAATGTTTGCATTTTTTTTTTACTTTGCACACATTCCTTTTGACTTATGAATAAAGATAAAACTTCAGTCAACTTCAGTTTATGCATGACGTGTATCTAAATACATTTTGCGAGGGCTACGGTCAAACTATTCCCAGTCGGACATTTGGACCTATCTCTTGAGACCTCTAGTGGGTACCCGGGTAGGGTCAGATAATAGCGGGGTGGGTACCTGGGTAGTAAATTTGGACTTGTCCCAGCCCTACTTCTGACCCATGTGAATACACACGGCCAATATGTGGTGTAGTTGCTATTTTTAACCAACAAATCAATACACAGCCTGGTTCTAGGGAAAGGGAGGGAGTGCTCAGGCCAATGAATGCAGCTTACTGCACACAAATGGCAATGTTTCTAACTTGTCATGAGCAAAGTGAGCCATAGGCAGTGGTCAGTTTGCACAAAGTTCGGCACAGATAAGGGCTCACTTGACGACTTCTAGTTACGAAACAGCCTCATTTAATTCCTTACAAGAAATAGACATACATCTACTACTACACCAAATAGCGGCCATGTGAATGCACAGGTGATGAGAAAAGTAGTGCATACATATATACCTGTGACATTGATGATGAATGAAATCAGTTTTGTACACAATATTGTAAACTGATACAAAATGAGGGCGTGTGACTGCTGAGGCAGAGGAGTTATGTTGGAGATGAAGTTATCTCTGTCCATCCAAGTGAGACCTGGGCTGATGGAGAAACATTTTGTAAAGTAAGTGATAGCGATTTAACATAAAACTGGTACAATTTAAAACTGTTACTATTGTGCAATATTTTACCATGTTCTCATCCGATATTGAGAAAATAAACATCATTGAAAGATAGTCAAGTGTTTATTTCTTTCCAGGATGGATGCTGAAACAAACCGCCAGTGTGAAGATTCATAGTTTATGTGCCTTTGAATTGTTTGTTTGCTCTTGAATGCCGCACTCAGCAATATTCTAGCTGTATGAGGGGCGGTCGGGTAGCCAAGTGGTTAAAGCGTTCGCTCGTCACGCTGAAGACCCGGGTTTGATTCCCGACATGGGTACAATGTGTGAAGCCCATTTCCGCCGTGATATTGCTGGAATATTGCTAAAAGCAGCGTAAAGCCAAAACTCACTTACTCACTTTAGCTGTATGACGGCAGTCTGTAAATAATCATGTCTGGATCAGACAATCCAGTGATTGAGAACATGAGCATCAATCCACGCTATGGGGATATGATGACACTCATCAACTAAGTTGGCGAGCCTGACCACCTGACTTGATAGTAGCCTCTTACAGCGAGCATGGGTTGCTGAAGATCAATTCTAACCCGGACCTTCACAAGAATGTTTTGAAATACATAATAACCTGTGTACTTATATTGCATAAGCCTCCATTATTACTCCTGTCAATGGATGAGAGTGCACTCAATTTTCATTCCAAGCTCCCTGGGGAGTATACGACCCATGCTGCCTTGTCCAGGCACTAGATGTTTCAAAGTCACATTCCCATCTCATCCTAACGGGTACCCATTTTCACTGATGGACTGTATTTAAACACACACACACACACACACACACACATCAGTATGGTGACACATCACACCCAATTGATAGCTACCTAGTAGGATGACATTGTAATTTGAAGACTTATGCGATCAGTTGACCTGGGTAATTGTGGCATTCTTGTTCACACCGCAAGTTTCAAATGTCATGCATAAGGGTGAGAAACGTTTTTATGACAGGCGATTTATAAAGGCATTCTCTGCATGACAGAGGATGCGCACAGTGACTTACAGTATTACCCATGTCAATGGCTTAGTGTGCATGTACAACCCAAGCTGACTATAAGGGGCATTTCCATCTCATCCTACTGGGTACCCATTAATTGCTTGAACAGAGGCCCAGGTCGTACAGTGTCACTTGCCTCTGTTTCAGTGTGGGTCAGGACTGAACCCTGAAAAAGACTTAGCAATCATGTTTGCCAAACACAGTCACCCATGCACCTTGAGCGTACCCTCCTCCACCTTATTCCCAGAGTTAGGGGACCCGGGAAGATCCAGGGTAGAATAGCTCTTCAGCAACCCATGCTTGCCGTAAAAGGCGACTATGCGTGTCGTAAGAGGCGACTTACGGGATCGGGTGGTCAGGCTTGCTGACTTGGTTGATGCATGTCATCGGTCCCAATTGCGTGGATCGATGCTCATGATGTCAATCACTAGATTGTCTGGTCCAGACTCGATTATTTACAGACCGCCGTCATATAGCTGGAATAATGCTGAGTGCGGTGCAAAACATGTCCCAAAAACGTTTCAATGGTAAAATGCCACTATTTGCCATTATTTCTCCGCATCATTTGAGTCAAGACATGTCTAGACACTGTACAGTTTGTCTTCCATGTCTGCCATATGCATGTTAGAGAAGTAGAGAAGTAAGATGTGAGTTATCAAACTTGTCACCATTGGTCCTTGACAAACCTGACCCTATCTTGTGTACTTGAGTACCTGTCGGAGCCCTACAGAGTTGATCATCAGTGCTGCAAAATGAGAGGTGAAATGGGGTTTAACGTCGCGTCCAAGATTATTGCACTTATATAGCGACGTGCATGTCATGTGTGTGTTTGTGTGGCTGCTTGTACTAGTCCGGACTGATGCCGATTTATAGTGCTAGCTCACTGAGATACCATGCCGCAGTTTAACATGAATACCCCACTCAGACACAGTATACTGACTCCGAGCCGACCAGTCCTTGTTTTAGCTCCTTAATGCCGAGCGCCAGACAGGGTAACAACAAGTACCATCTTTTAACGTCTTTTGGTATGACGCGGTCGTGGAACGAACCCCAGACCTTCCTCTCTCCAGGCGGATGCTCTACCACTAGACCACGGAGGCGGTCCTGCAAAGTGAGAGTAACCAGCAACACGAGAGAGTACCGAGCAACACGCAAGAGATGTTATAATTTTATTCCACCATACACAATCCATCCAAGCGGAGTCTGCACACAGAGACTGAATGCTTCATCAACAACTACTGTAACAATACCACTCTTGAAACAATTCTCACTATACAATACTGTATCCACACAGAAACAAGGCAGGCTAATGAACAGTAGACCAACTCATTCGAGTTGAAAATGTTAACGTTATTTATTGCCAGTGAAGTAAAAATATGTTCTCATACTGCTAAACAAACTTGAGAAACTTGGTGCGTGTTCTGAGACAGTAGGTGTTGTGCATACGATGGAAGAATTCATTTCCATGTGACGTAGGGCATGTGGAGTTCTCTACGTGTATTCGTCAATGTGTCATGACTCGACACATGCGCCGTAGCAGTCGGTGAAAACACAGCAGACTGGCCCACGGGCACACCTTCCACCCTGTTGATGTTAAACACATTCTGCAGATCCACAGATCCAATTGGTGTGTTGTGTTTTTTCTTAACTTTGTTTCTCAGTAGTAAGTGGTCTAAAGTCGAATTAGTTCTACACGAGCAGACTCTAAACACACCACTTCTTATTCAACAACAGTAGTTAATACGTTTAGTCCAACCTATTCCTCCTGAAGCACATTAGTATCTAACTGAACACATATTGTCTTTACTATGTAAACTGGGAACTGACAGATTAATAATGTCTTAATTGATAAAGCTAATAGCAGTAACAACTGATAGACATCCAAATCATTCCCATCAACAATATTTGAAACTTGAACAACAAACTAAAACTTAACACTTCCACATTAGAGGATTGTTTTCATAGTTTGAAAATGACTTGGAAATGAAAAATATCTGAAAATATTATGCATAACAATTAACTATGACTGATGTTCAATTTTAACAAAAGTTGTGCAGAATATTCATTAATCATACAGAAAAGTTGTCTCACAACATATTTAAAATGATAAATATATCAAGCTTGTAATTCTCAATTTGTAACAAAATACAAGAACTAATTAATATCTATCTACGATTATAACAAATTGGCTTAAGGATAAATCACAGATGAAATCAACAAGTTGAAATATATTAAATTCAAAACAAAAAAGATTATTTCCTATAAATATCAACAAGAACATTGCTTTTTATGCTGTTAACAATCTTTATCACTAGCACGTTGTTGTCACTCCCTTCTTCAAACAGCAACAAGTCCATACTGTACAACACTTTCTCTACTGGTAAGTTGAGAATACATTTCAAATACAGATATATATTTCGTAAAATATTTTGCACATTTTGTTGATACCTGACAAATTTTTCATTTAGCCGACTTTCTAGGTCAATATTAAAAGGGGCAAGAAGTAAAATTGTGTCCTGGCACTATAGCTTGTCTTGATATGCGTAGTCAACAAAAATAGACACTAAAAATCTTTTTGCGGTCTGCATTGATGTTAAAATGTTAAAAGATTTCTGCTTAAATATCAAGGACTAAAAGCTAACACGAAATTCTAAGATTTAAACAAAATATGATCTTATCATAGGGGGAAACATACATGCCAAAGTTCAGCTCCCCCAGCCAAATATGCCCTTTGAGAGTATTTAATAGCATAGTAAAGTGAAGGTAAAAACAAATGCCAATTTTCATTAAATTTTTAACAAACTCTGATTTTTCAATATGGCTGCTGTGGCAGATTGGATTTGTACACTTGAACAAATTGGGGTGTCATCATTAGTGGGAAGAAGTACCGGTATGTGTAATTTCAGCTTCATTTGGTCAAGTGGTTTCTGAAATGTTTTGATGGACAACGGACAAACAGGCCCTGACATAAGCTCAAATGACCTCTAGTCAGGGAAACTAAACTGTGGTCTGATGTGTTGGTGGTTAAAATTAATATACCAAAGATATTATTTCCTACATGCCTGTTTATCCTTTTTCAGGTGTTTAAAAAACAGGTAATAACAGTTATAACAGATCTTCCTGCAAAAATTGTGTTAGATAAGTATACAAGATGAACACAATGTTAACTTATTGTTGTGCTTATGTAAAATTTAGAAAAGTCAAATTCAGAAAACAAGGAAAGACAATCACCCTAAGAACATTACTTCACACAGTTATTTGCTAATACCTCTAGTGTGCAATTAAGTGATCAATCTTTGAACCGTCCGGTAAGTGATTTGTGAGAGGCATTAATATCAGCATCTTGCAGTCGGAAAACACAAACCTCATCATGTAAGTGTGGTGGTCCAATAAAACCATGGCCCCCATAACACTTGCTCATGTGTATAGTTAATGTACAAGTTCTTTGCCATCCTGTTGCCAATGTAGACTGCACATGCATAAATCTCACTGAAGTCAGATTATGTACTCCGATACGATACCTCTCTGCGTGAAGTTCTGATAACCCTTCCATAGAAGGTCGTTACATTAGGTGAACTCTGAGTGAACTTTGACCTCCAAATCTAAATGAAGGATGTGTGGGTTTTGAGGTAATCAGATGTCAGCTGCCTGGATCAAGTTCGCTTCAATTCCCTACGACCTTGATTCAGAAATTTCGACTTGTGTTAAGAAAACCAACACAAAACAAAATTATTCCTTCGCTGGTGTAGACACCATGGCACCAGGTCTATAACATATCCACAACAATATCATCAAAATAATCATGCCGCCATTGTTATTCAGACCTGAATGTTTAACTCCATTTTCGATATACAGAAGTCCAACATGTGGGTCTGAATGCTCTACTGACATGTAGAGAATTTAGAAGCCTCAACGTTGTTTGGCAGATTAGAAAGTCAACCTGACTCGACTCAAGGTGTTGTCAGATGTTCATGCAGAGGTATCATATGGGAATATAACATCTAATTTGAATAAGACTGCACATCCTTGATCATTCCACTGGCACAACAGTGCTTTGTCAGGACTGGGCTAGGATGATAGGGGGCACCAAGACAGCGCATCGTATCTTACATATTGCCGATACAAGTCGTGATACACCAACAATCAAACCCAGGATGGCTAAAATTGTCCAGAATAACACATTTCCAGAAAAATAAGTCAGGGATAATTCTCCTTAAAATAAATATAGCCGCTGGTAAGAGGAACAGTCTGGAGTGAGTGAGTACGGTTTTACGCCGCTTTTAGCAATATTCCAGCAATATCACGGCGGGGGACACCAGAAATGGGCTTCGCACATTGTACCCATGTCGGGAATCGAACACAGGTCTTTGGCGTGACGAGCAAACGCTTTAACCACTAGGCTACCCGACTGCCCCTGGAACAGTCTGGAAGATGGCTTTTCTAGAATAACAGAGTTTCACTGTATTGAATTCTTTCAAGGTCTAGATAGATCTTGTTAACATCCTTTATTGGATATACTGCCTAACTTTATGGCCTTGAGCCTGTTTCAAAAAACCATCATAACATTTAGTCAAAAAGCAGAGGTTTGAAAGACTTCAATGGAACTTGTAAGCGCAGCCCTCGTGCACAAGCACTGTCCAGCTTTCACTAAAAAAAATTGTTCTGATAATCCCAAGTTAACAAAGTTTCAGTGCATAATTCTAGATAATTCTGTAATCTTAAATGTTTTAAGTGTTTTTACGTATTGGTCGTACGACGATACAGCCAATGCAGGATGATGTATGGTATCGGCAAGTGTACAGGTCGATGCTGCTGTATCAGTTCCCCGTAGAGGATATATGCATGGATATATATGTCATGTAGCACATGATAACCGTCTTGCATGGAGTAATGATTAATGATGGTAGTAATGGGTGATATACAACATGTGGGATGTAATACACATTCGTGCCGCTCGGTCAGCATAGATTGTTCATTCACCTCAACAAATAAATAGAAACACATGCAGTCCTCTACAGTAGACACTATCATAACACAATCATAATACACGATTATCTCAAACACTTGAGTAAAGGAACCACCCATTTCACATTCTGGGGAGCCTTGAGATCTAAAACAAATTAATTTGTTCAATAATGACTGAATAAAAATAATTTTGCCTATGAATCGTTACCTGGATATGCTGTATGCCCTAAAAGAGAATGTGTTATGGAATTAAAGGGAAGTTGTTGGCTTACCCTTTGAGAAAAAACAAAAATTTGTCTTACAGCAGTGACCGAAACCATTTTGTCTGTAAAACTCCCAGCCCTCACAGATCATAAAATGGTCAGTTCCTTTACTGAACAGAAGAGACTAATTACATTGGTAATTGTTGTACAATTACCGCATACATCTGCTCTGTTATCCCTCATAGGACACTATAAGCTATGTAAGCTATGGTAAGCTATTGTAAGCGATGGTAAGCTATGGTCGCAGTAGACCGGTAGAAAGGCTATCTTTGAGTGGTCCTAAAACACTTCCAGTTCTAATTATTTGTGTCCTGATTTTAGCTTTACTGAAATTCTTGTCAATGGCTGTTTAACTTATGGTCAAGGGTTCTGAACACTTTGAAAAACTATTTGATCACTGATTTTGATCCATTCTCAAGTCAAAGCTCTTACACACTAATCTAGGTAACTCATTATGTGTGATTATGGTTTAATGTCGCTTTTAGCAACATTCCTGCATTATCATGGCCGGGGACACCAGAAATATAGGTCTTCACATATTGCACCCATGTGGGGAATGGAACCCGGGCCTTTGACATGACAAGCAAACGCTTTAACCACTAATCTACCCCACCAACCATGAATCTTTGTAACTTAATATTCATGTACACCTGATGGTGTCTGTTCAACACTAGAGTTGGGGACACACGACCTTTAAGGCAAATACAGACCTGAAATAAGAATTGTATTGGAAAAACTCCAGCAGCTCAACATAATAATGTTTTGAGTCGATTCTAAATATACGATACTAAATACAGCCATCCAATCAAAATTCACTTGTGAGCGTAGTGAGTGCGAGAAAATCTGCGCAAAGTTACTGATAACACAGATGGAAATGGTGACATCATTTCCTAAATGAAGCCATGGTAATGAATGGATCAAGGGCATTAATCATAACAGAATGGATATATAATACCCTGGACAATCGAGGATGGTAACTCTGATGTAGGTGGCATGAACAGTTAGCAGAATGTGAGACAAAACAAACCCTAATGACATAAGAAGGCTTTGCCTGCTAACTCAGCCTTTGATGAATCTTAAAAGAGAAAGTTAAGAATTGTATACAAAGAAAGTGTTATCCCAAACATAGTATTTGCTAAGAATTGTATAATGTGCTAGTTTTTTTTCTGCATGCATTGGCAGCGGTGTCATTTAAAGAGACAGAATTGCACCTTTAAATGATAAGTAGTGTCCACATTATGCAATCCTGACAAGGTGACATCTCAAGATGTTGACAAAATGATGCATGGCTTTGAAAACATGAAGTATTTAAAAGTATCAAAAGTCAAAAAGATGTTATTGTCTAATTAGGTTTATAACTTTTTGTTAAGAAAAATTTGAATGTTGTTTTGGTTTTCTTTATATACTACTGACAAAAAATAGGGGAACATGCACTTTTTCATTTGTTAAACGTCGGGCAACTTGGGATAGTGATGTCTCTTCCTCTTTCGAACCCACAATTTGCCATTTTATTAGTTCATGTCTCGGAGGTATTTTAAGCATGTTCTTAGCTCAACTGCTTCAGTGATGGTGAAATTTCATTGTAATTTGTTGTTGAGTTCAGATGCAACGCCACGGTATTGTAAATGTAACCTAAACGATAAATTAAAATTATTAGTTCCCTTATTTGTTGTCGGTTGTGTAATGCAAAACTCATAACATGAGTCAAAGACCATCTTGATACAATGAAACTGGAAATCCCGAACAGCATATTCACAAGTTTGATATGCAAAACAACATCTCAAAATACCACCTAAAATAAGGTTGACAAATCCCAATGCTATGTGCTGAATGTGGTACATCTTGATTATTCCTTCACTTGAGCAAACTAGAATGTTCGAATGCACGTTCAATGTTAAAAAAAACAACTCATGAATGTACTCTCATGAAATTAATGCATTTTTTTCATGAATATGTGAAACACTGACAACATATATATTTGTGAAACTAAAGCTAGTACATGGCTTTGCCATGCTTTGCAGTGTGAGAGAGGAAGTGGCCACCAAGTGCATAAAATATTACACTGATATTAGTACTGGGCAAATATAAAACATCAAAGCCAGAGAATAACCAGTCTTGGTTATCCGAAACAGATTCTTTTGGGCGTAACAGAACAAACTAAACAAGTCTCCCTCTCAAAGAACCTAACTGACAGGCTGCCCTTCAGAAAATTGTCAAATGCACAGAAACAAGTTTGATAAACATCCACATAAAGATGATCAAGGTCATAGTGAATATAGATATAGCTTATTGAAAACAATATAACATTTTCCTTTAATCATTTGTTAATAAAACATAAACAAAAACAAAATAAATTAAACAAAATTAACATATTACACTATCCATTTTTCAAATATTAACAACTTATAATTGTTTATTTTTCATGTCAATAGATCATTAATATCCTTCAATAAATAACAAATCTAATCTGTTTCATGTCTTTTAGTGTAATTAGTTGCCTGAAAATGCGTAGGAAGCGTAGACATTCTGTTATGACCTTGACCTTGCTTGTGTGGCCTCAGTTTCACTCACATGAATTTTACATGAACACAGAGTGAGGACAGACCTGCTTGCCTGGACAGATGCGTGTCTGTTTGTGAATCACACAATGAGACAAGTCTTTAGGGTATGAGTGCTTGGCTTGACTATATACAGCAAGGTATTATGTCATTATTAACATATGAAGATGACAACACGCAGCCCCTTTGACTGAATACAAATGCATCCCTTGCGTGGACATACTGAACAAAAAACGTCCGGGATCGTGAATATTTTTTGGGATGACCTCACTTCTGTTGTGAAGACTGAGCCAACAATTTCCTAAAAATATTTCCCCCAAAATTCATGATCCCTAACTTTGTTTGCTCATTAAAAAAGATGCCTTAAAATGGTGAAACTAGAACATTTTATGTCTGCAAAGTCAATGCAACAGCACATTAACATTTTGTAAGCCATATCATTTCATTACCAATCAAACAGTATGTATTTTCAACTATTGTAGTGTTGATGTAAAATATGTTAACATCATGTCCAGGCAAGCAGGACATATGATTCATTCAATAAGATGAAGAAATGAAAACATAAGGGGCACATTAGGAGTCGAGTCGCGCCAATTCACTGGTGTATATTCCAATACTCTCCATGTCGTACAGTACAAAGTAGATTTGCTTCAGCGAGCTCGTCATCACTGTCATGAAGTAGTTGCTGATGGCGCGGAGAATGATCTGAGCTGCCGTCTGCTTCGGGAACCCAGCGCTAGGATACAAGAATGAGTACTGTGAGGGGAAAAAGTTTGTCTGTGGTTGGTGAGTGCAGTTGTATTTGCATTGTACATTCATGTGAATCACAGTGAAAAGCTACACCAGACATCTTACTTAAGTGCCATGAACTCTCAATCTCATTAAAATCAGATCTTAGTTCTCGCTTACTTAGCTGTAGTGAGAACTAGGATCTGATTTTAATGAGATTGCATGAACTCTTGGAAAACTGGCAACTCTAATGATGGATGTTAACTTTGGCAGTCCTTATGTTTATTTGTTCATTGTTTAATGCCGCACTCAACAAGTTTCCAGCTAAATGGTGATGGTCTATAAACAATCAAGTCTGAACCAGACAATCTAGTGATTGACATCATGAGAATTCATCTACACAACTGGGATAAGATGACATGCATCAACCAAGTCAGTGAGCCTGACCACCAGATCCCATTAGTCGCCTCTTTACGACAAGCATGAGTTGCTGAAGATCAATTCTAACAATGACATATATTGGAAGCATTTACCACTTTGGTAAAACCTACAAACATTAGCATGGTGCTGACAAACCAAGGATCATAACCTGGGCAAATCTGAGATTCAATCCCATGATTATTGGATCCTGGTATGGCTAAGTGAAGCAACTCCGACAGAATTGCAGAGTCTCAGATGACTGGGTCATACCCCCTACCCCTACAAAATAGCAGTGATGAATTGAGTGTTGAATACATTATCTTAGGGAAATGAAATCATGAGATGTAAAAGTGCAGAATGTAAAACAGTGGAGATGTAATAAAATTTAAAAAAACAGAAATCAAAAACTGTTCAGCTGTGATCAGTCCAAGCATGTCCTAAGGCATCCAAAGTGGCATCAAAACTGTTTCCATTTGTCTTGGAAAGTTTTTGGAGAGGCCATCAACATGGGAAGGTTTTTAGAGAGGCCATCTAATTCAGGATGGGTTGATTGCGGTCGTCATCAGAGAATGTGTTGAAAGAGGTCATAAGAATTGGAAGGCTTTCAGAGGGGCCATCAACATGAGAAGGTTTTGACCAATGAGAGATCAAGATCAGAAGGGCTTCTGAACCAAGTGTTAGTTGCAGTCGTCAGCAGATGAAAGGTCATCACAGTTGGGATACAATTGGGATACTGCATCAACCAAGTCAGCGAGCCCGACCACCCAATTCCTTTAGTCACCTTTTATGACATGGGATGCTTAAGACCTATTCTAAAACTGGATCTTCATGGGTCTCAACAGCAGGTGTTTAGACAGGTGTTAGTGCATGTTGGGTACCAACCCATCAGACGTTGTTCAAACAGGTCATCAACATCAGAAAGGATTGAGAGGTCATCAACACCAGAAGGTGTGGGGCAAGTGTTAGTGCATGTTGGGTGCCAACCTATCAGACGTTGTCCAAACAGGTCATCAACATCAGAAAGGATTGAGAGGTCATCAACACCAGAAGGGGTGGGGAAGGTGTTAGTGCATGTTAAGAACCAACCAAACAGTGTTAACAGTCTATGCTACAGGTATAGGTAACTGATGTGCCTTACCGCCCACTTCCAACAGAGGGGAAGGCCAGACTTTTCAGGTTTTTCTCATCAGCCAAAGTTAGACAGTTCTTGACTGCTTTTTCCAACAATTGCTGTGGGTTATCCATTTTCCATGTGGGGCCGTTACAATGGATAACATACTTTGCTGGGAAGTGGAAGCCTTGGCTGATCATAGCTGAACAAACAAACAACCAAAGTCAATCCATGATAACAACACCACACAGACAGCAGCATCAAGTTCTGCAGCCAACACTGACATTCTCCTGAGAAGCAGAAAGCAATGATGACAATTTCATTTCTGTCTGCTGGTTGCAGAACTAGATGCATTACCTGTGTTAGGTATCTCTAGGTTCATGTACAGACAAATGACAACAGTGGCAAGACAAGCATCTAGATATGCAATTAATAGGCCTTCCTCTTATACATGTTTTTTGCAAAAAGAAATCTCACAAGAAAGATATGGATAGCAACTCCTCGGATGCCCGAAAAACTTTGTTCACAATGAGTTGAAGAAAATGTCCTCTGAATGCTATCACATTAGAAAATGACTTATTTTCATAAATTCTATGAAAATAACTATGATTTGAAGACACTGATATATTCCATGCCTTGAGCATCATCCACTGTTGTGAGCCTGTAACATGACCAGATGAAGCCACTCACTTCCCACTCCCAATGGAAGGTATAGCTAAAGACTTGAGGTTTTTCTCATCAGCGAGAGTTAGAATGTTCTTGACAGCTTTCTCTAGCTGCTGTTGTGAGTTGGAAGAACCCCAAGACGGACTGTTCACATGGACAACATACTTGGCTGGGAAATTACGACCTGGGCACATTGCCGCTGAAATGTATAATGTTATTAAGCTGACAATGGTACTAAATTCACAATTCACACTGAATACCACATGACGTTCATTTAGGTTAGACATTCATCAGCTCCAGAATTGGATTTGCGATATTAAATGTGAACAACAGATAGTAAATTCCCACTTTAACAGAAATATCTCAGTGCTAATGCTATTGCAACTCTAATACTGAACACAAACATAACTGGATGTAGAGTTAAGATCACTTCTACAAAGTCGTCCAAGTCAGCAGAATGGCAAAATGAACCCTCTGATGGGTCATTGGCTTTAACCCCAGGACACCAGTAGACATGCTAACCCCCTACAGTATCAATGGGTCTAACCCAGGTCATGAGGATGACAATAATTACCCCCTGCAGTATCAATGGGTCTAACCCAGGTCACCAGTATGACAATACTAACCCCCTGCAGTATAAGTGGGTCTAACCAATGTCACCAGTATGACAACAATTACCTCCTGCAGTATCAATGGGACTAACCCAGGTCGCCTGTATGACAACAATTACCTCCTGCGGTATCAATGGGTCTAACACAGGTAACCAGTATGACAATTATTACCCCCTGCAGTATCAATGGGTCGAACCCAGGTCACCAGTATGACAATAATTACCTCCTGCAGTATCAATGGGTCGAACCCAGGTCACCAGTATGACAATAATAACCCTCTGCAGTATCAATGGTTCTAACCCAGGTCACCTGTATGACAATACTAACCCCCTGCAGTATCAATGGGTCTAACCCAGGTAACCAGTATGACAATACTAACCCCCTGCAGTATCAATGGGTCTAACCCAGGTCACCAGTATGACAATACTAACCCCCTGCAGTATCAATGGGTCTAACCCAGGTCACCTGTATGACAACAATTACCTCCTGCAGTATCAATGGGTCTAACCCAGGTCACCTGTATGACAACAATTACCCCCTGCAGTATCAATGGGTCTAACCCAGGTCACCTGTATGACAACAATTACCTCCTGCAGTATTCATGGGTCTAACCAAGGTCACCAGTATGTAAACAATTACCTCCTGCAGTATCAATGGGTCTAACCCAGGTCACCAGTATGACAATACTAACCCCCTGCAGTATCAATGGGTCTAACCCAGGTCACCAGTATGACAATACTAACCCTCTGCAGTATCAATGGGTCTAACCCAGGTCACCAGTATGACAATACTAACCCCCTGCAGTATCAATGGGTCTAACCCAGGTCACCAGTATGACAATACTAACCCTCTGCAGTATCAATGGGTCGAACCCAGGTAACCTGTATGACAATACTAACCCCCTGCAGTATCAATGGGTCTAACCCAGGTAACCAGTATGACAACAATTACCTCCTGCAGTATCAATGGGTCTAACCCAGGTAACCAGTATGACAACAATTACCCCCTGCAGTATCAATGGGTCGAACCCAGGTCACCTGTATGACAACAATTACCTCCTGCAGTATCCATGGGTCTAACCCAGGTCACCAGTATGACAATTATTACCCCCTGCAGTATCAATGGGTCTAACCCAGGTCACCTGTATGACAATTATTACCCCCTGCAGTATCAATGGGTCTAACCCAGGTCACCTGTATGACAATAATTACCCCCTGCAGTATCAATGGGTCTAACCCAGGTCACCAGTATGACAATAATTACCTCCTGCAATATCAATGGGTCCGTGCGCTGTTTGAAGGTTGTCGATCTCCTGCCGGAACTCCTTTCCTCCGGCCTTCTCCATTGCCTGACCTGAAGAACAAAGAAGACAGACATTGTATCTAACCCTAGCAGACACCTAATGTGTACAAGACAACAGACACATTTACCTAACCCAAGCATATCTGTATACAACACAACACACATACCACAGATACACGCACACCGACTCCTCTGGAAACTGTAGATAAGCTGTTCTTATAGATAAGCCGAGGTGTTAACTTGGTCCTTGAAATCTGTATCAAAATATTATGAGCGGTAGATAAACCGGACCCCCAACCTAAAACTACGTCTCGTCATGATCTGTCATCGGAAATAGAATATCAACAAGTCCGTATTGAATTACGCAAGTTAACGAGACAATACCAAGGTAATCTTTATCCCTGCATATAAAACAATGCCTAGCATAACAAGAAATATAATCAAAATGGTAAATTATCATGTCTGGTGATGTTTAATCGCAAATTTCACATTTTCATTGACAAAGTTTGTCATAGCGTTGTTCATTCACCTGAAGCAATATGATGTAGTTTTTTTACCAAGCCGACATAAGCCGACCCCTTTCTACAGAATCTTTTTCTGGTCCCAAAAACAACAACGTAGCCACTTAACGAAAGTAACTGTCAAGAATAATTCTCAAATATTTTCTACATAACTTCTGAAGACTAAAATGCAATGATTTGAACAAAATAGGATGTCATCATAATGCAAGACATACATGGCAAAAACCAGCTCCTTCATTTCAGAGAAGTTAATTAGCTTTTTCAAATTGGCTGCCATGGTGGCCGTATTGAAACTTGCATTCAAACCTTTTGAGCAAATTGGGGTGTCACATTTATTAGGTTTCAGCTTCATTGGTTAGGTAGTTTCTGAGAAGATGTTTATGACCTACGATGGACGAACAGGCCATGATATAAGATCGTTTGACTTTCAGGTGAGCTAAAACATCAATGATAGTGAATCTACACAGGCAAGTTGTACTCACCTACTTCCCCGCCCATGTGGTAGGTGGAGTTGGTAGGATGGACGATGGCATCAGCAGTCATCTTCACAATGTCGCCCTGGAGCACAGTCATCTACAAACAGAATTTGTTTGGGGTTTAACGCAACACTCAGCAATATTCCATCTATATGATAGCAGTCTGTAAATAATTTAATCTGGACAATCCAGTGATTGACATTATGAGCAAGTAATGATCCACACCATTAGGGTAAGATGTCATGAAATCAACAAAGGTTCTAAGGCCGAGATCCTGATCCATTCAATGACCTTTTACGACCAGCTTATTTCACTAGGGGCCTATTATAATTGAGAATCCTCACAGGGAATCTGCCATTGTATGCAGATCCCGACACAGCCAAGGGACATAACTATTCACAACCATTTTGGCACCCCAATTGCAGAAAGGAGTTTTAGTAAAACAGAAAGTTTAAGCAATACAGCCAGATGACAAAAGGGTGCTCTAAGACATGACTGCACTCAGTGTATGGAACCACCTACCATACATCTCCTTAGTCAAACAAGGTGCTATGATGCAGTGGACTTGTCTACATACAAGTCTACATCATATTACTACAAATCTTTGGACTTGATAAACTACACGAGTGGATTTCACTGTGGGCCCTACTTTCACTGCAACATCATTGGTTCCATCTTACCTTCTGTCCAAGGAAGAGCTTCTTCTCAGACAAGATGGTGAATCCACTGGCATCGGTGGTGCCGATCTTGGTGTTCGTGCTGTCCCCAGCATTCACCTGTCAAACCATGGGACCAACAGTCAAACATGGATCACTTACCCGTCAATACATATCAAAAACAGTCAAACACTTCATACATTCCGAAAATGATGTCAGCTGTCAAAGACTATTCAACAGCTGTCAATGCTCAAACAATCAATCATTCAACAGATGATACAAACTCTCAAACACTGCATCCTTCAACACATGATATCAAATCCATGAACAAACAACATGAGGTCTCCTCTTTCCCACCTTAAAAGGTGAATATCAAACTTCACAGAAAACCTTTTCAAAAATACCCATGCACTTGAACAAGATGTCATTTCATAATATACCATATAGTGTACATAGCGAATGAGGAAGCATTGAAAAATACTGACCTTGACCTTTCCTCCCTTGACCTTGCTTGGCTTGCCTTTGACTGAGACAACACTAAGTTTCTTTGGTGAAGGTTTCTTCGCCACTTTGGCACTAGAGGAGGGACTTGAGCTGTCAACTACTTTAGCTTTCTTGGGTTTGGGGGGAGCAACAGCAGCAGGTTTGGAGCCCAGGGGAAGAAGGGAGTTGGGGAACTTGTTCCCCTTCTTCCTCCCTATCAACTCGGGAAGTATCTTTGGTAAAACGCCTCCTGAGGCAATGGTGACGTGCTTCAGCAACTGTAAGGAGAGAGTCATTGGGTTACTAAAGTCAGATGAATTAAAGCTAGTCTCACGAAAGTACACTATCGATTGCAACTTGAAACAATCGATACTATTGGTGATAGTTTGTCTAACTATCGATAGTTTTGATGGTTTATTTGTTTGGTACATTAACTTTCTTAAAAAACATAGAAACAACTCCTATGATCATCTAACCTCTGTCGTGCTTTCGTTTGGATTGCACTACTTTGTCTGCTTGATTTAGAGTTACGTCCCTAAGCTACTCGTCGCTAGGCAACATTGACAAGATGGCGGACGCCACATGTCAGTTTTTGTCAACTTTGTTTCCTAATTGATATGTTGAATTGCATTTAGTCATTCAGTGAATGCCAATGTGACAATTAAAGAGTTTGACAGTTTGTATAGTCAAACACCAGTCATTCAATCACATTCATTCACATTGGTACTAAAACACTGCAGTAACCTAAGACTTTACCAGTTCCATAAAGTGAAATTTTGTATTAAAATGTTTTTGAGAGGTTAATTTGAACTTGTTTTCTTCTCATTTCTTGTTTTCTTTACAAATAGTATCAGAAAGTTATAATTATTTTGATGGTGTCAGTCAAAATGCTGAAATATATGCTGCTAAAGCCTGCTATAATTGCAAGTGAAAACTATCGCAATAGTATCGCAATACATAATGTAGTAGGGCCACTATCGCAATAGTATAGCAATAGTTGTTTTAACTATCGCAATAGTCAAAAATGCCTCAATAGTCACCCCTACCCTTATTTAATATGTGCCATATACACATCCTAAAATAGGCTCAAAGCACTACATTATTACCCCTGTCCATGGATCAGCGTGCACTTGATTTCATTCTCAGCTCCCTAGGGAGGATACAACCAAGCTGACTAGTTAGGCTGCAAAGACTAACAGTGACACTTCTCATCCTACTGGGAACCTTCCACCACTGGGTGAACAGAGGCATGTTTTGAACAAACTCACCAGGTGCAATTCTTCATCATTGGCAACTGCCAAGAGAATATGTCGGGGAGTTACCCGCCCTTTCCTGTTGTCCCGTGCTGCATTGCCTGCCAACTCCAGGATTTCAGCTGAAACAGAGATTCCAAGTATATACAGATTACAAAATAGGTGTGTGTGTGTGTGTGTGGTGTGGTGTGGTGTGGTGTGGTGTGGTGTGGTGTGGTGTGGTGTGGTGTGGTTTTGTTAAGGTGTGGTTTGGTGTGGTGTTGTGGTATATGTGTGCGTGTGTGTGTGTGTGTAAGAGAGAAAGAGAGATACCATTTATCTCAGGAAGTTGTCATAAATGCTTGACAGGTTTGAGTGCAGTAATCTGTTTCTTACACACCCTTAACTTGCAATGCTCTAGCAACAAAAATGTTTCTACTATATCAAATAACATTTATTAACACTCTGAACCACTAAAGTTTTGATGCAAACATATGTGAATTCGGCTGAAGCACGAGAAATATTATACTTACAACCAGGAAACCTATCTATCATAATCTGACCCTAGGTCACCACCATGGAGTAGCCGGCCTGGAATTCCATCTCACACATGTTTGGTGGCAGTTATCACAAATGGGTTTCTCACGGGTGTGTAAGAAATACACGGACTTATTCCTGCATGGTGTACAGGGGGGTAGCAGCCCCTACTTGTCAACATCCTAGGTTCCGTCCTGGAGTTACACCTTCATAACTTTGGCTGAAGGGGTCGCTGTCGGTACGAGTACAACAAATATGTACCCAGGGTTTGTTTAAGAGTACAGAAATATACCTAAGCCAAAATCAGAATTTACAGGAAGGTACCCGGTACACTAAACGCGGAGGAGTCCATATTCCTCAACTCAAAACCGAAACCAGTTCATGCTGTAGTTCCGGTTCACCTGATTACGAGAGCATGCTGGACAATGCTGTGCATTGCGGAACATTAGAGTAATGACGTACATCTCTGTGTATGCTCGTATTTTATATTGCACACTTGAATGCATATCATACAACAGTATGACAGTCAAATCCATTTATGGGAAGGAAATACTGAGAGTAAAATATATAACACATACTGCCATGAATTGTTTGATTACTTTGAAGTTAACAGACGTTTCGGTACAGATCCTTATACAGTTGTCAAGCAGGACAGTCTTGCTTGACGTCGCCTTTACAGTATTAAAGAAGTTGTTATCCATAAATTGTGTCTTCTTTGGCACACTGCCAGGTTGAATGTTTACCGCAGTTTGACATCCAAGACGTATCATGCATATGTAAGCGTTCAAGGAACTGGTTAAGCGCATTGCGCAATGCATCCTGCGACGGAATGGTTTCTTCCTAGGATTCCATTATTCTGATTTTGGTTTTGGTACATTTCTGTACACAAATGACCCCTTCACCCAAATTTGGTCCTCTGAGAGCACCACACCTGCTGGTATAGCGGCCATAAAATGTCCCATGATGGGATTCAAACCATGGACCTTCTGATCAGAGGTCAGACACCTTGTCCACATCACTGAAGATGCTAACCCCGCCAGCAAGCTGACAAGGTTAGGATGTCATCTGTTGGATGACTTCACACACTGCTACACAGGCACAATTTAACTTTGACTATCATATCTGCTCATCTACATTCCGAGTATTTATATGCCATTGTTCTTCACAACATGAAGGGCAATGCTGATTAACATTGGCAGAATTTAACATTTAATACACACCTAATATATCTGGACGAGTTGATATTTACTCTCCTTTTATAATTTTGCAATGCTATCACTCATATAACGACATCATAGTTTAGGTTGATATGTTGTACAATCCTGTAGTCATAGATTACACCGAATTGTAAATGTCTGAGAAATTAGTCTTTAATTCCACAATAAGTTTGTTGACGCCACGTTTTGATACACTGTTCAAAACAGCATTGAATTCAGCTCATTCGCTCGTGTTACTTAGATCACTTGCTCAGTCATCCTACTTTGGCCACAATATCGTCTGAAAACATATTGTTCCTGCAAGGTTTAATAAAAGGTCACTTTCATAATCAAACGAAGTTTATTTCTAAATAAATAAATATCATCATACTATTATTGAAATCCAGTGGAAGCCATTCTATCGACTGATAACACGAGCAAAAAGATTCAACTCAATGGTCTAAGGGAGATAACTCACATCTCCACAGGTCATGAGGATGTGTACCACTTTGGTGAAATTGTAATACATTTCAATCAACAAGTATCAATATGTAGTGATTAATAGATTGATAGATGCACGATGGAGGCATACATTATGTCTCAACCGTATTGTAAGATTCATTACTGCACATGCATCAGTGACCAATACAGTGTGCGATATTGTGTGTCCTGTTGCTATTTACCAGTAAGATACTCGATAACGGCAGCCATGTAGACGGGGGCTCCGGCCCCGATACGGAAGTGATGAGTGTCTCGCTTCAAGTAGCGGAGCATTCGGGCAACAGGGAAAAGGACCCCGGATCGAGCTGATCTCGACATTATCTTCTGTTTCTTTTTACCACCACGACCCGACATGTTGTCTGCTAGGCGAACCTCTCGGTGCGATGCTCTCACTATTATTAGCCGATTGTAGGGCTGGCACGGACACAGCTGGGATCTCGGTGCCGTCAGGTGCTCCTACCCCCTCCGAAAAAATCTCTTAAATGCGTATTTCTGTCTTTTGTATTACAAACCAATATCTTATACCAGTAATACTAATGCCCGATATCCCTCATCATTGAAAATTCGCTATCGGAAGCAAAGTTCCTGTTTGTATGTGTACATTAGTATTTTTATTTCCATAAACGAGGAGGAGCGATGTCAAATGTAACAGCCGGTTGCGATTTCTCGGTCACAGAAAGTGGGCGTGTCTCAACATGCACGGGAAGGGAAGTAACTATTAAACACATCAGCTATTTCACAATGAATATTTCAAATGGGTTTCGAAGAGTTACACATAGAATCTACATCTATAAAACTAGATCAACTAAATGACATGTAGTTTTCTTGTCAGCGTACACCTTTACAAACTAACAATTATAAGAGGATACCGTGGAGCAGTAACGGTTTAAAAAAAATTCCTATAACAAATATTTGGTTTGACAAAGAAGAGTCAATGATTTTGGTTACCTTTCCCAAGGTGACAATACATAGACAATTTCCTTGGTATTTTTAAACTAGAAACAATCTCAGTGTAAAAAAATCGCAATGCTGGTTGCCTGGTTGCACTAAGTTTGGATTAACAAATACCAGGTTATGGTGATTTCAAAACAATGTTATCCGAACCGAACAAAACTATTTGATGTACATATATATTTTAGCAATAGGACAATGGTCCTAATTGTGAACACTACCGACAATATTCATTTTACATATTAGTATAGTATTACGTAAACATTGTAGTTTTTGTTTCTAAAAAATGGTATTTTATACATTTCTGGGTCTCAATTTGAAAGTTTTAAAACACGCACGCACACGCACACGCGCGCGAGGACCCCGAGAAGGTGTGTTAAGATTCGGTAGGCAGTGCAGGGGTGCGCCCTCCATTTTTCTAACACACTCAACATTTAGACATTTTAAAGGTGATGAAGTATTAAACTGCCTATTTAAAAAGCCCAGATCCAAGTCTACTATAGAGGAATGAAGAGTATTTTTTAAAGCAAAATCACAAAAATGACCCCCTCCTTTGAAAAAACCCACACGTATCTACGCTAGATGAACACAACTACACATTGATACGTTATGTTTTAACGAATTCACAGTTTTATGTATATGTTTCATTCACTAATTATATACGTATCCATGGCAACCGGTCTAGGACTCTACGAATGTGCTATCAGACACCGAGCGTGACTGTCGTGCATGGATAACAACGAGCATGGATAACATGCTTGTGACGTTGGTTGTTATTACTTTAAAGAATCGGTGTATGGGTCATTTTCAAAATTGGTCCTTTTATGGTGAGTTGAGTAATTCCCACAAAACGACCATTTAGTGTTGAATTCGAAAAAAATATTTGATCACTATATACATTAATATAAAAGTAGTACACGATTGAATCACCTTTTACATAATTTAATCACATTAAAAGTTGTTCAAATAATTCCAAATACAGTAAATTGTCTTGTCAGGGAACTGTGACATCATTTTGAGCTTGCAGTTTTTCCTGTTAAATTTTATAACAGATATGGCTCATATATGATCGTTTCATTATACCTCGTGAATCATCTTGTATTACAGTCTATTTAAGGCATACATGTACAAATGCTTGCCCAAACAAACACTGTCAGTGGTGTAACAAATCATAAATAGCGGAAATAAAAGTAATCACCCTTTGAAAATGGAGAGGAAATTGAATGGTCCCTTCTCCTGGTCACCTCCTGTGCACGAGGAAAAGTAGCAGACGACATGAAAAGCAGGCAGCAGATCTATTGAAAAGAATTTGTAAACTTGCCTTGCAGGATATTTTGTCTGTTGTCTTTAGTGTAATATTGTTATGTATCACATCTTCTCTGATTCAACAGATTTTGTTTTTAGATGAGTAGATCTTGTTCATTTGTTTTCTTGAGCACATGTTTCTCTGCTGAGGCAGCAGTTGTTATTCTATAAGTGCATCAATATTCAAATATTTAATGTTCTCTTTTGGTTTAATGACAAATGCTGTTACACCATTGACCATAACATGATGAATAGTTCAAAATATTATGTAACTGATAAAATAGTTCAATTACGGTTAAATACACGTTTGATTCATTTCAAATATGATCAAGTCCCGAAAGAAAACAAAAATAATTTAAGCATTCAGCGATTTTGTAACTTACTTTGATTGATTTTGTTACACCATTGACACAACTCATGTTCCCACTGACACTTAAGCGATATTTGTTGATGTGGTCCTTCTAATTAAACAAATCTATGTATTTATTGTCATGGTAAATTGTTTGATAGGCATTACTTAGAAGTTGACGGATGACAAGGTAGCCACAATTTATGGATAACAACTTCTTTAATACTGTGAAAAGCGACGTTTCGGTATAGATCCTTCTACCGTTGTCAAGCAATACTGAATGAGGGACATAGTACGGAATATATATAGTAGGTGGAGGATTAACAGTAGCAACAATTGCATACATGAGTGGGAGTGAAGTCTGGGGTTTTACAGACTTTTCTATTATTGAAACACCCACTTATATGCTATATGGCGAGACAGGTCGCCTACCACTCGATATTATTGTTAAAAAACGAGTATTGGCCTTTTGGTGCAACCTGATATTGTCACAAAATGTAAATAAGCTCTCTGTTGTTATGTATAAGAATTTATATAAAAAAAACACTGTAGTAAAAATTTTCATTCACCTTGGTTGTTATATGTCAAAAACATTCTGTATAGCTGTGGTTTAAGTTATGTTTGGCACAATCAGACAGTAAACGGTAAAGAGTTATTATTAAATCTAGTGGAACACAGATTAAAGGACCATTTTCTAAAATTTCGAACAACTAATCATTTTCTACCTGTAGAAACAGGGAAGTGGAAAAATATACCATTTGGAAGACGACTATGTCATTTATGCAATTCCTCTGTGGGAGATGAATACCACTACCTGCTCAAATGTCCATATTTTTATAATGAACGAGAACAATATCTCCAAAAATATTACTATACTTATCCAAACTATTATAAGCTCCAACAGTTAATGACTTGCCCAAAGATTTCAACAGTAAGAAAATTGAGTAAATTTATCCATTGTATATTTAATGCTGTAAACATATATCAACAGCCTCTGTAATATATTTGCTACATATTGTAACTGTACACCATGTACCGCTGTGAGCGGTCTTTTTGGAATAAAGGGTGATGATGATGATAACATTGGTAGGTGTTGACAACAAAGGGATAATGCTGTCACAACACGGTGGACAGAACACATAGGTGGAAGCCAATAAACAGGATAAGTGATTATTGCTTGATGAGTTCATAGTATAGGCGGATGGGATGAAATAGCCTTGATCTCTGTTGATTGATGGCGGCGAATGTGGACTGCTTCTGTTAGTTTTCTTTTAGTGAAATCATGGAGGTTGTTGGCGAGGATTTCCATGATTTCACTAAAAGAAAACTAACATCCTCTAACATTCTCTATTTCATCCCATCCGCCTACTATGAACTCATCAAGCAATAATCACTTATCCACCTATGTATTCTCTGTCCATCGTCTTGTGACAGCATTATCCCCTTGTTGTCAACACCTACCAATGTTATCCCTCTCATGTATGCAATTGTCGTTACTGTTACTCTTCTACTGTTAATCCTCCACCTACTATATATATTCTGTACTATGTCCCTCATTCAGTATTGCTTGACAACGGTATAAGGATCTATACCGAAACGTTGCTTTTCACAGTATTAAAGAAGTTGTTATCCACAAATTGTGTCTACCTTGTCGTCATGGTAAAGCTTTCACAAACTGAAATAAAACATCATAAACATATATGCAAAAAGGTATTTATGATTACCTCACTACACTACTAAGTCCAATGACTTAATTTGTTATGCCATTGATATTATGAAATGTCTAACATACTCTTTTATGAAATGTAAAAAGTAACTGTGATTTAAATATTTTTCATGTATCACAGAAAATGGATTTTAATTATTTTTTGTAAGAAGAACATTAAAACACAATAAAACATATCTTTAATTAGTGTTGCACCAATGACAATTTGACGTCAAATTGTTTCATAGTAACATGAATTCCATTGTTATCAAAATTTAATAATGGGTCTTGGGTGTCACCGAAGTGGTAAACGTCTGAGACCTGCAAGGGGGCACGGGTGGCCCAGTCGTCTAAGGCGCCGCGATTCGCTGTGCAGAGTTGCGTCCCTTGGGCACGCCAGAAACCTATGATTATGGGTTCGAATCCCGGTTCGCCCCAATTATGTTTCTAGGTTTGTCAGCACCATACCCGTGCTCGTGGGTTTCACCGAAGTGGTAAACGTCTGAGACCTGCATCACTTCGGGCTTTCCTCCCACATTAAGCTGACACGCCGTGATATAACTGGAATCCTGTTTAAAGCGGCGTTAAACCCAAATCACTCACTCACTCTGAGACCTGCATTACTTCCACGTTAAGCTGACACTCCATGACATAACTCGAATACTGTTCAAATCGGTGGTAACCCAAACTCACTCACTAACACTCTTCTGTTTCTGTCTGTGTCCACTGGTCTGAGGTAGGTATTGCTGCACTTCTCTTTAAGACGTTGTATTGTTGTCTGCCAATGCGACTCATGGCATGTTTGACGCTGCGTGAAAGGCCTCACAACCGTAGTCATTTATTTTATCTGATTGTGTTAGAGATGTGTTGAGGTCCAGCTGAGTGTCTGGCAGATGTGCCTGAAATTGTCCTTAATACGTTCAAAGTCTTAATCACATCTGTTATGAGTCTATTCTATATGTTTACTGCTCCATATGGGGTGTTGATCTTGGATCACTCACGCCTAGGAATTTTGCAGTACTTTTATAAACAAATCCTATAGTTCTCATTCATACTTGTCGTAAGAGGCGACTAACGGGATCGGGTGGTCAGGCTCGCTGACTTGGTTGGTGCCTGTCATCGATCCCAGTTGCGTGGATCGATGTTCATGATATCAATCACTGGATTGTCTGGTCCAGACTCGATTATTTACAGATCGCCGTCATATAGCTGGCATATTGCTGAGTGCGGCGCAAACAAACATGTAACATTATACGTACACTAAGATCACACCTAGGAATTTTTCAGGCATTCGAATGTTTTTCTATTATGGATAGGTGGTGCAGCATATGTTCTTTCCCCCTGGGTTTGAACAGAACTCCCACGTTTTTTTCAGCTGAGAAGGTGAACCTCCTTTTATATTTTTGCAGGGCTGACTGATTTTAGCGTGTCAGGACCAAGGCTTGATGAATACGATGAAGACCGCCTCCGTGGTCTAGTGGTGGAGCGTCTGCCCGGAGAGCGGAAGGTCGGGTGTTTGATCCCCGGACGCGGCATACCAAAAGACGTTTCAAGGGGTCAAGGATGTTTGCCACTTCAGTGAAACCCATGCTCAAGCGCGGATATGGAAAACAACCGATCATAATCAGGAGCAGTCAATAGGATTCGAACCCACGATCAGCCGAACCCGGTAGCTGGGAAACACAACTCTGTACAGCGAGTTAAGCTTGCGCCTTTGAACATGTTGAAAAACCTTAATCGCAATTGGGGTTAAAGGTCACGTCACGCCACATACATATAGCGTAACGGTTACGAGAAATAAGAACGGGATTATTTACAATATGTTTTGGTGAGGTGAACATGCCGTAACTTTAATCACCGCGTTCCTACAGTTACGAGTGATGTACACACGTATTATATTATAAACGAGAACTATAGAAACATATGGAGAAGTGTGTACGTTAAGAAGAGATGTTTCCAATGTGTACAAAATAAATGAAAAATGTAACAGTCAATATTACCACAGAGTGTCTATATTCCTATCACAATATGCTACACGTGATTTCCAAACTTTACACGCTAATCCTGCACGAGACAAATGGTGCACCTCGAATCACGAATCTATGACGTCACTTGTGATGCGTTCATGAGCGTCTGTGTAGTTCTTCATATATCAACCAAAATGTATGGTATTCGCGTTTCTTTTGGTGAGTAAATATTCACAGACGACTGGCTACAATGGGTTTTTGCTGTACGTATACTGTCACATATGGCCCTCGTAAAGGACGAGGTATAAGAAATTGCCAAAACCTTTAAAAATTGATATGAAAGTTAAGTTCGTATGAACAAGGTTTTGTTTAATACAGTACTTGCCTGTTTAGGCTATGTAACAATACTTAATTACAGATAAGGCTAAATGTGTCGAAAAGGTTGATTTAAGTGTTACTCGGGAAGCACTAGTTAGTTATTTGAACATAGCAAGTCTTTGAACCAAGCACTTTTCTCAGTTGGAAAATGGATTGTTTACTTGTTTTAGACATTCTTACGTATTTGATCATGTCAGAAGTCCAAAAAACTTGCAAGTGTAAGAAAAGAGCGCCCATTGCACGTCATCCATCTACTTGTAAACAGTGTCTATACGTCTGTTTGTCCCTCACATGAATTACACTCTATATGGACAACCCATTGGTAACAGTGAGGGAGTGAGTGAGTTGGGTTTAACGTCACGTCAGATTCATACTAATAATGATCACTGGTTTGTCAGCACCATACTTGCACAACTGCTGGTTGTAAGCGTCACCAAGCTGCATCACTTCGGGCTTTCCTCCCACATAACGCCGTAATGTAACGGAAATACTGTTCAAGAGGAGTATAATCCAACTCACTCACTTGATATATCCGACAGAAGATAATCAGCCGTGAGAGATAAACATATGTAAGTGGTGGCATGTGGTCCTATGTACAGCGCACGGATCACATATGAGGTTTGAGCAACGTTGGTTGCTTGTCCCCTGGGTACAGCACATTTCTAACAACCTGAAAAGTGAGGTGAGGTGAGGTGAAATGGGGTTTAACGTCGCGTCCAAGATAATTGCACTTATATAGCGACGTGCATGTACGTGTGTGTGTTTGTGTGTCTGCTTGTACTAGTCCGGACTGATGCCGATTTATAGTGCTAGCTCACTGAGATACCATGCCGCAGTTTAACACTCAGACACAGTATACTGACTCCGAGCCGACCAGTCCTTGTTTTAGCCCCTTAATGCCGAGCGCCAGACAGGGTAACAACAAGTACCATCTTTTAACGTCTTTTGGTATGACGCGGTCGGAAATCGAACCCCGGACCTTCGCTCTCCGGGCGGACGCTCTACCACAAGACCACGGAGGCGGTCAACCTGAGAAGTGAGGCAAACACTCAGATGATGGCTTTGTTTTAAGAGAAAGTTGTCTTTTATAGGTGAATGAGATGTTTTACAGTTGTTCATGTGATGGGAGAGAAAACTACGAATGTTTCTTAAGCGTCCGAAAAAAAACCCCAACATAATACGGGATAGTTGTATTTTCTAAATTTCCGCTAAACTAGTCACCCCCCCTTGTACCTTAATCTCTACACCTTTTTAAATTAGCTGGTTGACATCATGACACTGCCAAAACATATTTATGTAATGGACCCCATGCACGTATTGTGGACTGTGTGCTGTTGTGTTTCTTCTCAAAAGGTGAGTTGTAATTTTACTGATGGTGTTGCTCCTCAGAAAGAAGGGAACCTCCTGGGTCATCTTGTGGAGTGTCTTCCGCGAGAGGAAGGTCGGTGGTCCGATTCACTGGTCGCGTCATACCAAAAGCTGTTAAAAGTTCCTACTTTTTGTAACCCTGCCTTGGTAAAAAGGACTGGTCGGCACAGACTCAGTATATGTTGTTATGGAGTAGGGTATCCATCATCAACTGTGGTATGCTATCTCAGGGGGCAAGCACCATATAACCGACAACGACAACGACGCCAAAGCAGTACCTCATCCCATTAAACATGGTTGAGAGAATACTGTTCTCACTGTATATCGATATTAGTGAGTGAATGAGTTTGGTTTAACGTGGTTTTGAACAATATTCCAATCATATCACAGAGTACCAGCTTGATGTAGGAAGAAAGCCGGATGAGATGCAGGTCTTAGAAGTTTACCACTTTGGTGAAACCCACAAGCGTGTATGCTGCTGACAACCCCAGAAACATAATTGTGCAAACCGGGATTCAAACCCCCGATCCTAGGTTTCTGGTAAGCCCAAGGGACAGTACAACTCGGGACACCTAGTTTTGCTGCCTAAGACGACTGTGGCACATGGCCTGTTCATCAAAATTCAAGATAATATAACATAATACAGTGCTGAATTAGTACACATAAAAAGATGCTCTCAACAATATGTTTTAACTGGTGTTCTGTTGTTCTGCCTGATCCTTCTATTCCAAGTTAGGTAAGAGGAAGGACATTAACCTACAGTCAACCCTGTCCTGTGTTGTTGTAAGGTGTGACAAGTGGTGAGGTTCTTGTACCACATGTTCCTGTATTTGTTCGATGAACAATTGACTTGCCTTTGCATGTCTTTGTGATGGGTGCTAGTGAGTTAGTATTTAACATCGGCAATATGTGATGGGTGCTAAGACAGGGCAGGAAACATTCACCTTTTTGTGAACAACGGCTATCATCACGTTTTGATGGTTATTCATAAACACATGCTTGTGTTACATTTGGAATTGTACAATGAAGATTTCTTATGATTATGGGGGGCACGGGGGGCCCAGTCTTCTAAGGTGCCGCGATTCGCTGTGCAGAGTTGCGTCCCTTGGGCACGCCAGAAACCTATGATTGTGGGTTCGAATCCAGGTTCGCCCCAATTATGTTTCTAGGTTTGTCAGCACCATACCCGTGCTCGTGGGTTTCACCAAAGTGGTTAAAGTCTGAAACCTGCATCACTTCGGGCTTTCCTCCCACATTAAGCTGACACGCCGCGATACGACTGGAATAATGTTGAAAGTGGAGTTAAACCCAACTCACTCTTATGATTATGGAAAGAGTTTTTCGCTTTTGTTCCAAATGTTGGCATGAAGATGTTTATATCAAAACAGAAAGTACAATGACATTTTCAAATTTTATTATCCAGTATTTACAAGAAATGATTCCTGGTTTTGCATCTCCTCTGATACAAAGTGTATGATGTTTAAAAACAATGTGCATGAATAAAATGTTCAGAGTATAATGAGGAGTGGGCACAAGTTTATGTTGCCATGTGGAATGTCCCCCCACATTCATACAGCACAGCAGTTCGAATATACTGGTTAACAATTTGATGCATAACTTCAGCGTCAGTACTTCATGGGTTTGGAAACACTACGAGCCTCCATCAGCCATGAAAACATCCAGTCTCTTTACAGTGTTGTGGCTATTTTTAACCAACCAATCAAACCACGGCCTGTTTCTAGCGAGAGGGAAAACCAGTGAGTATTAAGATTACATTGACAATATTTATTGTGCAACACCCGATGTATTCACGGTGAAGGAGGATCGCAGTGGCTACAAATCCATGAAGCCTTGATGATGACAACATTCTTGAGGGTGGAAACATTGATGTGACAAAAGGTACATAACGTGTATGATGGTTACAAACACACACATTTGTACTATTGGAATGAACCAATGCTAACACTGTGGAGTGAACATAGTAGACATGAACACATAATAGCTGGAACCGACTAGCTCAGGCTTCCATCTAGAACACAACCTTGCCATTCCAACTTCACCTTGTGATAATGCAGTCAACATATACATAATAGTTTGACTAGGAGGAACGGAAATTGGACAAAGACTGTTCCACTTCACACCAATATGAACCTCATTCTCATTAAAATTAGAGCTAGCACTCCAACACAATACCTATGTGTGAAGATCTGACAAACCCTTCAATGGAGTTCACACCAGGTAAACTTACTAAACTAAGGGTTTAAATTCTCAAAACAAGTTAGCCTTGCATTCTGACCAGCATATCTAATCTCAAAAATGAAATTATTAGGCCAGTTCCAAATGTAAATAATATAGGCCATACATTATATTGTTGTAGATATTTTATACACGCTGTTGTTTCTAAATACCATGGCATCTACACACAAAGGGAGTACATTCTTAATTTCAGATGTATTCTTCACACAAATTCATAGAAGAGGGAGCAAAAGATTTGATTTTGATGAGATTGATATACACCCACACAGTCAACTAAATAACTCCGAACAAGAAGGGGAATAACTCCATTCCATCAACACTGTCAATTTGGGAACTCATGATTGAAATGACCACTTATAAAGATAATAAACTATGACACAGAGTATTTGGTTGCTGCCGAGTGTATTGTTTCCCAACCCCTCCCAACTGTCCTGTCTTATGTAGGGTTGTCAAGTTACAGCCGAGTATGGCTACAATATATTTGGCTACAACTCTGTGCTGTCATCTCCATCCGCTGACACATTTGGATTCCAAACAAGCAAACTCTGTCTTAAGAAACACATTATCAAGCTGAGAAAAAACAGAGAGGCAGGTTGATTTTGCCATCTTGCAAAAGTAGAAACCCAAGTTTTTTTTATTTATTCAGTGTTTTTTGGCCGAAACATATTTTCATCATCGGTCACATCTCAGAAAGGTTGGAGGGTCTTTGAACACCAATCATGTGACAATGATTCCTTATTAAGAGCATATAGGTGTAAAATTATCAAATTGTTTATACCCGAAAATACAGAAATATTGCGGGGTCATTTTAAGTTCACAAAGACATCTAACAAACAAGAATATTTATGAAGAAGGACATATCATGTGACATTTCTCTCACAATTGCATTACAGTATTCACATGTTAATGATTCCAGCCACCTGAAAGAGATTGCTAAGTCTGTTGTTGTTGCTGTGGCGGCTGCTGCTGTGGCTGTTTCCCTGACGACACTGCCCCCATCCTTGTGGGGTCTTGTGATGGATAGTGCACCATATGTCTCATGTGTACCCCTGGGGGTGGCCTGATGGGCATTATACCCGGGGGAGGGGGAGGCATGCGCATACCTGCAACAGTCACAGGGGTTGTTTCATAATGAATGAATGAATGAATGAATGAATGAATGAATGAATGAATGATCGATAATAAAAATAATAATAAAAAAATAATGATAATAATAATAATATCTTTGGATCATATATGTTTATCCTGAGTACTCCCGCTAAAACGAGGGTGTTGTGGCTTCACACAGAAATACACATTGTAAATACTCAGGTGATGGCCTATTTTTTAAGATAAAGTTAGTAAAATCTAAATATTTTTTACATTTGTATACTTATCCTGCATTACTCCTTAATGCATTCACTGCTTACTTACGACAACTAGAAGGACAGCGCTGCGAAGGTCCTGGGTGAAGAAATAAAGTTGTTGTTCTCAAGTCCCAATCAGTGGCCGTCCGTCGCTGTCCTGTGACCTTGATGACACCTAAGGTCATCTTCACATCACTGCCTGTCGCCCAAGCTCTTAGAAAAACATACTTTTGAGGTTTCTGAAGCCAAAGTGGGGAGGCAAGTCTAACGACGGGTGGGCTTTAAGCGTAGTAATGCAGGATAAGTATACAAATGTAAAAAATATTTAGATTTTACTAAATTTTTTACTTATCCTGCATTACTCCTTAATGCATCTGTATCGGACGGTTTGGAGGTGGGTAAACCTTCAGAATACAGAAACCTCAATAATTCACACCCTGCAATACGACACCAGTTGGTCGATTAACCGTGAAGCGGAAAAGTTCAGACAAAAACGCCATTACGGTAGGGTTGTTCAAAAATAAAAAAGATTGAACATAGGAATTAAAGAGAAATTCCCTATACACGCTTAGTAATAAAGAAAATAATAGCTATTCAGCTAATTCTTTACTTACTGCGTCATTGAGCCGTCGCTGACAAACAAGATTGTCTAATATTCTTCCACTGGTGGCGACTGAGTGACTGCACATGGAAGTTGACTGGCTCTGTATAGGGCGAATTCATTATTTGCGTCAGGGGTTGGCAATCTGCAGGATAACAACCAGAGGGCCAAACTTCGAACGTCTTCGACATCCTCGAGAGCCCCAACACGAAGGTTATGACTAACGAAAATATGTGTCGAAACTCCAGAAATATCCTTCCGTGATTATTCCAAAACCACAATTGCCGTGTTGAGCCCTGGTAAGGCTGACACCTTGAGATCTTGAGGGTAATTCGCTCTCGGCGAGTTCCGTTTGATGATCTCGTAGGCCTGAAGGATTACTGCGCGTAACCATAGAGATACATGTATGGTGTTTGCGATTATGCGACTAACTTCTGTCGTGGACGAACCACGCCTTGTCTTGGAGCGTTGAATGAAAACTCGAACTGCTCGCACCGAGCCCAGGAAAACTTCACCATGTATGATTCCCACAATAGTCGATATCGGTGGGATGGTGAAGGAACGGTCGGGTTGGCCTGGTAGTAGATTTTAGCAATAAAATCCCAGCATAACCCTAGATGTCCCGTTCCGTGCGTCCCATGCTCAAAACGGATCCGGGTTGAGTCGATCACATGTAGTTCGCTCACCCGTACCGCCATTGCTAATGCCAAGAGAAACCATTGTTTCCTTGGTGATGTCCAAGCTCCTCACAGCGATAGCACGTTCGCGGAGCTCTCTTTACTATACCGAGAGTGTAACGAAGGTGTCACGCGCTGGGAAGGAGCTTGAAAATGAGGATGCAATGAGGGGCTCGAAGGGGGCCCTCGCAAACCTCAAAGTACCACGTTCAAGTCCCAATCAGGTGGCTGGAACTTGGCCTTCTGATCCTCAAACCTGAATGAGCATAATATGGCCTGTAGTTCCGTGACCTTAATCACATTGTGATTTTCCGGAAACGGCCAACACTAAGATAATTGCAGCCAATTACGTAGTAATGGTGCTACCTTCGAAGTGTTTTGGGTACGCAATGTAGGAGGTATTCCTCTAGGAATTGTGACGCAATCGTAGGGTCTTGATTCTTTTCTTCCCTGTAAAAAGTCTCAAGTGATCCCCACTTGTCATCGTCGTCTCTGGGAGAGTAACGATGAACTAAAGCTATAGCTTTGCTGCCCGTGTCGAAATAACCCTTCGCACTTAAACGCCTTTTAAAGACGAACCATGCGTGCAGACATTGGGTGAGGCAATTTTCTGTTGAGGGTGCATGAGTAGGTTGGACCACTGTGAGAGGGGAAGTGAATCGTTTTAGATTTTTCCGAGCTTGACGAACTACCCTCTCGCCGGTTACCAGGGTGCGACCAAAGGAGAGATCGAGATACCTTGTCTCCTTGATCCCCTGTAGCACCTTGGGAAGTAAAAGTGGTGGCAGAAGAGTGTTAGTTCTTTGCCCTTCCCAAGTGATACTGAACTCGTCCACCGCCCAAGTCTGCGGATCCGGCAACGGGGAGATATACGTCATGAGTTGGTGGCCTAGGCAAGTAATAAACAAGTCAATGTTTGGTTGCCTGAATTCCTGAAGCAGTAACTGGAATGCTTCTGTGAGAAATTTCCACTCGGTGGGAGCCACCCTGTCTGGACGTGATAAAGTATCGGCCCGTATGTTTCTACATCCGGGGATGTGCTGAACTATGAACCTTAGTCACAGCCGATCCACTAGATGGAAGAAATCTGAATGTCCTTAGAAGTGGAGAGTGGGAGTGTGTTGTTCCCCGATTGCACAGGCACCTCACTGCAGTGCTGTTGTCTGTGGATATAGCGAGTCGGGCTAACTGTAGTTGATTCTGCCAATGTGATATAGCCAGAATTAAAGCTTCCAACTCCAAGTTGTTTATGTGCCACTTCCATTGTGCGCCGGGCCATAGCCCTGAGCTTATCTGGTCTTGTAAGTGAAGACTCCACCCTTGAAAGGGGACGTCCACAAACAGGTGTGTATTCGGGGAAAACCCGAATAAACAGACTCCGCAGACATTCAGCGCCACAAATTGAGGCAATGCTCTAGCTTAGTCGGTAGAGTGATGGCGTTGAGTGGATCCTGACTCCTGATGTACGGGTTCAGGAAAAAATTGAATTGGTCGCAGTTGTAAGCGGCCCATGCTAGTTAACTCCTGTGCCGAGGTGATTAACCCTAGCAACACTTGCCACTGGCGAAGTGTGTGTGGTTGGTGTAGAGTAGATGTCAAAAGAAGTAGAAACTTGTGCCATCTGTCCCTCGGATAGGATATCCTGGTCTGTCTTAAACAGGTCTCCTATGAACTGAAGTCAATAGGAAGGAGAATACTCCCGACTTCGCCTCGTTGATTGTCTATCCCCGTTATTGACATGTGTTGATGATACAGTAGATCGCCCTCCATCTACGACTCGAACCAAGTGTTTGTCACGTGTAGATAGTTATTGGCTTCATTACTCCTGTAAATAGCCATAAGTGTCACTGACATGTCAAATGGGAAATACTACCACTGGTAGTGAACCCCAATGAACTGGACCTGAAAAGTCTACGGTTGGGATGGATAGTCGAGACTGATGAAGAATCAAACGTTCGTTGAACACAGAGATTGTGGATCATTTCATCTTGTCTGGGTCCTTCATGAGTACCAGGTATGTGTGAGGATAAAACCCCGGAGTAAAGACTGGGTTGTGAACCCACTCTACAGCTCTTCTTACCAACAGTATGACTATGTTGGATTTTCCCAATCAAACTGTGGTCAACGGTAGGGTTATCTCTACCCTTATACGGACACCATGATATAGTGCGATAAGTACGAAATCGTCCTTGAGACTTGTCTCTGCCACTCCCTTTCTCAGTAAGGGAATGCTGGTCTTCCCTGAGAAACGCGCGTCTAGGCTTATAATTCCCTGACTTGCCAGCCCGCTTGGACTTTCCAAGCTTTTTGGGAATTTGACGTGCGTGTCTGCGATCTGTTCGTTGAACAGGGGAGTAGATGACCAAGGTTGAAGTAATAGACTGCCCTTGAAACCAGCATCTCAGTTGGAAACGCTATAAAGTCTTGGGTGTAACGGTAATCTCCGTCAGAACGGTCTCAAGATGAATTTTCCTGTGGTCAAACTGACGCTGTAGGAAAAACACCATAGTTTGGAAGTGATCTAATCAGATAGGGTTATCCTCTAATAGATTCTGATCCACTGCAAACATTGACGATATTGGTCGCTTAAATCACGGAGCAAATGTGAGTTTTGGAGAAGTCTTCCTCCAATGACCTCGTGGTGTTCCTCTTATTTACCCTGTTATCAGGGGAAGGCGTTACTGACACGAGATGGTCTGCTTCCCAATCGGGTACATGTGCTAAGCTGATCATGTGCCGGTTACGTAACCTGAGTACACTGTAAGCCTTGGGCTAACGTCATTGTAGAGACCTTGATTGGTACGCAGACGCTGCGCTCAGCGCAGGTCTGGAATGTTGGAACAGCGCTAAGCTGATCGTGCGACGTTTGCGTAATAGGAGCGCTTTGGGTAGCAGTCAGACGCTGCGCTCGGCGCAGGTCTATGCTGGATATGTTGGAACAGCGCTAAGCTGATCGTGCGTCACTTGCGTGATAGGAGCGCTTGGGTATCAGTCAGACGCTGCGCTCGGCACAGGTCTATGCTGGATATGTTGGAACAGCGCTAAGCTGATCGTGCGCTGCTTGCGTAATAGAAGTGCTTGGGTTGTAGTCAAGTGCTGCGCTCGGCGCAGATAAATCAGACACAAAGCTCAAAAGTATTGACTGGATCAAGGCTTGCGTCTAATCTACCCCCATCATAGCATCTCGATACGCTGGTGCTGTCGCCGACGTCACAGATTATCATACATGTATCTGGAAGTGTCCGGCGGCTGAAAAAATAGGAGCAGTTACGATACTCACAAAATCCTCCGGTATTGTTGATTTCGGTGGATGGTGTACTTCTGCAATCACAGGCGTCATAATACCTGCCGATAATAACGGTTGGGTGGTAATGACAGAACCATATGTCATTCGCTATTCTGCGATAATGACATTCCTCTCGTCTCACGACGGAATAACTGCAAAATATGATTGGAGTAATCTGCTTTTATATAGTAAACTCGTTGGATTAGAGATTTACACAAAAATTACATTTTGAATTTTGGCGAGCACATCTACGTGCATGCCTATGACGGTGGATAAAGAGCTTTGGGCGATTATTCCACGACAATATGTACACCACGCAAACATAAGTTACGCAATTAACCCATTGAAGAAATGGTACTGAAAGAATGCTGTAGAATTGAACAGTAATCTATCGGCAAAAATACGAATTGCAAGGGTATACAATATTTTTATATACGCAATTCAATGTAAACCAAGGCTATTTACATTTAGAGATTGGAGAGCACATCCGCGCGCAAACCGACCAACGTGGATGATAATCTTTGTAAGGTTTTTTTCCACGACAATTAGTACAATGCTCAAATGTATGTTACGCAATTAAACCCTTGTTGATGAGACAATACTGAAAGAGTGCCGAAGAATTTGAACACTAATCTATCGGCAAATTTATGAGTTGCAAGGGTATACAATATTTTTGTATGCGCAACTCAATGTAAACCAAGGGTATTTATATTTTCATTTAGGGTTTGGAGAGCACATCTGCGCGCAAACCAAACAACGTGGATGATAATCTTTGTAAGATTTTTCCCACGATAATTAGTACCACGCTCAATCATAAGTTACACAATTACGCCATTGTTGATGAGGCGGTACTGGAAGAATGCCATAGAATTGAACAATAATCTATCGGCAAAAACTACGAGTTGCAAGAGTATACAAAGTTCATATACGCAACTCAATGTAAAACCAAAAATACCAACAAAAAACTATTTAATCGCATAAACATAGGTACGCAATAAAAGAATTGTTGATGAAGCGGGACTGGAAGAAAGCCGTAGATTTGATATTAATCTATCGGCAACCATATTTTTAACGAGTTGAAAAAGTATACAACAAGCATTTGTCACAGAGTGACGAAATATCCCCCGCCATATACACTATAGTACCAAATATGAAGACAATCCAGCGATTAGTTCTTGAGATATTGTGGCAACACCGTTTTCCAACTCCAAAAACAGATTTGCCTGCTGTGACCTTGAAAATGGGGTCAAGGTCACCAAATCTGACAGGTGTATGCGGTGTCTGTATATACACTATAGTTCCAAATATGAAGACAATCCAGCGATTAGTTCTTGAGATATCGCAGCAACACCGTTTTCTAACTCCAAAAGCAGATTTGCCTGCTGTGACCTTGAAAATGGGGTCAAGGTCACCAAAACCGACTGGTGTCTGCGGTGTCTGTATATACACCATAGTTCCAAATATGAAGACAATCAAGAGGTTTAGTTCTTGAGATATCGCGGCAACACCGTTTTCCAACTCTAAAAGCAGATTTGCCTGCTGTGACCTTGAAAATTGGATCAAGGTCACCAAAACCGACTGGTGTCTGCGGAGTCTGTATATACACTATAGTTCCAAATATGAAGACAATCCAGTGTTTAGTTCTTGAGATATCGCGGCAACACCGTTTTCTAACTCCAAAAGCAGATTTGCCTGCTGTGACCTTGAAAATGGGGTCAAGGTCACCAAAACCGACTGGTGTCTGCGGTGTCTGTATATACACCATAGTTCCAAATATGAAGACAATCCAGTGTTTAGTTCTTGAGATATCGCGGCAACACCGTTTTCCAACTCTAAAAGCAGATTTGCCTGCTGTGACCTTTAAAATGGGGTCAAGGTCACCAAAACTGACTGGTGTCTGCGGAGTCTGTATATACACCATAGTTCCAAATATGAAGACAATCCAGTGTTTAGTTCTTGAGATATCGCGGCAACACTGTTTTCCAACTCTAAAAGCAGATTTGTCTGCTGTGACCTTGAAAATGGGATCAAGGTCACCAAAACCGACTGGTGTCTGCGGAGTCTGTATATACACCATAGTTCCAAATATGAAGACAATCCAGTGTTTAGTTCTTGAGATATCGCGGCAACACCGTTTTCCAACTCTAAAAGCAGATTTGTCTGCTGTGACCTTGAAAATGGGATCAAGGTCACCAAAACCGACTGGTGTCTGCGGAGTCTGTATATACACCATAGTTCCAAATATGAAGACAATCCAGTGTTTAGTTCTTGAGATATCGCGGCAACAAACAGGTGGGACGTACGGACGGACGGACGTACGGACGGACGTACGGACGGTCGTGAATACTATATCCCCCGCTTCGCGCTTTCGCGCGGCGGGGGATAATAATTTTAGTATACACAACTCACTGTTACGCCAAAGCTAGTAGTATTTAAAAACATAAGAATATGTTATACATACGTAGCTGAGAATTGTAAACAATATGACTACCTTGGCAGGCAAACGATTGTAACAATTCAAAATGGCGGCGAACAACAATATTTTGGCGGGAAAAAAGACGAGAGTCTTTTCACGCCTAATTAATTCACATAAAACTACACAACATGGTGAAAGTAATATGAAAAGAATACATCACCCATCGCAGATCAATTTTTAAGATTGTAGACAAACTGAAGGTCTAAAATTAATCCAAAAGGAGAGCTCCGCTTGGACACGTCCTAGCTGTGCTGCGACAAGCAGTGATGTGAAGATGACCTTAGGTGTCATCAAGGTCACAGGACAGCGACGGACGGCCACTGATTGGGACTTGAGAACAACAACTTTATTTCTTCACCCAGGACCTTCGCAGCGCTGTCCTTCTAGTTGTCGTAAGTAAGCAGTGAATGCATTAAGGAGTAATGCAGGATAAGTAAAAAATTTGTCTTTTATAAGTGAGTGAGATGTTTTACAGTTGTTCTTGTGACAAGGTAGAAAACTACGACTGTTTCTTAAGCGTCCGAAAACCCATAGCACGGGGATAAAAAAAAAAAAGGGTGTAGAAATATAAAAATTGTGAACTTGTCCAAAGGCAAGTAAACATCACTTGTCTGTGATGGGAATAAAGTTTACTTGTCCTGATTACTGACCCAAAGTGGTGTTTTCCCATCACAAAATTGGTCTCTGAACTGCCCCTATTTTTTCATTTCAGTTTTATGACTTCTTGGACCTATATCACGGATATTGGTACTCTGCTCAATTAATCAGATGTGTGCTAAGGTGTGATCAAAATTCTAACACACATGCACTCCGATCAATTGCATTGGTCATACTCACGATGTTTACATTTCTTCAAAGCTATATTTAGTACTTGTTCTGAATATTTCTTCTAAATTTCAAGGTTACCTGCGGGCTACTGAAGCCGATTTTTTGGTCTGTCCAGAAATCTCAGGTAATGAGTTGGGCAATTTGGGCATTGATTTTTCCACACCAATGAATAATATACATGTATCTTGAATGAGCATATCATTACCTAAATAAATAGAAGTTCCATTCAGTTTCTATTTGGTTTCTAATTCTACACATGGAAACATGAGTGAAGGCATCACTATTTAACATCTTCAAGGACTTCTTAAATCATTTTTCAAGGCAAATGGTCTTTTCAAGGAATTAAAGAATCCGAACACAACTCATATATATCACAACTTGACACATTATTCATCAGGGTCAGCAATAAGCATGGCTTAAAATCCTAGTCCAAAGCTGAATATTTTAGCATCAAGAAAGGACCACTAAACCTCAGAGGAATCTGAGTATTTTTTATGTCTAAAGGTGAAATTGTATGGTAATTAAATGGCAAAACCAAAATCAAGCATGTTATAACCCATTTGAAGCCTGATTTACTTCCGGTCTTACCTCCGGGCTTGTTAAGATGAAAATACTCCTCTCCAGTGACAGTTCCTTGTCACTCATATTCATGAGAATTCATATATCAAGAGCATGTGAATGCTTTAAGCATTATACAGCAATATCTATGCAGTCTGTAGATAACCAGCACTGAGCCAGTGGTGGATATAATGTGTCTGAATCCACACTCCACAGATATACAATCAACCAGGTCACACATTACGTCCACCTGGACCTCCGGTCACCTGATGTTAAGCATGGAGGACAGAAGATGTCTTCATGGGTTTTCATGTCGCATTCTAGATTATTTCACTGATATTGCCACGTACATACACGTGTGTGGCTGCGGGTACTAGTCTGGACAACTACAAGTTTTATAGTGCTAGTCCACTGACAAAACCTGCCACAGTTTCACATGGATAACCCCTCAGACGCAGTAGATTCCAAGCTTTTGCTCTCTAGGCAGATGCTCTATCCACTACACCACGAAGACGGTCTCTTCTGGAATCCTGATGGGAAATTATACACGTGTATATCTATGACATGATCCAACCAAGGAGTGATCTAAAGAGTGATTCAAACTCACCCATAGGTGGTGGTCCTCTTGGCATGATGCCAAACGGAGGCATGGGTGGAGGCCCACGGGGCATCATCCCCCTGGGTGGGAGGGGCGGCAGTGCTGGGGGTGGGCCCTGGAGGTTGAAGAAGTTGTTGCCCAGTTCTTCTGGTGGGGGTGGTAGAGCTGTAATATAGAGAGTCTGCATGAAGCATCACAGACATTACCAAACAACAAAAAGAAGTGCCAATTTACAAACTGAAAGAAGCACTTTCTTCAGTGTATACCTATTGCAATAGTGCTGTACCCACACACCGCCCTTATACTTCAGTGTATACCTATTGCAATAGTGCTATACCCACACAGTCCTTATACTTCAGTGTATACCTATTGCAATAGTGCTGTACCCACACACCGCCCTTAAACTTCAGTGTATACTTATTGCAATAGTGCTATACCCACACTGCCCTTATACTTCAGTGTATTCCTATTGCAATAGTGCTCTACCCACACAAACCTTATACTTCAGTATTTACCTATTGCAATAGTGCTGTACCCACACACCTTCCTTATCCTTCAGTGTATAACTATTGATGTAGCAATGCCTGTGCACCTTAGTGTATAACTATTGCTGTAGCACTGCCTGTGCACCTTATTGAATAACTACTGCTTATGTCCACACACCTCCTGGAAGCCCTGGCACTGGTTCCAGCATCTGACCATCGTCCTCCTTCTTGCCGGTCAGTTGTTGCTGGCCCTGTGACCGACCCCACTTAATGTTCAGCCGGCGACCATTAATGATGAGCTTATTAAACGACCTCTCTGCGGCTGTCTCTGATGATGGCCTTTCCGTAAACTGGACAAAAGCACACTGCTGTTTTGCGACCACATTCACAGACCTAATCTCACCAAATTGGTAGAAGTGATCTCTGAAACAAAATTGAAAAATTATGTTAAATACTTTTCATGAAATATATGAAAAAACTGTACACTGTACACTGACATAAAAACTAAATAACCTATTAACTCTAATACGTCCTATTAACTCTAATACTTACTACTATACTGAGATAACAGTGTAAATGCACACTAACATCATGATATACTTATTATCCCATCATGCCTTATTTTGCCATAAAGCATTATCCAAATCCTTCAACATATATATGTTTGTGATCGTCCTGTCCTCTGTGGATTCCAGCTTTGGCATGATGGAGTAGTGGATGTTTTTAATCCTGATTTGTGACAGGGTTACTTCAAACAGAGAAACTGAATCAAGACTTCAGCATTAAAAACCCTGAATCATGCCATAGGTTACTTCAAACAAGGAAACCGAATCAAGACTTCAGCATTAATAACCCTGAATCATGTCATAATTTACTTCAAACAAGGAAACCGAATCAAGACTTCAGCATTAATAACCCTGAATCATGTCATAGGTTACTTCAAGCACAGAAACTGAATATCGACTTCCGCACTTTTACCCCTGAAACGTGACATGGTTACTTCAAACAAGGAAACCGAATAAAGACTTCTGCACTTTTACCCCTGAAACGTGACATGGTTACTTCAAACAAGGAAACCGAATAAAGACTACATGGTTACTTCAAGCACAGAAACTGAATATCGCCTTCTGCACTTTTACCCCTGAAACGTGACACGGTTACTTCAAACAAGGAAACCGAATAAGGACTTCCACATATTTACCCCTGAAACGTGACATGGTTACTTCAAACAAGGAAACCGAATAAAGACTACATGGTTACTTCAAGCACAGAAACCGAATAAGGACTTCCACACTTTTACCCCTGAAACGTGACATGGTTACTTCAAACAAGGAAACCCAATAAGGACTTCCACACTTTTACCTCTGAAACGTGACATGGTTACTTCAAGCACAGAAACTGAATAAAGACTTCCACACTTTTACCCCTGAAACGTGACATGGTTACTTCAAACAAGGAAACCGAATAAAGACTACATGGCTACTTCAAGCACAGAAACCGAATAAGGACTTCCACACTTTTACCCCTGAAACGTGACATGGTTACTTCAAACAAGGAAACCGAATAAGGACTTCCACACTTTTACCTCTGAAACGTGACATGGTTACTTCAAGCACAGAAACTGAATAAAGACTTCCACACTTTTACCCCTGAAACGTGTCATGGTTATTTCAAGCACAGAAACTGAATAAAGACTTCCGCACTTTTACCCCTGAAACGTGACATGGTTATTTCAAGCACAGAAACTGAATAAAGACTTCCGCACTTTTACCCCTGAAACGTGACATGGTTATTTCAAGCACAGAAACTGAATAAAGACTTCCGCACTTTTACCCCTGAAACATGACATGGTTATTTCAAGCACAGAAACTGAATAAAGACTTCCACACTTTTACCCCTGAAACGTGACATGGTTACTTCAAACAAGGAAACCGAATAAGGACTTCCACACTTTTACCTCTGAAACGTGACATGGTTACTTCAAGCACAGAAACTGAATAAAGACTTCCACACTTTTACCCCTGAAACGTGTCATGGTTATTTCAAGCACAGAAACTGAATAAAGACTTCCGCACTTTTACCCCTGAAACGTGACATGGTTATTTCAAGCACAGAAACTGAATAAAGACTTCCGCACTTTTACCCCTGAAACGTGACATGGTTATTTCAAGCACAGAAACTGAATAAAGACTTCCGCACTTTTACCCCTGAAACATGACATGGTTATTTCAAGCACAGAAACTGAATAAAGACTTCCACACTTTTACCCCTGAAACGTGACATGGTTACTTCAAACAAGGAAACCGAATAAAGACTTCCACACTTTTACCCCTGAAACATGACATGGTTATTTCAAGCACAGAAACTGAATAAAGACTTTCGCACTTTTACCCCTGAAACGTGACATGGTTACTTCAAACAAGGAAACCGAATAAGGACTTCCACACTTTTACCTCTGAAACGTGACATGGTTATTTCAAGCACAGAAACTGAATAAAGACTTCCGCACTTTTACCCCTGAAACGTGACATGGTTACTTCAAACAAGGAAACCGAATAAAGACTTCCTCACTTTTACCCCTGAAATGTGACATGGTTACTTCAAACAAAACAAGCAGATGTTCCACTGACCTGAGATCCTGCTCTGTCACCTTGTCTCCAAGGTTACCAACATACAAGGTTGTGATGGTCTTGTCCTCCGGAGCTTCCAGCTTTGGCATGTTGGAATATCTGTTCATCAGCTTGTCCGCCACAGGGTCATTCATGCCGTAGAACCGGTCCTTGATGTTCTGGTCAGCCAGAGGGTCATCTGGATCAGTTGGCTTCTCGTGACTGGGGACACAAGGAACAATGGTCATCATAACTCAACACTGTATTGTTTGATAGGAATTACTTAGAAGTTGACGGATGACAAAGTATCGGTAGACACAATTTATGGATAACAACTTCTTTATTTACTGTGAGGCAACATATCGGTATAGATTCTTATACAGTTGTCCTTGCCTGACAATGGTATAAGGATCTATACCAGAACGGCGCCTTTACAGTAAATAAAGAAGTTGTTATCCATAAATTGTGTCTACTTTATAACTCAACACTGTTCAACACTGGCACCAGAGGCTGCCTTTCCATTTTTCTATAGTTGAATGAACAGATTACTGAGAACTGTAAGCATGGTAAATACAATTGTCTTGCTTCCAAACCTCCTTTATGTGAGGAAAAGTGTGAGCGGTTATAGTTCCAAATCCTTTGTTGATAATTTTTAGATGAACAAACTTTGTCTCCAATGTTGATCTATATTTGACATGATTGAACTAGGAGCTGAATGTGTAGTGGCCTTGAAATCGGCTGTTATAATCCAAGGTAGTTTATTGTGATTAGAAACCCTTTCTTATTCCATCACGACTTAGTATTAGCCTAACATGTGTGAGAACAGCTATTTACTACAAATAAGTTCATTTGGTGTCTTAAAACCTATTGCACATAAAGTATACTATGAGTCTTTCAAATGTCTTAATGTCTTCAATTATTTGTTAATATGCAAATTCTTCATATTTGTTTCATATACTATTTTGTGAATGTATTGGTCCAACTGACCGGTATGGACACTCCTCTCCTCTCTTGCACTCCCCCTTGACCCAGAATGAGCAGATGTGTGGCCTGTTCCTCTTGTAGTAGGGTGTGGTCCTGGCCAGCTTCAGCAGCATGTCGCTCGGCGCCTGGGCCTTCCCTGTAAGTGCCCCCACAGGGTTGGTGCCATCACTGTTGGCAATCTGAACCAAGCCAGAGTAACATTATATCCTCACATACCGTAGTGAGTGAGTGAGTGAGTTGGGTTTAACACCGCTTTTAACAGTAATTCCAGTTGTATTGTGGCATGTCAGCTTAATGTGGGAGAAAAGCTCGAAGTGATGCAGGTCTTAGCGATTACCAGTTCGGTGAAACCCACGAGCACAGGAATGGTGCTGACAATCCGTGTGAACTGGGATTCGAACCAACAATCATAAGTTTCTGGCGTGCCCAAGGGACGCAACTCTGCACAGTGAATCGTGGCGCCTTAGACGACTGGGCCATCTGTGCCCCCTTACATACCATAACACTGAGCATGTGAGTGAGGGAGTGGGGTGGGGAGAAAGGAAGGGGTGACTGAGCTTTGGAGAGAGCAATGAGAGGGTGTCAGTGAGGTTAGGAGGGTGTGAGGTTGGGAGGGAGGATTGGGAGAGGTTAGGAAGGAGGAACAGAAGGAGAGAGGTTGGGAGGGAGGATTGGGAGAGGTTAGGAAGGAGGAACAGAAGGAGAGAGGTTGGGAGGGAGGATTGGGAGAGGTTAGGAAGGAGGAACAGAAGGAGAGAGGTTGGGAGGGAGGGTTGGGAGAGGTTAGGAAGGAGGAACAGGAGAGAGGTTGGGAGGGAGGATTGGGAGAGGTTGGGAGGGAGGAAGGACTGAATGAATGAAGGAATGAGGAAAAAGTATGTGAGAGAATGAACGAGGGATCGAGGGTGCCATGACAGTTGGCAATCTGAACCAAGCAATATAAACATTGTATCCTGACATACCATTATCCTTGGTGAGTGAAGGGGGTGAGTGAGTGAACATATTCAATATTGTTCATTTTATATACATTTTGAATAAGTAGACAAATCAATGGCATCTGAATGACATAAATCAAAATGATAATGCCTCACTTCTCGTTCCATGTTCTGTGTGTAATATTCCTTGTTGACGTCTGACTTGGGCATGTTGTCATAGGCTTTCAGGGCTGCATCTCTAACCTGGACAGGAAGACCTAGAAAAACAGAGATGTTGAAAACAATTTTGGAGATAACCACGGACCATAAATGACCAAAAACCTAATACGACCATCCCTGGTCTTTCCAAGAATCTGTTTGATCACTAGTCCATTTATGACCACTGGGCCATCCGGCACTGTGATAGCTGATCATCATGTTACTGTCTTGTTTACTTATACAAATATACCATAATCCTGTTTTCGATCCCTCAAGTTGTCATTTTCATTTATGTTACTTCAGAAACTTGGGTGAATTTATGTAGATATTGTTGCAAATGTAAATGCAGTTGGTGGAATTCATAGCTTACCTGCGTATGTTCATGATGTTTAAACTAGCTTGGAGGTAGGTACGAGCTGCTAATTACCATGGATCAAAGCATATATGGCAGGCATAATAAAACAGTTAGCTTTGTAAAATAGTTGAATGTGCTAATACTAGACGAAACACAGCAATCTGTGTTTGGTCTTGTATGCTGAACTGAAACTGGTCCATTTATTAGCACTAAAATCTACTGAAAATGATGCCAAAAAGACAATTTGGGGGGGTAGAAGATGCAGAGACTGCTCTAGAGGGAAATGTGCACAACGAAGTACAAGGTGTACGAAGGATTACTGTACCATATTCCAAATCCAGGAGACACGTCTGGCAGACATTCTTTATCTTGCTGCAGGTTTGACAGACTTCTGTCTTTTTGAAGCGCATGCGAGCACCGGGACACCAGCGGAACACAGTGAAGGGTCGGGCACAGATCTTACATTCCTTGCCATACTTTTCCTTGGTCTGTGAGGTGATCATGAAAATAAAACTTAATTTTAGAAACTAGTAAAGTATATATCAAGCCATAAAAATGTATCACATCAGAAGCTTAGTTTCAAAATGACCAGGTCACAAGGTTTTCCCTGGTAGGCAGTAGACAGATAACCAATGCACGGGTATCAGCAACAATGGTGGCATAGTTTGGTCAAGGGAAGAAAACTCTATTAAAATCTGGACATTTATAGAGCTACTCTCAAACAGTTATTTATAACTCTGACATCATATGTCTTTAAAAATAACCTGTATGCTGATGGGAGTGAGTAGGTTGGGTTTAACGCCACTTTGAACAGTATTCAAAATATATCATAGCCAGTAATCTTTTGTTGAAGGAAAACATGAAGAGGCGACCAATGGGATTGGGTGGTCAGACTCGCTGTCTTGGTTGATGCTTGTCATCATAGCGTACATATTGTGTTGACTAATGCTCATAATGTCAATCACTGGATTGTCTGGTCCAGACTTAATTATTTACAGACCTCTGTCATATAGCTGGAATATTGATGAGCACTTGTGTTAAACAACAGGCACTAACTCACTGATGACATGTAGATCCATGATCATTTGTGGCTTTGGTAACGTAGGATTGCTATTGCTTTAAAATCATGCTTGATATTGGCAGGAACAATTAGTTTATTGAACATTCAGATCACATAAATTGTATCATCTCACTAAACAAAATCATAATAAATCATAGCTTACCATTCGAATATAAGGATTGTCCCCAAGACATGTCTGGCACAAGATTGGAAACTCCTACAATGAAAAGCACATGACTTAATGTTTAGACATGTTAAATAATTACAACTTCATAAACAAATTAAAAAAGAGACTTAAACAATAATATAATCTAAAATGTAATTGTCATGACAGCATAATTTCCACAAACACAGTGATAGCTGATCAGCATGTTACTGTCTTGTTTACTTATACAAATGGCTTATCTGTACATAACACCATGAGTAAGGAGTGATTAGATAAGCAAAAGAATACCTGTGTCAGGGCAAACCAATGGATAACCGTGTTAGCCCTCTATAGTGTACAGGTTGGATTCATGATGAGTTTACAATAATCCTGTTTTCGATCCCTCATGTTGTCATTTTCATTTATGTTATTTCAGAAACTTGGATGAATTTATGTAGATATTGTTGCAAATGTAACCTGTGTATGTTCATGATGTCTAAACTAGCTTAGAGGTAGGTACGAGCTGCTAATTACCATGGATTAAAGCACTTATGTAAACAAACATGTCAGCATGCTTGTAACTTTTCTCATTTCAAGTACCGGTTAGAATATACGTCCCCGACAACCTATGCTTGTTGTAACATTGTGTAAGGGGCATAAAATTGGGTGGTCAGACTCGGTGGATTGCATGTCATTGTATCCCAATTGCTAGGATCGATGCCCATGATCTAAATCACTGGATTTTCTGGCCCAGATGCAATTATTACAGACCGTCATGAAGCAGTAATATTGCTGACAAACAAACAATAAATTGATAAATATAAAAATACAGACTTGGTTACTTTTTGAAACCATTACTTTAAACTCACAACTATAACCCTTTGGATAGTTGAGGGTGTTAGAAGGGAAAGGGGATATAATTGGGCTAAGGATAGTGTATTAGTAACATACATCATTAACATACATGGTAACGAAAGAGGTAAGACTTCCTCCTGTACCCTCCCCCCCCCATGAAAATATGCCTGTGTTATGGGTTTTTGGACACTTTCATAGTTTTCTCTCTAATCACATGAACAACTGTAAAACATCTCATTCACGTATAAAATATAACTTTCTCTTATAAACAAGACCCCAGCTAACACACTACGTTTTCACAACGTTGTGGTAAAGTTGTGAATTGGTAACGTAGTGATACAACGTTGTCACAACGTTATTATTACGTCACGGTGCAACGTCGTTTCACAACGTAATAACAACGTTGCATTTTTACGTTGTGAAAACGTTGTTCATCGAATATTTCCCATCGTCTTGTTACATCGTTCCTGAAACGTTGGTGCGACGTCAACTGTCGCCTTAACAACAATTGTATGAACAAAAGTTTTACATACAAATCGACACAATTTCTGCCAAAAACAAGGCAGTAATTCATTATTTACCTATATCTTCGGAATCAGGATTTCCATCTCGTAAATAAACTAAAGTCTGTGTAAACACCTTATTATCACGTCACTCCAACGTTATGTGACAACGTAATCACAACGTAGCAAAAATACGTTGTGGAAACGTTGTGCATCGGGCGCCATGCAACGTTATGATGACAACGTTTCTCATACGTTGGTGCGACGTCAAATAGTCTTCATCGCGAAAAGCGTAAAAACAAAGGTGTTTACTCGAAATAAACTACATTTTGGCAGAAAATTACAATAATGTTAGATTTGGTTTTCACTTTTCAGCAACCCGTGCTTGTCGTAAGAGGCCATTAAACAACAAACAATGACAATAACATTTTCGCCATACATGCATGATTCGCACTTCCATCGTTGTTGAAAGGTTGTGGATTGGTAACGTCGTGATATAACGTTGTAACAACGTTATTTTAACGTCGACCTGCAACGTTATTTCACAACGTAATAACAACGTTGCACATTCACGTGGTGAAAACGTTGTGCATTGGACATCACACAACGTTTTGTAACTACGTTTCTGAAACGTCGGTGAAACGTTATTGAGTTTGCTTCTCGATAGAATAGAATAGAAGGAATAGAACTGCTTTATCAAAATCAACATGAATTTGTCAGAAAACCAAGTTAGTAATGCATTACCTTTCTATATATTCGGCATTTGAATTTTCATCTCTTAATACTAATATTTCGAGAACGTAATTGCGTATATCTGTGACAACGTTACAACAACGTTGCAAATTAACGTTGTGACAACGTTGTGCTTTGGACATTACAGTACTTTTTGTAAATGATGTTTAGGAAACCACTTGTAGATCTACCATCTCTTAGTGTTATTTTTTTTTAAACATATATATCTATTAACGAACTAAATGTTGTCACAAGCAATATTACAGTTAAAAACAATTGGCGCGTATTTTTTGCGGCGTGAGAGCGACTGCAGAAAAGTTTAGCCTGTTGCCTCGTGAAGTGACGTCAGAATGACGTCACATTGTCGCGGAAGATTTGTTGTCACCAGCCATCTTAGCTCAAACTCACTCTGGACATAATATATTACAAGCAAGTGATTGTGCAGCAACTGGAACTGGACAGATGATCTGTGAATTCGATTGAGGTAAGTTAATTTTTCAAAAATAGTCTCCTCTTGTTGATATGTTTCTGTGCATGCAGTGCGTCAAATGATCTAAATGTATCGTATTATTCAGAAGTGTCAGGGTTAAGAATGCAGTTTGCCGGTCATTTTCACTGAGCGTCAGTGTTGATATTAATATGATACACAGAACTTGATGATAGAGGTGAAGGGGCCCAAGAATTTTTTCCATATTATTATTTTATGGATACCAAGGGTAATTGCCAAGGGCAAGCGGTATATTTTTGACCAGAATTCAATCTGGTGGCGTTTTGTGGCCGTCATATTATGTTCGGGTTTCGTTCGTAAGCGTGTAGATTTGTAAATAGGCCTAACTTATGCATCGCCTACTGACCGCACTGACAGTTATCGCCATTTCTTCTGTGTTATTTCTGAAATCATTACTATTTAAAGTTTACATGTACTAATCTTCTGACTTTGATTTTTGTGCAACAATGTGGCTCATCCAGGCCATGGGAAAGGTTAAGTAGATTTCTCTTATACAGCGAAAAGAGGGAATCAAAACAATGGAAGTATTCAGATCGACTCTCTGTAGGCTGCTAGTTATAGCCCTAGTCTAAAGTGATCAATGATGTTATGAAAAAAATCGTATTTTCGGGAAGAGACAGAAACATACTTGATGTTTCCGAAAAGGCCTAATTAGCACTGACTGAAGTAGCCTAAATGTGGATCATCAGGTTGTTGCTGCTGTCTATAAAGTTTATTATAGCAAGGTGCTTATCATGTGTATTTTTATTATTTCCGAAAAAAGAATCAACTCATCATTTTCCGATAACTAGATCTATGTCCGACTCCTTTCTAATGAAAACGAGCAAAAGTAAAACGAGTCTCTCGTCGCGCGCTATAACGGGGTGTTTGCGGTATTGTCCTCTCTGGTGATGATAAGCTAGTCGATAGTCAAAAGTTAAATATCACCATATATTGTCAGTGAGTTGGTCATCGTTTGTTGATTATTAAAGTGAGATAGGTGTAGCCAATGTGCACCAATGAAAAATACAATGGAATTGATAGCAACCATATTCTTTCGGTTTTCGATCTGCATATGTTGCCACGTAGGCTACCATACTACAGAATTATATTTAACGATATTTAACTGTATTAGATATATGTTAATAAACGTAGTGACAAATAAATTTCAATAAATATTTAGAGCTGTTTCAACTTCGTCTGGTATTGTATAAGCTATTGCATTTTGTTTATTTCCCCATGTTTCTAATCTTTGTAAATGTTAGAACATATATAACTATCCTGGCATATTAATATGGAAAATATTAAGGTAGATCTAAGTATTAAAAAAAATCACAGTTTTAATTAGGATAAATACCCCAAAGTGTTAACACTTTTATCACTTATTGGTGGGCCAATTCATAATTCATATTCAACATTCTTGCTTCAAATATGGGAACTATTTATTTTATTTGGCAATATATATTTTTCATTTATGTACATATTTTTCAAATAAGGTTTTAGAAACTTGGCCATGATATTCACTTGAATCACTAGTTTGAGTGTACAGCAGAAAGGTAAAGTTACTGCTTTTGAAAAACTACAGTTGATCTTTTGACTGATAAAACTATTTGCCAATATTACTATCAGTTACATCATACTCTATTAGTCTAAGTAAATGGGATTTATCTATACAGTACTGGTTTATTTAAGAATGTGATACTTTGTGGTTTCTGTTTTTCTTTCAGGTGGAGAAAACAGTATTGTGGGAGCGTATTTGTGTACATATCACTGACAGAAAGGTATGTCTGATTCAATAATATATACAAACATCTTCAAGAATTAAAATTTAGATGATTCTTATTTAATTATACCCACAATCTAAAAGGGCGGGGGTATAAAGTTACACCAATGATTCAGTGCTAAAAGCTTTTCTGCTTATGTATGATCCAAGAGCATCATGGTATTAGTGTCAGCGCCTTCGCACTTTCAGCAGTTTTTAACAGTTTAAAGACTGACATCAGACATCAAAACATTATTTTGGGGAATGCAACCGTTATTTTGTTATGTCAGAAATATGTCCCTTGCCTTGCCATTTTATAACATTTGTGTCATTTTTTATTCAGTTACCAAGGCATAAGGAGAGACTGAGGATACAGTTGAAGATCATCCCTGTGACTTTTCATTTGAGGACTGAAAAGGCTCCCCAGCAACTCAGCCCATGTTCTGACTTGTCATTTAACAAATAAATAAAGGTCACCTCAACCAGAATTCTATTGTCATTTCGTTTACCTAATGGATCTTAGGACATCAGATGCATAGACTATTCTGTTTGTCACAGTGTTGCTCTCAATGCTGAATGTATGGGGTAAGGCCAAGAAAATTTAAATGTTTCAATATGTGCAGGGCTTATTGTTTGATGGTTTTTAATTTGCAAATTCGTGGGAAAATCCAATATCTTTTAATTGTGTTGAAACATTTGTGAACAATTTGCACATAGCCTTGAAAATTGTTTTGGAAAATGAATATTATATTACCAAATTGTACATGTAATTTAAAACATTTAGATTTATATCTTGGCCGTATTTCAAACTCTGCCAAAAGAGAGTGCATTTCATTGACTTGCTGTTTCATGGATAGGGTTAAAGTGAATTCAGTTTGCAGAATGTATTTCTTGGTACCTGATGTCTTAACTAGATTGGTACAAACTTTTCAGGCTGCCTGGGAGGTATTGAGGAATAAAACAGGCGTTAATCTACATGGACATTGCAACAACGTGCTGCAATGCCTGTAGTGTCGCCATATGTAAACAGTATGCGATACCTACGTTGTCGCGACGTAAAAAATGGACGTTGTGACAACGTCTTGATTTGGTTGTATTTTGGTTTACGCACAACGTTGTAGCAACCAATCTGGGAGTCTACAGAATAACGTTGTGACAACGTAACATCACAACGTTGTAGCAACGAAAAGTAAACGTTGTCACAACGTTGTAACAACGTAGAATTGTTGGCTGAGTACGTTGTCGCGACGTTTTGGTTAAACGTTGTAGCAACGTAAAAAATGGACGTTGTGACAACGTCTTGATTTGGTTGTATTTTGGTTTACGCACAACGTTGTAGCAACCAATCTGGGAGTCTACAGAATTACGTTGTGACAACGTAACATCACAACGTTGTAGCAACGAAAAGTCAACGTTGTCACAACGTTGTCACAACGTAGAATTGTTTGCTGGGACATCATCTGAGTTTTTACAATGTCTGTGTTACACCTCCCATTATAGCTCAAGTAATCGCGATAAACATGACAATCCGAAAACGTATGATGTCCGAAAACCTATGATCCGATGATATATATATATCGATAATTAAAAGGATTGAGTGGAAATGTATCCACATATAACTTTGGGAGGCGGTCTTTCCAAGCATCATACATCTCACGAAAAATTATGTATACACAATACATAATCACGATCCTTAGCGATTGTTAGTTTAGCCTGTTAGAGTTATGGTAGAATACCCCAATTCTATCCTTTGGCCTTGCATCCTTGAATGAAAATAGAGGCGAACATATTCTACAGCGGCTCCGGATTCCTGAATCTACGATTAGTTATGTGGTTTAATGTATTTGCATACTGGAGTCTCAGACGGATAGTGTACAACATCATCAGAGAGTTCTCACTGACAAACACTTAGGCAATATCTTTTGGGAATAGTCACTGGGATTAGGACTAGGAAAATACACGCGTGTGTTGAGCTCTCTTTTGCACCTACATTTTTAATCGAATTAGCCGTCACGGACTCTTCATTTAAATAATGAAAGAAACAGAAGCTTTTTTCCGTGTTGTAAAATATCAATGAAATCGTTTTAAATGTGTAAACTCACAGCATCTTCCCAATTTTGACGATTGTACGTATTCGCTCCCTTGGACGTCGCCATTTTTCAGAGGAGCTAACTAAAAGAATGGCAACTTCCGGATGAAACAAATAAAATAATCATATATTATAATATGAGTCCCTGCATACATAATTGATATAGAAATATCCACAAATCTGTTTTAATGACAGACCTTAATTTTTATGTTTTGCTTGTTTCACACAATCAGTTTTAGTTTCCTCGGATTCATAGTTACAAATCACTTTTCGGAAATATTTCCCGTGCCAACTTTTATAAACACCGTCATGAAAACAAAAACAAGTTGAGGAAACCTACTCGCGTTGATACAAATTTCACTTTTTCACTGTTACTTGTGTCGTCCAAGATCGACACATTTGTAACATTCTTAAGTATGTGACAGTATCGGACGTACTCTATTTACAATACCATCTGAATACTTGAAAGTCATTTAAACTGTGTCCACTGGTGAATACATCAGCTGTTCTGTTGCTTATGTCACTGTGATCAGGTAAGCCTCTTCAGGAAACAACACTTCTCATTTCTTAACGTGATCTTCATGCATCATAACATTTGCTAATGCATCCTTTCTTGACTGCCATTTACTCATAATTCAGATGAAACAGTCCATGATAACTCTTAACCCTCTTGAATGCCACATTCGCCCTGATTGAGTTTCTATGGCTTATAGATTTGTCAGCACAACAAAATCGCCTTAGAACTTCTGACATTCAACCCACAGTGATGTAATTGTAATACTGTTCAAAGTGGTGTTAGTGAGTGAGTGGGCTGATCGAAACGCTGGAACAGTGTTCCAGTTATATCACGGTGTGTCAGCTTGATGTGGGTGGAAAGCCCAAATTGATGCAAATCTTAGACGTTTACCACTTTCCTGAGACCTACGAGCATGAGTATGGTGCTGACAAACCTAGAAACATATTCTGGGCGAGCCAGGATTCAAATTCACAATCATAGGTTTCTGGTGTGCAAGGGATGCAACTCTGCACATCGAATTACCCCCCACCCACCCACCTCAACACACACACACACACACACACACACACACACACACACACACACACACACACACACACACACACACACACACACACACACACACAAAGTGGTGTTATATCAAATTAACTCTGACTGATCAGCCCATTGTTTTCTAAGAAAAACAGAAGGTATCATTTTGAATAATCCATCTTCTGTTAAACTAATATTCTTAACAATCAAGCACTAGTGATGCATTAGGGTGTTAAAATTTACCTGGATGGGACCGAATGGCTTTGCAAGGATCAAATATGATGGACTGATTGCTTTACAAGCTAGAATGTCATTGAAGTTTTTGTCCAAAGAAAATCATCTTCCCGAGGCAAAGGGGTTAACTGACTAGAAAAGTCCAGTTTCAACCTTTTGTCAAACTAGGTATTATGGAACAAATGTTATATTTGGGATAACACTTTCTGAGTAAAGTACAGATTCTCACACTTTTTTTGGTTGAGTCCCATCCAGGATTTGAACCCACACCCCAGAGTGAGGCACCTAATTGCCAGCACACAAAGTCAGAAATCTAACCCACTCCCATGGCCGAAAGCTATGAACACACAATGCCATTTAGAAAGTGGTCAAATTTAACTAATGTAATATTTGGGATAACACTTTCTGAGTAAAGTACAGATTCTTATACTTTTTGGGGTTGAGTCCCATCCGGGATTCAAACCCGCACTGCCAGAGTGAGGCACCTAATCGGCACACAAAGTCAGCAATCTAACCCACTCAGCCACTGAGGCTTCCACAAAAATGAATGTCCGACCACTGGTAGTCAAGATCACATACTTTGTGCACCCCTCTGACATGTGTAAATTGGAACGGCATGGGTGGTCCAGTTGTTTCAGATTATGGTTCTTGGTTTGTCAGCACCATACATGATACATGAGATTTACCAAAGTGGTAATTGTCTTCTACCTGCATCACACAATAGTATAACCGATAGGCAGCACTGAAGACTTAAACTCAACTCACTCATTTATGCATAAACATTTCCCCTTTCAGTTTGTGCTGTGGAAACCACTTTTGACTGTATGAAGATGTCAAACAGAGGAGTGCTAAGTCTGCGCTTTAACCAGGACTATGGTATAATCATAAACAATATTTTAATGTGAAGTTTGCAACGATTTGTATGGAGATTGGATATTTTTTTAGGTACAGTTGCAAAACCCAGACATATTTTAATAAAAACTATGAACGTCACTACTTGTATCCTTGTACGCTTTTGTTTATTCCAACTTTTTGTTTAACTGGGTTGTCTGGATTGTATCTTGATGTTATGGTTGCAGAATAAACTGCATTGATTTGAGACTGCGGGTTTGATTAATCCTTGGCAGAATCTAAATATTTTTCACAAAAAACATCTTGTAACATGTATTTTTTGTGGCAGACAGTTTTTTTCTTCTTCAAAAGTCGGAAAATTTATTTTTTTGGAAAAAACTCCAGGTTCTACCTTGTTTTTGATGGTGTAGGCTGTGACGTGTAAATATGTGTTTTGTTTCTGATGCTGTAGGCTGTGACGTGTTAACATGTGTCTGTGTCTTGTTTCTGATGGTGTTGGCTGTGACATGTCAACAAGTGTCTGTGCCTTGTTTGTGATGGTGCAGGCTGTGACGTGTAAACACATGTTCCGTTTCTGAAGCTGTAGGCTATGATGTGTAAACATGGGTCTGTCTTGTTTCTGATGCTATAGACTGTGACATGTAAACATGTGTCTTGTTTGTGATGGTGTAGGCTGTGACATGTAAACATGTGTCTTGTTTCTGTAGCTGTAGGCTCTAACGTGTAAACACATGTTTTGTGTCTGATGCTGTAGGCTGTGATGTGTAAACATGTGTCTTGTGTCTGATGCTGTAGGCTGTGACATGTAAATACATGCTTTGTTTCTGAAGCTCTAGGCTGTAATGTGTAAACATGTGTCTTGTTTCTGATGCTGTAGGCTGTGACCTGTAAACACATGTTTTGTTTCTGAAGCTGTAGGCTGTGACATGTAAACACATGTTTTGATTCTGAGGCTGTAGGCTGTGACATGTAAACCCATGCTTTGATTCTGAGGCTGTAGGCTGTGACATGTAAACACATGTTTTGTTTCTGAAGCTGTAGGCTGTGACATGTAAACACATGCTTTGTTTCTGATGCTGTAGGCTGTGACATGTAAACACATGTTTTGTTTCTGAGGCTGAAGGCTGTGACATGTAAACATGTTTCTCTTTCTTGCAGGATGCTTCACATGTGCCACAGAGTCAGGTCTTCGCATTTACAACGTGGACCCTCTCACCCAGAAGCTGTTCCAAGGTAGGTAACCATAGTAACCCCACACATGAACTATTATTATTACTCTTAGTCTTGCTTTCTGATTGACCAGTGGCTGTAAAAACCCATACATTTTGGTTTGCCGGCTTGTACAGATATCGTTGTGTCATTATGTTGATGTGATGTTACTTGCTTGTCACATCATAATTGATCCTGTTTGCTAGATGGACCTATTTGTCATGCACAGATATTTCACTAAAACTAAGTCTTGCAATGTATGAACTCGTAATGATAAATTCATAACATATATGTGTCACTTGCGGGATGTACAGGTTTTAAGAGCTGAGTGTCACTACCAGGGTGTACAGGTTTTAAGAGCTGAATGTCACTAACTGGGTGTACAGGTTTTAAGACCTGAGTGTCACTAACTGGGTGTACAGGTTTTAAGAGCCGAGTGTCACTAACTGGGTGTACAGGTTTTTAGAGCCGAGTGTCACTAACTGGGTGTGCAGGTTTTTAGAGCCGAGTGTCACTAACTGGGTGTACAGATTTTAAGAACTGAACATTCATGTCTCAATACCCTCACGGTGAACAAGCCCATTCCGCTTGATTAGCTTGCCATGGCAACAATTCTTATGCTGGGTAGGTTACCATGGTTACAGGTAGGCAATGTGCCTATATTATTGTGAGTTAATCCAGATATTGGAACAAAAGATTTACACAAAGAATCAGTTGTATTTACAACATCAGTATAGCTTGTAATTCAGACAATGGTGCTCACATTTACAAGAAGAGATGATAATACAATGCAGATTCAATATCATGTGAAAATGAATGACTGCCCTGAAAGAGTAAAATACCTGCTTCAAAAGAAACTGCAGACAGACTTGAGAAGTAAAATACACAGTCCTGTCAAATAGCGCAAATCACAGCTTATATTCTTAGCTTTTCGTGATATATGGCCTTGACCCAGCATTTCTGGCCCCTTCTTATATCTTCCTTTCACTGATTATATCTGGTCACACAATATTTCAGTTGAAAACTATTATTTTTTTCAAAAGACCTGATGAAATTATCAAAATATACCCAATTCAACAAAATAAATTGTTATTTATTTAACACTAACTTCTTGCTTCTGTAAACCTGATTTTGTAGTGAAATGATTGATGTGAAAGCTGGTAGAGAACACTTTTACTGTTTGTTTCAGGGGTAGAGTGTGTGGGCAGTGTGGCCATGGCGGAGATGCTGTTCAGGACAAATGTCCTGGCTCTTGTTGGTGGGGGAAGTCTTCCCAAGTTTGATGAAAAAGCAGGTTTGTGATTTTCTTTTTTCACAATATTGTGAGGGCTGGTCTGACCTGCTGACGGGAAGTGCATATGTTTCCCTGAAACATGATAGAATCAAGCAAAAGGGAAAAGTGAAAGCAACATTGGGAACACATATTGCCCTAATATTTGCTGTTTAATTAACGAAACGAGTCCCTTATCTTAATGCTGCACTGGTGTTTTTTCACGAGAACATGACAGAAGCCAAGCTACCTTTTGTAGGATCTTATCTTACCTCACCTATAAAATACTTGAATTTTATTGATCAATGACATTTTAATAAATTTCCATGTAACCCCCGACCATGATGTGCAAGTTGAAATTCTATACCCCATCGTCATGGCAACTAACATTTTGCTGATCTCAATAACCTTTGCAATTCAAGCTCTTTTCAGGGAAGTGGTGTTGTGCAGTGTATATTATTTCCTTGTGATAACTTGTAATGAACCCGTACATGCCAACTAAGAGCGGGGATGGTACAAATGACCTTAAATATCTACTGCTTTTTCAGGTGGCTCGTGAAAAGAATCCTTAATAAAAAACATATTTAACAGGAAATAGATGCTTTTTTTCTTCATATTTTATTGTATTGCAACAGAAAGGTAATTATGATCTTTGATACAATGTATCTTCTTGCTCATGACTGGAATGGTGTTCTGACTGAACTAAATGAGTTTATTTCTGTCAGTGCTGGTGTGGGATGAGTCTCAGAAAGACCCAGAACAGAAGATCCTCATGGACGTCACCTTTGCCCAACCTGTTGTTGCAGTCCGATTACAGAGGGACAGGTAGGTTGTGGTAGTCAGATTACAGAGACAGGTAGGTTGTTGCTGTCTGATTACAGAGACAGGTAGGTTGTTGCAGTCAGATTACAGAGACAGGTAGTATGTTGCAGTCTGGTTACAGAGACAGGTAGGTTGTTGCAGTCAGATTACAGAGATAGGTAGTATGTTGCAGTCTGATTACAGAGACAGGTAGGTTGTGGTAGTCAGATTACAGAGACAGGTAGGTTGTTGCAGTCTGATTACAGAGATAGGTAGTATGTTGCAGTCTGATTACAGAGACAGGTAGGTTGTGGTAGTCAGATTACAGAGACAGGTAGGTTGTTGCAGCCTGATTACAGAGATGGGTAGGTAATTGCAGTCAGATTACAGAGATAGGTAGGTTGTTGCAGTCTGATTACAAAGAGACAGGTAGGTTGTTGCAGTCAGATTACAAAGAGACAGGTAGGTTGTTGCAGTCTGATTACAAAGATAGGTAGGATGTTGCAGTCAGATTACAAAGAGATTATTACTTTTTAAGGCAATCCCTAAGACATGCTGAATCACAGAGTGTGGTGAATGGTCGGAGTCCTAAGTTGTGACTGATGTGTTGTGTCTCCTCCAGGTTGATCGTTGCCCTGAGGAACCAGGTCCATGTGTTCTCCTTCCCAAACAACCCACAGAAACTCTACACCTTCGACACCAGGGACAACCCCAGAGGTGGGTTCAATAATATTATAATATGGCATTTCTTGAAGTTAGATGAATTTGTCAAATTCATAAAAGTTATTGCATGTTATACTGCCATCATGTTTTTGAAGAGTAAATCATGTTAATATGCTACCAAACTTTGATACATACGCTTCTATTATTCCATGATAATTAAAATTTGCACTTGTGTGAAACATATGAGTAGACTTATTAAAGGTTGAAGCCCTTGTAGTTGTATGTTGATAGTCAGTTACAGGCAACACCTGATCCCTAGATGACTGTTATACCTGATGTTACCTCTAGTGCCTTGAGGTGTTGTGTTTAGCCCTGCTCATCTAATCTGATTTAAACACATGTATTGTTGTTTTTTTATTGCCTTGTGCAACATCATATAGTGTTTGTTTATGTTTGTGACCAGGATTGGTAGAAGTGAGTCCATTCGGTCGGACGCTGGTGTTCCCAGGCCACAAGTGTGGCAGTGTGCAGGTTGTGGTAAGTAGGTCATTTACCTGTCGTTGGTTGGTTTTTGATGTTTAACTCCGCACTCAGCAATATTCCAGCTTTATGACAGCGGTCTGTAATTAATTGAGTCTGGACCAGACAATCCAGTGATTCATATCATAAGCATCGCTCCACGCATTTGGGATCGATGACATGCATCTACCAAGTCGGCGAGCCTGACCACCCGATCCCGTTAGTCGCCTCTTACGACAAGCATAGTCGCCTTTTACGGCAAGCATGGGTTGCTGAAGACCTATTCTACCCTGGATCTTCAAGGGTCCATTCACCTGTCACTTGTCTGGCATGAGGAGAAGATTTTAGTACTAAAGATTGTGACTCTTCATACTTCACTGGTTAGGATACTCTGTGTTCCTCCGTCACCATTATATACATACTGGGTATTAGGGCTGGGACAGGTAACTCGGGCACTCGGGGAGGGTGGGTCGTGAGTAGGACCCGGGTACCACAGGACTACCCACACCCATGGTTCGTCACATGATATATTGTTTAACGACAAAAACTTACTATACCTCAGTGGTTACACTACAAGTCGCTAATGTTCGCATTTCTTTCTGACGATGCACACATTCCTTTTGACTTGTATATGTTTGAGTAAACATGAACCTTTAGTCAATTTCAGTGTACGCATGATCTGATCGTTTGATACATGTATCTAAATGGTTTTTGCCAGGGCTGCCGTAAAACAATTCCCAGTCAGACATTTTGTTCCCAACTCTTGAGACCTACACTGGGTACCCGGTTAGGATCGGGTAATAGGGGGTCGGGTACCCGGGAAGAATCTGGTAATAGGGGGTCGGGTAGTAAATTTGGACTTGTCCCAGCCCTATGGAGTATGTATGCTTCGGGATGGAGTGTTGACATTTGTCTATTTTAAAAAAGGCTGATGCAATGAGACCATTATTACTCATGGAAGTCACATGGCACCTACTCCAAAGGACCATGCATGAAATCTGGGCGAAACCTACCACTGCCTGCCATTGAGGCCCTGTGTAGAGCAGATGACCACAAGGCTATGACACATGTTGAACACATTGTCAGGAGGAGAAAACATTGCTATCTGTGTGATGTATGCTGAGCGCTCACTGATCTGAGTATAGCACACCATGCTTGACTACACCACAAAGCGGCTCTATATATTCATGGGTGATGTAGGACACAGTACCATATATCGCCGTCTATAAGGTGACCCCATGTATAAGGCGACCCGCCTTTCAAGCCTTCAAAATCATGATTACATGATCAGTTTGCGTACTTCAGTAGGGATTTGTTGACATGGTATTTCCGGTGTTACATGCTCACATTAATGTCTTTGTGATGGGGAAAAACCCCATCAAAACTCTTCAAACCTGTGTATAAGACGACCCCCCCCTTGAAAGCCTCCTAATTCTAGGTACGAAAAACTTGCCTTATACACAGCGGTAAACGGTATATGCAGAATTGATGCTGTAACCAAGATAGATGTAACTATCATAACAAACACGGAAGTCCAATGTTTCACAGTCCTGGGACAATTTCGAGTCTGAATGTTGAAACAGTTGTGGAATTGAGACGTTCTCTCTGTATATAATGAGAATCCAAACCTGCTGGATTGAATAACATCTCATAGTCTGATTTTGCAGACACATTCAGTGGCTTTTGGTTGACTTGGATCATACTGGCAGTGATTGATGAATGTCCAGATCCTACTGTAATTTCAATCGCTATAACAAAGAAATATTTTATTAAAATGGAAACAGTGGAAACTAATGTTATTGTTCATTGGATACAAGTTGTGAATTTTGGAAATAACAAATTGTTATGGTTATACTATAATGTCTGTTGCATGCCTGTCATCTAAGTTTGCTGTGAGTTGTGTCCCTTAGCCCTGCTAGAAACCAACACCATGATTTAACGGAAATACCACTCAAACCGGCGCTAAACTGAATTCACTCCTTTACTGTTCCGTGGCTAGGACCTGGAGATGACGCAGCCTGAACACACCGTGTCCCCCGTCACCATCAACACACATCAGAGTGAGCTGGCCTGTCTCGCACTGGACCAGAAGGGCAAGCTCCTCGCTACAGCTTCACGGAAGGTCAGCATGCATTGCCATCACATCACACTAGGTCAGGACTCAACTTAGGCCAAGCTGTCACATCACACTAAGTCACGACTAAACTAAGGCCAAGCTGTCACATCACACTAGGTCACGACTCAACTAAGGCCAAGCTGTCACATCACACTAGGTCACGACTCAACTAAGGCCAAGCGTTTTGCATTTCTGATACAGATTTCTGGGTGTAAAATACTTGTAAATATGTTGGGGGGAAAATAGGATAAGAAAGGCATTTCAGATTAGTTTTATGTTTCAGAAAATATATCAAACTATACTGCCATGTGACGATCTTGGTTTTGCAAATTAACAGTGTATGCACCTTTTTTTGCATTGGGCAGTGTAACAAAAGTACATTTGAGGTGGCTAGTTTATTCCAATTATGTATTGTAAACTAAAACGAGATATAAATACCATGCTTCCCTAGCTTCTGGAAGTAAACAAGCCTTTTAACGTGATCTCATGCATGCGCGAAAAGAATGATATCTCCTCCTCATTTCTCCGGCTTCCACATTGAACAGGGGAAAAATATATTTGGATGTTTTTGATTACCATCGGCAGTTTTTTACTACAGTTAATTGGTTTATGGACTTCACTTTCCTAGATAGGAATTTGTTTTTGACCTAGGAACGCCTACATAGTCAGTTACTATGTTGGATATTGAAGTCTTACCCCACAGCCAAAATGACGCCAAATGTTCAATTGTTTATTGTTTGTGAAGACGCCCACAGCAATGAGACATCATATGAACCATAATAAATAAACATGACATCATTCATTGTTCACAGTGTGACAATTAGTTTAATGTGACATCGTTCCAAAACTGGGCTGATGTCACCACTTGAGATCAGGACACCCACATGTTTCTACATTATTTTTCAGAAAAAGAGACTAAGAAATTTAAAAGACTCTACTCACATCTAGGAATACCTGATCATCTATCCACTGGAATTAATGTTGGAACTTACAAAACAATTCACTAAGGACAGATAACCTTTAAATCTGTGTAGGCTTATTGTGACTCGTAGTGACTGTAGTTATGAAATATAAATGTATATGTTTCCTCAATACAAGTAATATCCTGATGTTTGTTTGACTGGTATGTGTGATATGTGTTCAGGGGACCCTGATCCGGGTTTTTGACGTAGCTACCAAGAAGCTTGTGGTTGAGCTGCGACGAGGTGCAGACCCAGCAGTCCTCTACTGGTGAGTTGGTCATTGGAAACTGAGGCTCTGTCTTAAATCATCATTTAGTTTATAATGTTTTTGCCAAATCTTTGGGGTTGTGGTCAAATTAAAACTAAAATGTTGGAATCTTTTTAAATTTGAAATAACCATACATGAATTGAAAGAAAGTATGTTTCTTGGAATGACAAGTCAGTGGGTTATTTTTCGTCATCTTCTTCCTATTTTGTTATTGTAATTGAAATTGTGAATGAAAGTAAAATAAAAACTGAATTGGCTAGTAGGAAAAAAAGACTGTTCTTAACTTCATATTTTCCTTTATTTTTCTGACTGAGAGTCGCTGGAACCTTTAACACACTTAAATATGTGCATGTATGTTTATAGCATCTCCTTCAGTGCTGACTCAGCATTCCTGTGTGCTTCAAGTGACAAGGGGACTGTGCACATATTTGCAGTCAAAGACACGAAGCTCAACAGGACATCAACGTGAGTTCAGGCTCTGTTCTGTTTTAACTGAACAAAGCATTAATGTCCGAAAGAGAGAATACCATACAGACACAGACTCAAAACAAGGCTATGGCAGTGACTGGATCCAGGACATTTGGCATGATAGAAAGGAGATGTGATACACTGATAATCAATGATGCCAGTGATACAATAATCTAGAGAAGCCAACATTCTATTGCTGTAATTCTGACAAGGGGTTAAAAGTTCATTTACCCACTTCGGTGAAACCCACGAGCACGGGTATGGTGCTGACAAACCTGGAAACATAATCCGGGCGAACCGGGATTCGAACCCACACTCATAGGTTTCTGGCGTGCCCAAAGGACGCAACTCTTCACAGCGAATAGTGGCGTCTTAGACAACTGGGCCACCAGAGCCCCCTTACCCACTTAGACATAAGTGAGTTCTCTCTGATCTCCTGAGATTCCATTTTGTGATGTTTCAGATTCAAGAAGATGGGTTTCCTTGGTCCCTATGTGGAATCTCAGTGGGGCCTGGCCAGCTTCACAGTTGCTGCGGAGTGTGCCTGTATCTGCGCCTTCGGTTCCTCCAGCTCTGTTATAGGTAGCATCACTGTCCGAAAACACATCTCGTCTGTTGATTATCATTTATTAAACTAGATAGCAATGTTTGTTTGTTTGTTCTTCAACCTTGCTCTCAGCAATATTCCAGCTATATGACAGAGGTTGTAAATAATCAAGTCTGAAGCAGACAATCCAGTGATTGACATCATGAGCAACGATCCATGCAACTGGGAACAATGCCACCCGATCAACCATATCACAGAGTCTGACCACCTGATCCATTAAGTCACCTGTTACAACCAGCATGGGTTGCTGGGGACCATTTGATCAGTTGTTATTAGCATGTCACAAAAATCATTTAAGTTATTATTACAAAGGATTATTAAAAATGTTTATTTCACTAGAACACAAATGATGATGTGACTGGTAATGTAAGCATGTCAATCAAGGAAAAGTTTATAAAAATAAGTGAGTATGGTTTTACACTGCTTTTAGCAATATTCCAGCAATATCACGGCAGGGGACACCGGAAATGGGCTTTACACATTGTACCATATGGGGAATCGAACCCAGGTCTTCGATGTGGCGAGCAAATGCTTTTACCACTAGGCTACCCAGTGAATAAAGAGATAATACTGTGAACCTTAGAGTATTCCACATGAAATATTGGATATTGTGTTATGTCCCTTGATATAAATGTGTATGTGTTCATGTAATAAATGGGATCACATATTTCTATATAGCAGCCTTTAATGGCAGCAGAGTTTACTCTATCCCCCTGCGAAGATCTGGGTTAGAATTGGTTTTCACCAACCCATGCTTATCAGAAGAGGCAACTAACAGGATCGGGTGGTCAGTCTCATTGACTTGCATGATGCATGTCATCGTATCCCAAATGCGTAGATCGATGCTCATCTTGTGGATCACTGGATTGTCTGTACCAGATTTGATTATTGACAGATTGCTGTTATATAGATGGAGTGAGGCATTAAATAACAAACTATTGTACTTATATTGTCTATGAAATTTTTTATTCATTCAACTAATATGTAAACATAGGGTTTAAATTTTTTAATCTTTAAATCAAGATTGTATGGTTTCCATATTTGTGTTAAAGCGTTCGCTCGTCACGCCGAAGACCCGGATTCGATTCCCGACATGGGTACAGTGTGTGAAGCCCATTTCTGGTGTCCCCCGCCGTGATATTGCTGGAATATTGCTAAAAGCGGCGTAAAACCATACTCACTCACTCTTCCTAGTAAGACAACTTAGTTTTGTACAAATGTTATATCTACATGTTGAATGTGATGATTTATCTGCCTTTGTTTATCTTCAGCTGTTTGTGTGGACGGAACATTCCACAAGTACGTGTTTACATCTGATGGCAACTGTAACCGCGAGGCATATGACGTCTACCTCGACATGGGGGAAGATATGGAGTGAAAACATTGGTGCTTCTGTTATAACTGGGGAAATTACACATCGTTACTTCATGTGCAATCAGGGGAGTATGACAAACTATAGAACATAGGCGCTACCATTATAACCCGAGACATTATGCATCTTCATTCTTTGGACTATCAGGAGAATACGACACACAGCACCAGCATTGACCATAACCGACAAGCCAGTCTGCAACTGAGATAGGGGATCTGATGGGTACTTGAGTGCTCCAGCAAGGTTCAGGTTCAGATGGACTAGAGTCCTGCAGGAGTTGTGTACCCTGCCAGGGGAGATAACTCACATTGTCACTTCATAGACACGCATGGAAAAGACATGGCTTGGTATTGAGGAAGATACTTGAATCCCTGTTTTCTAGCAGTCAAGTCCTAGTTCAGATCACTGAACTGATGTCATCAGAGAGAATGATATTTGACTTGCTTTGGCTTAAAAAAGTAAAAGAATTGGTTCTCAGGCAATGACTTTTGAAAATATAGTGTGGGCGGGCGGTGTTTTTTGTTGTTGCTTGTTCAAACTAGTATGTAACCAAATAAACAGTTGTGTACCATCAACCTGGGAAAGGGCCTCCCTACATAAACAAGCACACAAACTCCTATTGTCACCATGACCATAACACGATACGCAGTTAAGCAGTGTGCATGTAAAGGGAAGTAACTGTGTGCTATATTGGATTGCATTGTTTTTAAGTATTAGGATTATTTTATATTTTTGAAAATGGAAATATAAACATGAGGCAGACTTAATGATGATGCTGGCAGTGCCTGAGAACAAAGACTTTTTTTTAGCCTTACTGCCTGATACATTAACACACTATAGGTATTTACAGGCTGACTGTCACTGATGTCTATTTAAAATTGAGCAATTTCATTTATAATATCATAGTCTTTGTGTATTTTTCTGAGAGGCTTCTTGTTACTTTTTTGTCCAATATTATATTCACCTCATTAAATGGCATAGCTTTTTGGTCCCCTCATGGGTACTTACTGTGCATATATCATCTCTGTGTTGATGCTAATAAGCTGAGACATGACCCACATCTGCCACTGTTGGCCTCAACATGGTGGTGCAAGAACAGGCAAACTGCCCTAGCAGTTGGTTTCATTTCACTTTGGGAGGTTGAGTGGTCCATTGGCTTAAGTGTTTGCTGGTCCAGGTTTGATTCCGAAAATGGGTACCATGAACCCCATTTCTGGTGCCCTTCTGCAGTGGTAGAAACTAACAGTTTCAGTCCACCAGTTCTTATAATGGTAACGTAGCAAAACTCTTGAAAAGGGCAAATTTCTACTGGTCCTCATGATATCTTTTGGGCAGTTTGGCAAGGATTGTAGGATTAGCGCCAATTTCTAATGCTGCCTTCTGCCATGATACTGCTAGATTATTGCTAAAAGCAGCTTAAAGCCTCACTCAGTCATAATGCTCCTCAGTGCTGTGTATATAATGTTCTAGCTATATTTCTAGAACTACATCATCAATACTTTTCGGTTTTGTATACACCCTATTCCTCCATTATGATGAAATGAGACTGTATTACTCTCAGATGTCAAAGGAACACTACTTTGTGCATGAACATTGTTTGAACCCTACTATTGCCTGATATTGAAGTGTGTAGAGCAGATGACCACATTTGATGGCAAATGTTGCCTTAAAAATATGTTGCCAATGTAATGAGCACTTAATGGTCATAGTACTAGTTTCCCTCTGGCTAGAACTATGACTATACTGTCAAGCAGCCACATGTATTCCCAGGTGATGGAGGAACGTAGTGTGTATAGATGAACCAACCTACAAACAGTACTGGGAACTATGTGCTGTAGTGAGGAATCGGAGACTGATAGCATAATAATATGTTGCCGCATTTGTTTTTGAGTGAGTGAGAGTGAGTGAGTGAGTGAGTGAGTATGGTTTTATGCTACTTTTAGCAATATCCCAGCAATATTACGGTGGGGGACACCTGAAATGGGCTTCACATATTGTACCCATGTGGGAAATTGAACACAGGCCTTTGGCGTGACGAGCGATTGCTTTAACCACTAGGCTGCCCCACCATCCCCATTTGTTTTGAATGCACATGTAGAAATGGCTCTTCATATACTGTTGTCAAATGTTTTTTATGAAACAACTTTGCATTTGCTGTTTCTCTAGTTAAAGGTTAAAGTTTAGCTGTGACTGTATGTCATAAAGCCAACACTCGTGATACACATTTGATAGCACCCATGGACACGAGTTGAGTTCTGAGATAAAAAGAGTACTGTCCATACACAGCTTTCCTCTGTACCCAGGACTTGGACGCTCTGTATTTATGTGATGGTTTTACAGATGCTTTCTTACCAATCATCAGTAGGTTGAAATAATTTGTGTCGCTGACATTCTACACGTTTATTTGGGATAAAGTTCTTGGATCTGGTTGGTGAAGAAGGAGAAAATAAGTGCTAATTCTGTGCATGATATTTAATATCTACATGGTAACATGTCTTTACCTTGATAGAGAAGGCTGTGTTCTCTTAATAAGGGGCCCGTCGGGTAGCCTAGTGGTTAAAGCGTTCGCTTCTCACGCCTGGTTCGATTCCTGACATGGGTACAGTGTGTGAAGCCCATTACTGGTGTCCCCCGCTGTGATATTGCTGGAATATTGCTAAAAGCGGCGTAAAACCATACTCACTCACTCTATTAATAAGGTGTGTAATGAGTGAGTGTGTTGGGACGGACGCTGCTTTTGGCAATACTCCAGCAATATTGTGGAGGGGACACAAGGAAGAGGCTTCACACATTGAGGAAGGGGTCTAATGCCAAATATGTACAATTCATGTGATCAATCATTATCTAAAAGGTTATGTATCTTAGTTGTAGCTTTTCAGTTTTCTTGTCTATCTAAGATAATGTTTGGGAAAGAAAAGAAATAAACTATTTGTAGTAATTTTCTTGTTTGATTTTAGCTCCGTTTCGTCAAATCCATAAACCATAAAATCACAGGAATGTGAAATTCTGACGTCAACAAAAATGCATGCCTTTGCATGACATATTTTTATAAAGAGTGTTGTGTTTGAGAGTGAAAATTTCATGATTGCATTAGTTTAATCAGAACTTCAGACTCATGTGGTAACTTCTTTGATAGGCATTTAGAAGTTGGAGTACTAAGTACTATGAACAACTTCTTTATTGTAATAAAGAGTGACGTTTCGGTGTAGGTACTAACACTGTTATCAAGCTATTGTCTTGCTTGATAACGGTGTTAGAACCTACACCGAAACACCTTAATTGTAATAAAGAAGTTGTTCATCCATAAATTCTTATCCTTACTCATTACATTAAGAAAGTGTTGCCTAAATTTCAAACAGAGTTGCAAAATATATAATATTGAAAGGCATGGTGTAGATTTGCTCCAGAATGGCTTCAAATACGCCTTACTACAGTCTGTCATGTACAATGCTCTTGGAGGTCAGCATTTTGAGATGTGGTTTTGATATGATGAGAGGAGCACTTTTGTCATGAGCAAGGAAGAGTTGTATGTGATAACTTGGTATTTCACACTGTATCCTGTGATATATGGCCTGTATTGTGATACAAGTTGTACAATACTGAATTTATGTTGTACATATTCCAATAGTACTTCTTGTTAGAATTATAACTTGTTACCTAGAGCATGTATAATTGATGGTGTGTGTTGATGAACTATTGTGCTTGGGCCACACTGGCATTAGAAATGGTCCTGATTATGTAAATGAGATTATTATGAATGAAAGCTTATCTAGGTGGACGGTTAAAGATTTGAATTGTGAATAAAGATAATGAATGTATGTGTGTTCTTTTGTGTTTGTGTATGGCCAGCTGGTCTAAAAGGTGTTATCATACCTCCATGTCAGAATGATGAGATCAGATTGGTTCGCATGATCTTGATAAAATACTGGGAAAGGTATTTCTGAACAGGAGAATAAATCCCTTATACCCCGCCACGAAGAAAACAGGCTGCTTGTGGATTTCTGACTGGGATAATAAATCCCTTATACCCCACTTCAAAGCTAAAGGCTTTTTCTGAGTCATTGAAAGTCATGTGACATAGCACAAGTTAACCTCAATCGAACTAATGTTTTCTATCAATTTTCTGTTTGTTTGAATTCTTTTACAATGGCAGAATGAAACATGTCCGTAAGATAAAATCGATGTGACAGTACCACAAGGTGTACATGCAGTTTTATGAGTCCCCTGTTAGGTTTTATACCATGAGCCTGAGGTGTGAGTATGCAGGATGCATTAGACCACATGTAGCCCTTGTGACATTGCTACAGCTTATATTAGTACAGCCTTACACTCCACTGTAGGGACTGATGAATACATGTCCAGGACAAATATGACGGTGGCTTCTAAATAATTCTGTCTTGAACAGACGAACCAGTGATTGCTATAAAGAGCATTGTTTTTGCTCACCATCAGGATGTGATGACTCAAGCAACCACATCACAGAGTCTGACCACCGGACCACCCTTACAAGCATAGGTTGCTAGGGACCTATTTCAAATATGGAATCCACATGAGCATGTACATAGGTCATATGTGTCATATAGAAGTGTGTCACTTAAGACATACAATACATTACATTACAAATCATATCTATGGTGATACAGGGCATGTAAATCAATTTATTGTATCGTGGGACTTGTATTGGGATACAATGCTGTATCACCGTATCGTTACACCACTGTGAAACACATGAGCACAAGTGTGATGCTGACAAACCAGAAATCAATTTTGGGCTGGAATCTGAACCAAAGATCAGCAGATCCTGTAACATCTAGGGGACTCAAGAAACTAAGCAATTTTGCAGTGCCTTGAACAACTGGAACCTGTGTCCCAAGGAGCATAGTGAAAGACCATTTGTGACGAAACAAATTCAGAAACTAATATAGTTACATTAATTTAATGTTTATTTACAAAGTGAAGTTTGTACATCTTACACACTCCACCAAATACATCTCTCAAACAATCCAGTGTACACAAACAGTTCTTGTGTTGGAGTAGCCTCCAACAAATAACAAATAGAAGGAAATGAAACTAAAAGGAGTCAATCTAATTTTGGACAGCTTAGCAAGGTCAAATGCCAAGTAATGGGAAATACAGATATCACTGCTGTTTGAATTCAGCTGAAGGACATAGTCATCTTAGTGGTAAGCTTCACATTGTTGGTGTAGACTGGGCTAGGGTTCACATTTTGGGTGTAGAGTAACGCTGGGCTAGGGTTCACATTGAGGGTGTAGAGTAACGCTGGGCTAGGGTTCACATTGTGGGTGTAGAGTAACACTGGGCTAGGGTTCACATTGTGGGGACAGGGTTCACATTGAGGGTGTAGAGTAACGCTGGGCTAGGGTTCACATTGTGGGTGTAGAGTAACGCTGGGCTAGGGTTCACATTGTGGGTGTAGAGTAACGCTGGGCTAGGGTTCACATTGTGGGTGTAGAGTAACACTGGGCTAGGGTTCACATTGTGGGTGTAGAGTAACGCTGGGCTAGGGTTCACATTGTGGGTGTAGAGTAACGCTGGGCTAGGGTTCACATTGTGGGTGTAGAGTAACACTGGGCTAGGGTTCACATTGTGGGTGTAGAGTAACGCTGGGCTAGGGTTCACATTGTGGGTGTAGAGTAACACTGGGCTAGGGTTCACATTGTGGGTGTGGAGTAACGCTGGGGTAGGGTTTACATTGAGGGTGTAGAGTAACACTGGGCTAGGGTTTACATTGAGGGTGTAGAGTAACACTGGGCTAGGGTTCACATTGTGGGTGTAGAGTAACGCTGGGCTAGGGTTCACATTGTGGGTGTAGAGTAATACTGGGCTAGGGTTCACATTGTGGGTGTAGAGTAACACTGGGCTAGGGTTCACATTGTGGGTGTAGAGTAACGCTGGGCTAGGGTTCACATTGTGGGTGTGGAGTAACACTGGGCTAGGGTTTACATTGTGGGGACAGGGTTCACATTGAGGGTGTAGAGTAACGCTGGGCTAGGGTTCACATTGTGGGTGTAGAGTAACGCTGGGCTAGGGTTCACATTGTGGGTGTAGAGTAACGCTGGGCTAGGGTTCACATTGTGGGTGTAGAGTAACACTGGGCTAGGGTTCACATTGTGGGTGTAGAGTAACGCTGGGCTAGGGTTCACATTGTGGGTGTAGAGTAACGCTGGGCTAGGGTTCACATTGTGGGTGTAGAGTAACACTGGGCTAGGGTTCACATTGTGGGTGTAGAGTAACGCTGGGCTAGGGTTCACATTGTGGGTGTAGAGTAACACTGGGCTAGGGTTCACATTGTGGGTGTGGAGTAACGCTGGGGTAGGGTTTACATTGAGGGTGTAGAGTAACACTGGGCTAGGGTTTACATTGAGGGTGTAGAGTAACACTGGGCTAGGGTTCACATTGTGGGTGTAGAGTAACGCTGGGCTAGGGTTCACATTGTGGGTGTAGAGTAATACTGGGCTAGGGTTCACATTGTGGGTGTAGAGTAACACTGGGCTAGGGTTCACATTGTGGGTGTGGAGTAACACTGGGCTAGGGTTTACATTGTGGGTGTAGAGTAACACTGGGCTAGGGTTCACATTGTGGGTGTGGAGTAACACTGGGCTAGGGTTCACATTGTGGGTGTAGAGTAACACTGGGCTAGGGTTCACATTGTGGGTGTAGAGTAACGCTGGGCTAGGGTTCACATTGTGGGTGTAGAGTAACGCTGGGCTAGGGTTCACATTGTGGGTGTGGAGTAACACTGGGCTAGGGTTTACATTGAGGGTGTAGAGTAACACTGGGCTAGGGTTCACATTGAGGGTGTAGAGTAACACTTGGGGAGTTTTCACATTGTGGGGGTACAGAAACATTGTTGCGGTGGTTCACAGTGGGGGTAGGGTTCACATTATGTGGTTGGGTTCATATTGTGTGTGTGGGTGGGGTGGGGTGGGGTGGGGTGGGGTGGGGTGGGGTGGGGTGGCAGAGTACTGCTGGGTGGGGTGGCAGAGTACTGCTGGGGGGGGGGGGGGGGTAAAGAGAGATACACATGTGGGGGTAGGGTAGGGTAGGGTTCACACTGAGGGGGTAGATTAAAGCTGTGGGTGTAGAGTTCACATTCACAGAAATCTAGAGCCGTGGTAGCTATTGTGGACCTAACATCACCTTGTTGGTTCATGTACAGATACATGTATTTCATTCACACAACACTGGACAAAATAAAATCAGCAATTCTAGCATCATCGCCGCCCTCCCACCTGTGAGCACAACTAGGAAACAAATTAACGAGTTACACTCACACAGCTACCATCAATAATACAGCAATATATTATGATTTATATATCACAATTTATAGTTCACAATGTTATTGTTTGTAAATGTATAAGTCTCCAGTTGCCCTGCTACAGACATCCCTTCCATCTGGGGAGTTTGTGAATGGTTTATATAACAAAGTGAACACTGCAAGCTAAGTCTATAATACTACATGAGAGAACAGTGTCATCGTCAAGACTTCACGGGCTTGTATACACCAAGTTTCTTAATCACATGTGAATTGAGTTGAATACTTTGCAGCGTAGTGGAGAGACGTACTGGGTCCAGTGGCAGGTAGTACTCGGACCAATGAGCTGTCAGTTTACATCTCATAAAAGTAATCGGACCAATGAGCTGTCAGTTTACATCTCACAAACCATGAGTACACGGACCAATGAGCTGTTAGTTTACATCTCACATACCAAGAGTACACAGGACCAATGAGCTGTCAGTTTACATCTCACAAACCATGAGTACACGGACCAATGAGCTGTCAGTTTACATCTCATAAAAGTAATCGGACCAATGAGCTGTCAGTTTACATCTCACAAACCATGAGTACACGGACCAATGAGCTGTCAGTTTACATCTCACATACCATGTGTACTCGGACCTCTCACAAATGGTAATACTTAATGCTTGACATCATGTTCAACATGGCCATGGTAGGGTTCACACAAGGTTGATGCAGTGTTAGGGCTCCTTTGACTGTTTGTTATATGCAGCCTCATGTCATTAGCAGACTCAAAGTAGACATGTCACCACTACATAGCCCAGAGTATTCATTTATTCAATGGTGGCATGTGGTCCTGTGCACAGCGCACTGATCACAAATCTGGGTTTGTTTAAGTAACGGCGGTACTTGGAAGGGTGACAAACTCGACCCCCGAGAGTTTCTAGGACTTCAGTCCTGCCCCATACATGGTGTAACCTCAGACAAGTGACTCTGTTAAAAAATTCCTCTGTTCATCAGCAGTGAATGGGTACCCGGTAGGATGATACTGTTAACCTTTTAGCGCCTCACAGGCAGCTTGGAATCATACTCCCTAGGGAGCTGAGACATAAATGGACTATTATTATCATTATTCATGGATGATGGAGGAACGTAATGATGTACAAACCAGTGAAGCATTGACGATGCAAGTGTCAGCATCACCATGGATGGCAAACTGTGATGAGACTCACACTGTATCTAAAAGCATTGTGTCCCACTGTTCAGACAGGGGATTATATTACTAAAAAAGGTTATAAACATCTACACAACACCTTTGACATCTCTGTCACTTAAATCCCTCATTATTAACATGCTGTCCAGCAGCCTTGAGAAAAAGCTATTAAAACAAGACTTTGCAGATTTTAGTGCTTGATTTCGTAACACTGCTCTCACTTTTGATTCTAACTTGGCTTCAGACCAATGAAATAGGGCTTTTGAACAAATAAACTCTTATTTGGTTTGGACGAACTGGGATTCTGATTTACATGAACACTGGACATACATAATTCATTAGTGAACATCATACAATCACAGACTGAGTAACACAAAATATCCAGGTCTTTGAAAGGCATTTAGAAGTGATACACACAAGGAAGAGAATTTATGGATGTCAACTTCTTAGTTATTACTGCATCATCTCCATGTTGATGTCACATCAAGTCTTTGAAAGGCAACTTAATAAAGAAGTTGACATCCATAAATTCTGTTCCTTAGATAATATCCAGTACTTCAACCACAATCTCATTAATATCAGACCTTCTACTCCGAAACGATACCTCTCTATATGAAGATTGGACAATCCCTCCACAGAAGGTTGCATCAAAACTTTGACAGTCCAATCGAAAAGAAGTATGCATGAAGTGAGTGAGTGAGTATGGTTTTACGCCGCTTTTAGCAATATTTCAACAATATGACAGCGGGGTACACAGAGAAATGGACTTCACGCATTGTACCCAAGTCAGGATTCGAGCCCGGGTTTTCGGCGTGACGAGCGAACTCTTTAATCACTTGGCTACCCGACCGCCCAGAAGTATGCATGGAATCTTGAGCTGATCTGAAGCCAGCTATATAAAATCATTTGGCTTCATATCTTAACCACCTCAATTTGGAAATTTCGATCAAAACCACATAGAACACAAATATTCTGTCAATAGTACTCCCTTTTGGGTGTAGATGTCATGGTGGTCAGAAATGACAGTTGACTTAATTAGTTGCATTTAGAACTGATCATTTAAGTTCATTTTCAAGATACAAAAATCATATATCCTGGTCTGAAAGCTTTGTTCCCTCACCAAGAATTTAGAAGCCTCAATGGTGATTGGCTGATTACAAAGTTCACCTGATGTCAGTTTCTGTGGAGGGTTTGTCCAATCTTCATGCAGAGAGGTATCATAACACAGTGAAAGATCAGTTTTTAATGACACATTGAGTCATCATCAACACCAGAATGATTAATACGACTAACAAAAATCAAAGTACATCATGTTAATTCTTGTTTTTTCACATTTCTGTTCAGTGAACATTTCCAAAATGTTTTTGGGCGACAAAATTCACAAAATGTATTTTGGGGGTCTTTTTTGTTCAACCTTTATCAAAATACTTAAGATCTAGGAAATAAGAAAACATATCTGGTTATTGATGAAAAATACATTTTACAGCTTGAATAAATAAACAAGAATTCAAAAGCAGCATCTGGTCTACATATACATATATTATTGCCTGACTCCCACACAGGAAACACAGTCACACAAACATTCACATGGACAGAGTAATGATCCCCGTGATCCACCATCTCATGGACAGTTTTCATCACTCTATATAAAATGAATCTATTTACAGATGTCTAATACAAATAATCAGTACACATACAAGCTTGAATATAAGTCAATTCTTTTTCACCCTCACAGTAAAGAAATAAGTGACACGTATTGTGCTGTTGATAGAAAATCGATTGAAATGAAGTGATGCCATAAAATTGTGTCGTTTAACACAACATTTACATGTACAATCTAACCTGTACATTCTTGATAGTATTTACATAATAAACATGTATTGTATATACATCAAGATAAATAAAAACACCAGGCCAAAGCAAGCTAAGAATTTGCCAAGATTTGGTTTCATGCTTACAAATCATGAAAGTAATTGGGCGTTCCACTCCGTGCTTGAGGCGTCATAGCCATTTATGTCATCGGAGTAACAACTATCTCAACCAAATGTGACATTGGGGAATACTAGTACCATCTCATGACTACCTCCCCAACAAATGATGTGGGTGCCACAAAAACGCCTGCAGTTTCCCTCAAAATCTTATAAAAATGATTTTTTTCTTCATATTTTACAATTCTAAAACCACACTGACCTTAGACAGTTAAAACTGCAGTTCCTATTGAAATGCACCATAGTGATTGAGGAGCTGGTATCTTCATTCAGTAGATTTGTAAGTTTTTAAAATCTAAGATCAAGCTTAACATCTTTCCCAATTACTTTGAACAGATGGCAGCCAAGAATATCAGTGGCACAAATATGACCTAGTTCACATTATCAATTTACTCCAAGTGTGATTCAAGACATCAAAAGTTGGTTATAACTTGTTTTGGCCTGTTCAGGGTGGCCCAACCTGGCAGGACAGAGTGGAGAATGAGGTATCACCATGACCACTGCCATCGCCCCCTTGTAGGGCCCGTCTCTCACACAACAGGGATGAGGAAGCAATGACGGATAAATCACGATGTCATTCTAATTGTACAAACAACATCTTAATAGAAAGGTGTCATTTAAAATTAAAACCAATAAAAAATCAGGAGACCCTGATGTAACAACTGCTTCCTGACAACCTGTAGTAGGACAAGGATAATGAAGGCTTGGACTCTCCCACTGTTGTTTATAACTTTTAATGGATGAGTGAGTGAGTATGGTTTAACACCGCTTTTAGCAATATTCCAGCAATATCACGACGGGAGACACCAGAAATAGGCTTCACACATTGTAACCATGTCGGGAATCGAACCCGTGTTTTCAGCGAGACGAGCCAACGCTTTAACCACTAGGCTACCCGACCGCCCCTTTAATGGATGAAGTGACTGAATCCAACAATTAATTAAAAACAGCTGGGTTGTCATGCATATTTCTCATGTAAGTCTTCTTGCTTTGCAGCACCACCATGCCATTGTCAAACCATTTCATGAAAGAAAACAATAACAAACAATTAAGTGAATGTCAGGATTAGACATGGTCACTAGTCTTGAGAATCAGGAACATCCAAAAGACTGACCTGTTTTCTCCCTACATCTAGATATTTTACACAAACAACTTGTCAAAGTGAGATGAGGAAAAGGTGGATGTAAACCATAGTTGGTGTCCTGAATTTGTGTTTAACACGGGTATTGAGATGTGTATTTTTCCAAGTATGTTTTTTTCTGGAGTATTGTGTGCACCCAAGAATAATATGCTAATAACAGTCATAAGCTTTATCTATCTGCCGGTATAAACAAAGCCTTTCATAGACGGTGATGCAATAGACTATAGACAATTCCAAATGAAGTACCTTTGCGGGCAAATTTGGGAAAAACGGAAATTCTGTTAGAAAATGTGAATTATTTAAAGGTTGTACTTTCTCAATTTCAGGGGTATTTTTAACATTACATTAATGCCCTAATGTTCGATTCAGCATAACATCCTGTTGAACCCAGCTGTCACACTGTCATCTGACTGACATTAGCTTCAGACATAGGCTGAATATCAGCCTCAAAACAGGTCCAGATAAATCACTGTCTTGCCACATGATGACCCAAGTTGGAGTCCCTCTATCTACACAATATCCACTGGCCACTGACACAAGATGGTGCCTCCCGGAGAAAGGCACTAAATACATGTCACCACAATCTTTACAATTGCGGCAACACCACAAATCAACTCAGGATGTTTAACAAAACTTACAGTCGAAATAGGTCTACTTACGTAACTTAAAAATTGAAGAAATTTGAATGAAGATCAGGCCAACAAGTACCTCAATATCCTCATGAGAGAGGAAATACAGATTCATGCCTGCAAAGTGCAGGTATTGGCATTTCACTGTCAACAGGCAACTGTCATCTCACACGATATTCCACCTGAAGTTCATGGCAACGTTAATAGCATAGATGTGTGTTGAGGGATGGCAATGTGTGCCCCCATGTTGGAGGCTGACCCTGCCAGGTTGAGATGTCGGGGGTTCCTATCCGGTTGTCTCACAATCAAGAGTACAGCCTCTGAAGCTGATCACAAGATGGGGTCTGGTAGTCCTGGGCACGCTGATACAACTTGGCATCTCCGTAATTACGTGCTTTCCATAACAGATTTTCCTCTGAAATTAATAACGAACAAAATAAAGTGCTGTGCAATGATATGACTGGCTTATGATGAAAATAGAAACATGTTTGTTCATTTTCTCTTTCTTATTTATAAATGATATCAGAGGTTACAAGTTTTAAAAACTTGTTCACACAAATACAGATCTTTGCTGAGTGAGTGAGTGAATTGGGTTTAACGCCGCTTTTAACAGTATTCCAGGTATATCGCTGTGTGTCAGCTTAATGTGGGAGGAAAGCCCGAAGTGATGCAGGTCTCAGACGTTTACCACTTCGGTGAAACCCACGAACACGGGTATGGTGCTAACAAACCTAGAAACATAATTGGGGCTAACCGGGATTCGAACCCACAATCATAGGTTTCTGGCATGCCCAAGGGACACAACTCTGCACAGCGATTCGTGGCGCCTTAGACGACTGGGCCACCAGTGCCCCCCTTTGCTGAGCAACATGAGTACAAATACACCACAATATTGTCAATGTCAAAAGGAATAACGCAGCACTTACTATAACTCCGCTCCCGCCAACAGTTTCCTCGTAGTTGCCCTATGTATTCTTCCTCCACATTTCTCTCTATCCGACGCATCTCACCTTTATATTCTGGTCGGAAATCCTCTTTTACATAATAAGGGATTTTTAGATTGTATGTTTTCCGTTCTACAGAATATTTACTGAAACAAATAAGAGAATAAAGATAAAGGGTTGAATGATAAAGAGATTGACAAATCCTGGTGGAAAGATATTTAGTCATGGTTCATTCAATAAGAAGAAAAGAGAGAAAAGTCTGGCCTAAGTTTGTGTTAACAAGGTTCACTGTGAACTTGTAATTGTTTCTATTTATTTATTCCCACTAAGACAAAATGCATGCTGTCGTGTGACTCACTCTGTCCGGTGCATGCTGAACACAGGGTCACTGACGAAGAAGCTGCTGAGGATAGAGAGGAAGATGAGCAACAAGATGGGCGTCAGTTGCAGGAACAGGGTGTAGCCACTCTGAAACATAAGTTACCATGGTTACAGCAAAACTGGTCAGCTGGGCCTCACAGGAAATGCATTTAGTGAAGTGAGTGAGTGAGTATGGTTTTACACCGCTTTTAGCAATATTCCAGCAATATCACGGTGGGTGACACCTGAAACGGGCTTCACACATTGTACCCATGTCGGGAATCGAACCCAAAACTTCGGCTTGATGAGCAAACGCTTTAACCACTAGGCTACCCGACCGCCCTTCAGTGAAGTGAGCTGAAAAGTGTGGCCTATGAACAGCCACTTAAACTCGACTGAAGGGATTGATCAATACTTTCATTACACAATGATGTATGAAGGGAATCCTTCTACAACTTAAGCACTAAATCATTGTCAATACTTCAGAGTTTGCATACACTATGATCCTCCATCACACATTATAATTTATAGACAGCCTCATTTCAAAACTGGACTCAAAATAGATCCACATCACTACTACACAGCATATCGGCTCTATGTTTTCATAGTTGATGGAGGTACTTAGTGTAACAAACCTGTAAAGTTATGATTATGCAACAGAGTGTATAGCAGCTTGTATATGTTCAACTGTTGGTCAGATGCACCTCTGTGTAATAGTATGAACACCAGTTTATGATGTTGAGGCACAATGACACACCATCATCCACGACACACTGTGTGACATTGTGATACTCTCATAAGTTCATTTCAACCTTGAACTAGTATCAGGTGCCCTTTAGCAAACAGGTCGGAGCTAGCAGTAAATCATGCTCACTGTCCAAGACACGTGAGGTAAAGTGCAATGCGTAATATTATTGCACTTATATTGCAACATGTGTGTGTATGTGGCTGCTTGTACTAGAATACCCCACTCAGACACAGTATACTGACTCTGAGCTAACCAGTGCTGTTTTAGCCCCTTAATGCCGTGAGCAGGCAGGGTAACAACAAGTACATCTTTTAACATCTTTTGGCGTGACACAGCCAGGGATCGAACCCATGACCTTCCACTCTCTGGGCAGACGCTCTACCACTACACAACAGGGACAGTCTTTTCTTCTCACGCTTGGTACTGTGTTTAAATGGACTGCAATTTGCTGTTGAGTTGAGTCCCTTTGGCACGACAGAAACCTATGACTGTGGGTTCAAATCCTGGTTTGCCCCAATTATGTTTCTAGGTTTGTCAGCACCATAACCGTGCTTGTGGCTTTCACCAAAGTGGCAAACGTCTGAGACCTGCATCACTTTATGCTTTCCTCACACATTAAGCTGACACAGTCCTTGTTTTATGCGGAGTGCCAGGCAGGTTAACAACAAGTACCATCTTTAATGTGTGCCATGAGGCAGGGGGTTGAACCACCGACCCTCCGCTCTCCGGACAAATGCTCTATACACTAGACCACGGAGGAGGTCTGATACACATATTGAAAATGGAAACAAGACACATCTCAACTTTTACTTACCTCTGACTGTGTGTCCCTTGAATAGAAGTTGTGTGTGTGGTGTGCGTGTCGATTCCGCCGGTAGTGTGTGGTGCCTGGGGGACAGAATGCATAATTTATTATTCACCATCATCCACCTACTTTTACCTGCTGATGCCTACGTATAACTATATTGTGCTAAATATATTTTTTGATCTCCACACATTTAACATCATATATAATACCGTATTCGACGTAATAAGCGCCCCGCTCTAGTAAGCGCCCACAGCGATATTTGATAATATATATTATAATATATATAAGTGAACAATCCCAATTAGCACCCCTTCCGATTGATCAATGTACACAAGGCTTATATATTCGTGTATAATATGCACGCGTGTGTTATATGCACCCTTAATTATGGTCAATAAAATTCTGGAAAAATATATCTGTTGTATTTATATATGTTGAAATTTATCTTTCAACTCTGTTTTTTCGATCAAAATAATATTCTAATAAGCGCTCCCTGTTTCTAATTTTGAGAGTGCCCTGGGCGCTTATTACGTCGAATACGGTAAAGCATTTTATATTTAATTTTACCTGAGTTGTTTACTTATCCACTTTATAAGTGATGAGTTGAAAATGTTACATTGCGATCAAGATTATTCCACTTATATAGCAACATGTGTGCGGCTGTTTGTACCAGTTAGTTGCTTTTCGATTTTACAGTGCTAACCTACGAAGCTACCACCATAACCACAGATTTAACATGGAGAGTTACATATTCAGAATACAGACTAGCGACAATCCTGACTGTAAATACCACAGAATGTACCAAACAGTTACATCACTCACCTGATGAAGGAAATCCCCCGCCAAAGAACATGTTGAAGAGCTCCTCGGGTGATATGTCACCTGAAAAGGTCAAAGTTTCCTTCAAATGAAATTCAAGTATTTGTGCAGGATCTGTAAACATGGTGACACAGTCACTACCACCAGTGCCCAACTAGTGAAAATCCGGGCGGACTCGCATTTCTTTTCACTGAATCGACATTACATATAGCACAAGTTTAACATGAGTGGTAGACTAGTCAACTACAGGTGTCTACCCCTTGGTAATGGACACCGTCTAGGTTCCAAACCCACAACAACAGATTGACACCTTCATTTAGTATATAGAATTGGAACAAGATTGTCAAATATACAAGTAAAATAAATGACCTTTTCCTTGTTGAGTGGTGATAAACCGATATGATCACTCCTGAGAGTTGTGACATCACATATTGACACTGACAAGTTCAAGGCCAATTAGCATCACTGAAGGTCAGGGTCAGTGCCACATGATGGCTCAAAGAGACCTCTAAATATTGGTTGAAGAAACTTGCCACTTGATAATTGCCAGTTGTCTAGCCTGCTTGTGTGTTCCTGAACATTTTCGGGCAATTTTATTATCTGTTTCTTCCGTTCTCTATTGATGACACATGCTGAATATTTATAAAGTGGTTAATCAGATGTTTGAAAATGGTGGCTGTTCTCATGTCAATACCAGTATTGGACTGCTGTGCAGTGTAATTTCATAGAGTTTCTTTGGTATTACATACCATTCCATTATATCATACCATTCATTACCTTTGAATATATACGATTCATTACATTTGATTACCTCTGACTACATATGACTGTATACCATCTACACCCCTCGTGAAAATATCAATTCTATCATTACCACTAGATGAGATGAACAGTGTATTCGATAACCAGCATTAAATATCCTCTATTTATTACCTACGAGACCAAACACATCGGGGTTCATAAAAATTGTATGTGCCCTAGGGTCATATCACGTCATGAGACAACAGTGTAATGTTTCCGTCATCCGACGGCATTGTTGACATCATTCAAATCTTAGTGCGATGTGAGCTGGGAATGACGTCACACTAGAAACGATGTCATAGCTGAAGACTGGTTACGTCATTCGACAAATTGTGGTTCCGCTGCTGTTGCAACGTGCTGTCCTTAAGGAAAAGACTAAAATTTGTCTCTGTATGCCGACATCTTCTTCGGTAATAAATAAATAATTGTGTTCGTGTTCATGTCATACTAAGGTTACAATACTTGTGCCTAAATTCCGGTATTTAGACACTCGGATCGTAAACATAGACATGAATACTCATATATTATCCTCAGCAACAACTGAACATCACATCAACAAGTGGTGATGAAGCTGCAATATTACCTTCGTAGCCGCCATGTGAGTAGTCCGAGTGTGCGTGGCTGTGCGAGGTGTCTGTTTCAGGACCGTACACATCATACTTCTTCCTCTTAGATGGGTCACTCAGTACACTAAATGCATTGCCAATGGCTGCAAGAAAAAACCGTTGCAATAAACGAAGAATCATCTGTTCTTACAAGACGTTTTGCATCTCCAGCAAAATGTACATGTGCCTTAGGGCTGGGACGAGTCCAAATTTACTACCCGGGTACCCAACCCCCTATTACCCGACCCTACCCGGGTACCCACTGTAGGTCTCAAAAGTTGGGAACACAATGTCTAAATGGGAACAGTTTAACTGTAGCCCTGGCAAAAACTGTTCAGATACATGTATGAAACCAGAGACCATATAATAGATATATGGTCTCTTATGAAACGATCAAATCAGGCGTACACTGAAGTTGACTGAAGCTTTATCTTTACTCAAACAGGAATGTGTGTATCATCATAAGGAACTGGGAACATTAGCGACTTGTCGAGTAACCACTGAGCTCTAGTGAGTTTTTGTCATTAAACAATATACAATGTGATTATTGATTAACCACGGATCCGGGTAGTACTGTGGGTACCCGGGTCCTACTCAGGACCCACCTGACCCGAGTTACCTGTCCCAGCCCTAATGTGCATAATGATCAGTGAGTTTTGTTTTACACTGCTTTTAGCAATATTACAGCGGAGGACACCAGAAATGGGCTTCACACATTGTACATGTTGTACCCATGACGGAAACCCATGACTTCGCCATCACAAGCGGCGAATTTACCACAAGATTATCCCACTGCCCCAGTGACAAACATGACCAACAGCAGAATGAATGCCAACAGAGAAACAGTATCTGACTCTGAAACAGTCATTTATGCTGTACAGTGAACAAGTGAATCAGAATTATATCTGTAAATTCGGTTATTTGTATCCTGGAGATAAATAATGTCTAAGAAAGGCTGTTTGCACAAGCATGGTTTGAGACCCATTCTGCCCCTGCTTCCCCATAGGACTTGTCATGCACTGTACTTACCCTTGAAAGCTTCTGTGGCTCCAGGGGCCTTGTTTTTGTCTGGGTGCATCTGCAAAGCCAGCTTTCTGTAAGCTTTCTTCAGATCTGTCTCAGTGGCCTCCTTACTCACTCCCAGGATCTCGTAGTAGTCCTTGCATTTCTTTATCCTTAAGGAGAGACACGAAGACTATGTCATTAGTAGGGCTGTGTATTGGCAAAAATAAATCGTATTGCAATATACTGTGATACAGGTATCTGTATTGTAACATGGGAGCCACATACTACAGTAAATATTACGACGTCAGAGACAGCATGGTCAGTCTGCCTTTTGAAGTCATGGATACAGGGGACATAACAATGTGACAGAAAAATTATTTCTTATCAATCAATTTGGAAGGCAAACATCATGTGTAAATTTTAGGTTCAAGGATACAAATAATAACCATGATAATGAAACTTGTTACATTTTTTACCCAATAAACTACAACACAGAACAAATATTGCAATATGTATCCCTTAAAAAGTGCATTGCAGCATACCGGTAAACCAATGTACTTGTTAAATAAAAACACATTCTGTCCTTAACAATATATATAAAAAAGATACTGCTGCAATTTATTTCTTTAATGTATATCTTCAGAATACTACAAAACATTGTACAAAAACTATGCAGTAATATATGTGTATGCAGTAACATATACAGAAATACCATGTATATCCTGGTAGTCTGGTATTCCAGCTACATCATGTCAGGCCAGGCATATCAGAGGGTGATAGCATGAGCAATGGATCCACACCGTCAGGGGTGAGATGACACACAGGTCACACATTGTTACCACTCGATCCTCATTTAAGTATGCTTTTTCCAAGAATGGTGTACTAAGGACCTATTTATGTATAGAAACAAACCAACTTAGAATAACCAGTGTATAATGAAGCCAATTCTGAAATCTTCAGTAAGGGCAGTTAACGTTATCTTTCATTGGAGCTCACTGACCTTTTGACTAGCTGGAGCTGTTCTTGTGTGTAGTCAGCTGGTTCATTTTCTTTGTTTTCTACCTTTTCCTTCTGATCAGAACCACCCCTTGGTCTCTGACGCATGCCCTCTGCATTCTTTGGTGGGGGTTCTCCCCCTCTACTCCCATCATTGTTTTGTAAATCATTTAGCAGAACTGAAATGTAATGAAATGAACAAATCATAAATAAGTATTTGCTTGTTTTCATTCAATAACATTTATTTTTCTAAACTCTCAAGGTATTACTTGAATCAAGTGTTTCTTCTCATGTTTTGAAAGCGCATAACACTCGATAAATCTTTTTTTACACCATAGATCATAAACAACTACAATTCTAATATGTTTTTAAACTCTGAAACGTGCTGTGTTGATCGTGTTAGGTAGGCAGAGCATGTATACTGTTTTGTTGGTCATCTACCCCCTACAACTCCACCTCGGTTAAACCGCTGATCGTCTATAACGCTCATCAATCATTTGGACCTCGAAGATAGCGCTGTACATGCTGTAGCGAGGGATCACTGTATAATTTTGAAAGTGCATCAGTATTAGGTATTGATAATTTATTTTTGTCAAAGCACCCAATTATGGATCGAGACTTTCAGTATCTTGTAAGTGGAAGTGTTCATTGACTCAGTAAAGTTGTTCTTCATCAAGTGTTTGCAGCATTAGGTAATCTAAAAGATGATAAACAGTTACACACGCATTTCTCAAATTCAAAATGGCTTCTTATAAAAATCTCAGAAGGTTGTTATGATCCCTATGAAATAATGTTCCAAACGCTTATCGGCGTTAGAACAGATTTCCAACATTGGATATATTCAATATGCATTTGTGGCTTATTGTAAACTTCATTGAATTCAGCTCCTTTAGACATAAAAAAACATCTCATTCATACTGAATACTGACATACTCATACAGAAAAGCATGTTCAGCCATGATGAGGATTATGTTGAGTTTTACCCAAGTTCTAATTGACTTGTACATGTTACTTTGAACATAATAAAACTTCAAGATTAGATACCAAGGTGGTTATCAATTGGAGAGACCCGGCAAAGTACTATCTCCATAGTTTAAGTTTATGCCCCTAGTCAAATGAGAAAACAGAATGACAATTGTTCAAAGCTATAACATATAATATGCTCCTCGACAAGACAGCTGGAAAAGACCGAAAGCCATGTAATGTAAATCAGCTGATAATGATGTGGTCTTTGGTTACAGTTCACTGGCCTGGATCTAGCCGGTTAACATTGAAAACTGAGGCAAGAAAAGTTTAAACGTAGAGCAATGCGATTCAATGATTGGAAAGACACAACAAGGACATTTTTTAAGCATGTACTGCTTAAACGTGCCCGATATCCTGTCAATAAGGCTAAACCCGGACTATGGGAAAATTAGGTTGCTCTGCGAAAATTGGGAAAACCAACAGTTCCAAATCACCTCAGATCGCATGATCAGTGGCGATTGTGAAGTTACCTTTAGCTTTTTCAAGTGGGTAGAGTCGTAAGGCTTTGTTCAGAAATTTAATAGCTTTCTCATTTTCACCAACAGCGATGTATTTTTGTGCGATGTTGACACACCGTATACTTTCATCCTTATTCCCGTCCATCTTGGATAAATGTGTCACGTAGATCTAAAAGACGCGATCTCTGATTGGCTGTATGGTTTCTCACCGGAAAGTAGTTTTGGTTAACTAAAACAACTTGAAGATAGTTGAATACTGCAAAAAATATTTGAATATTGCTTGGGTTATTAATAAATAGGAAACGAATCCAACATCTAAGGATCATGCTTTAAATTTCAATGATGATAATTTATTAAAAAGTTAGAGATGTAATGATAATAGCCAATGAAAACGGAGAATACATGAAATAGTGCTGACGATACAAAAGGGAAATAACTCTAAATGACTATATTTGTAGAAGTGTCTGTAAAATGCGTCAGTGCATGGACTCCTCCAGTCAGCTCTCACTGCAGACATAGACCATGTGTTGAGTTTAATTGTGGCGCTGTTTTCATCCATTTTGATTGATTCTAATGCGGATAAGAAAATTATAAGAAATAAGTATAATACTGCCATTTACACATTTTGATAAAACATAAACCATAAAGAATATTAATGCATAAACATATGTATTGAAAGAATACAAATAATATTACGAAAAAGGGGAAATATAAATGTCGACCGCATGTTTTCGTAGGCACATTTTATGTGACGAGTGTATAACAATTAATAGTAACCAAATATTTAGACTATATTGTGACATATATGGACATTTACACTTTACCGTTCAACGTGTTAAAACCATTTTGTTTTAGATCTGTGCTGTTACAAATGCGAATACTGAGACCGCCATTCCTTGTGGGTATCTGCTTAAGGTGTCATTTAGCCAGTTTCAGATTCGTGGTGTTTGGCAGCTGATAATTTGGTTAAATATACTGAAAACCCAACGCTTGAAATAATTGGTGAGCTGAAGTAGTGGCGCGTTGTCCGTCGTTAAACGACATCTCCACTGAAATACAAGGCCGACCGAGCTGAAACGATGTATGAATGATCCCAGGTAAGGTGGCACTGAACGTCGATCACAGAATTCTGATCCGATTTTAAACATGATTTTGGTATCGTAGAAAATTATTTTGAAATGATAACAGACATGAATACCGGTATCTTGGACACTTACTTTGAAAATAACAAAAAAACACATGGTATGACATAACATATATGCTTCATTGAATGTACTACGAAGGTTTGAATCTGTTCAGATGTCTGCACGTGAGCAGTCTACGGGTCATCAGCTCGGCGGCGAAAAAGTGAGTGCATATGGTTTTACGCCGCTTTCAGCAATGTTACAGCAATGTCACGGCGGGGGACACCAACAATGGCCTTCACACGTTGTACCCATGTGGGTTTGTTTTGTTTTATGCATAATAGTCTCTCGTAATTCCGCATGGAATCGCTCAACTTTTTTTTAAGAACGTATGTGTATATTTTTATGTATCAAATGTTGAGGTTATCGCTAAGATTTGGCCTTATCATACCAAGTTCACTTATGAGTCCAATGGTGGATTTGATAAATTTATGAAAATGTGAACAAAAATGTGCTACAAAAATGAAAGAAAACCACCTTATTGTTTCCTTTGTAACATAAAAAAACACAAAAACCCCCCACATTCACGCAATTTTGTAATTTTATTACAAAACTGTTTCACGATGTCCTTCGTAAGGTGACAGCTCTACTGACATTTCTTACATAAACACTACTATACTCTATGAGAGCACAAGGGGGCACGGTTGGCCAAGTCGTCTAAGGCGCCGCGATTCGCTGTGCAGAACACGCCAGAAACCTATGATTGTGGGTTCGAATCCCGGTTCCCCCGATTACGTTTCTAGGTTTGTCAGCACCATACCCGTGCTCGTGGGTTTCACCGAAGTAGTAAACGTCTGGGACCTGCATCACTTTGGGCTTTCCTCCCACATAAGGCTGACACACCGTGATATAACTGGAATAATGTTAAAAGCGGCGCTAAACCCAACTCACTTTGAGAGCACAAACTTCGCGCTTATATGGGTATTATGTTCTTGAAGCGTATGTAAAATATAACACATCAAGTTAGTTTAAGCGCCCCTTTTCCCAACTCAATACATAATAGTCGAAACTTTCGATCCCATCATGTGTTTCTTGTTTAACGTCGCTCTCAACACTATGCCAGATAAAAGATGTCGGCCCCTTAAACAATGACGTCTTGACCCGACAAACATGTGCTTAATATTATGAGCAACGCTCCACGCCGTCGAGGTACGATGACCTTCCATCAATCAAGTCACCGATCCTGGACACCGAGCAATTAAGTCATACGACATAGCAAATGTTCCTGGGGACCAATTTTAATCCGGAATCCCCACACCCTATATGACCTTATACACACACTGCCGTATGCAACAGTAGTCGCGACAATAATATCACCATTCGAAAGTCAAAAGTCAATGATTGTATTTTCATTTATTATACATTTTCAACATATGACACACACCAGTGAGTTTGGGTTTATACGCCAGACTCGGACCTGTTGTCAATCCAATATTTTGAACACTTGTAACATCTGTATTTATACAAATTGTAATCAAATCCATACTGTCTGCATAAGCATATTTTCTTTCCAAGTTGTCCCAATGTCACCATGACAGTATGATCGGGAGCCCAACAGAAACCGGATACGATTTATTCTAAAACAAACAACCACTGTCGGTAGTATATGAGTATAAGTTATGAATAAGTTCATATACATAACATACACGACGTCTTATATTCATAAATTACATCATATAATAAGGTATACATTCCCAAAAGGGACACGCCATGGGTCAAGATATTGTTCCAATTCCAGGGTTTTACACCTATAAACATGTGGTAATGTTCTGTAAAAAAATAGTTTGTTTCAGAAAATACTGGAAACACGTTTTTAGCCTAAAATTTTACAGACGTTCCCATGGTTTATGGACGGAGGGATAACATAAATAATGTGTACGAGATAATGGTTGACATGTAATTTCCATATTCCTATTAGTATGACTATATGTATCGTGCCTGGCATGTAATACATTTGTAATGACTTTCGTTGCTGTAGATTTCTTTCATTCAATTAAGTATAATTCTATCCTTGGTAGTTTTACCGTCATATTGTATTGAATTCAGCGATGTGCTGTGTGCGGGTCCGACAGTTTGATATTATGTTCTGTCTCTTACCCAAATTCCAGACCTCCCCTAAGTTCAAGTATATAACACAAACACACACAGGCAGACACAGACACGCACAGAGACACAGACGGACACAGGCAGGCAGTCACAAACACAGACACAGAGAGACAGACACAGCACAGCACAGCACAGCACAGCACACACACACACACACACACACACACACACACACACACACACACACACACACACACACACACACACACGAGAACACACACACACACACACACACACACACACACACACACGAGAACACAGGCACAGACACACACATACACAGACACACACACGAACACAGGCAGACAGACACAAACACAGCACAACACACACACGCACACGCACGCACGCACGCACGCACGCACGCACGCACACCCACCCACATTCGCGACCACTCATTCCCGGTCCCACATATTCGAGAACACCCCCACCCCCTGCCGTTGATATGCCCGTGTCCCCAGCACCCAACTCAATGTTACAATGCGTGACCCTGCTGATTGCGTGCCTCTGTACCCCGACCGTTGTTCATACAATCAACCACTGATTTGACTGGTTTGACTGGCCAAGATTCAGTTATTTACTGGTCGTCCTGATAGAGCTGGAACATTATTACAAACTGCATGCAACAAACCATTCGCGCTCTGACACATTTGATAACGCCTCCCTGTTCTACATCATTATTTTACTGTCCTGAGATTTAACATGAACTTCATATAGAACGTTTTTCGTTAAATTATGTCAATGTGACCAGACATTTTGCCATTACCCTAGATGCTTTTTGTGGATCTGACCTTTTACCAGCCTTGACTTGTTAAATAAATGAAACAAAATCTAAAAAGGGTTACGTTAATTATAGAGTATGAAAAGCTGGTGTGTACGCTTCAGTTGGGGACAGACAGGTGAGATGTGATAGGTGTATGTTGGCGCTGTTCACGCAGACATTCGACAGCCGGTATTAAACTGCTGGTTTACAAGAAATAAAGGGATTAAGTTTTAGGCAAAGCATTCACTTCGAATATCCTAACGATAACATACTAAACAATACAGACTGTTCACGTAATAATGGAACACACGATCAGGTTATTCATAATATGTATGAACCAGAGGGCTTCTGATGAAAAAAGAAACAGTAACTCAGTGGTGTTGGTGGTTGTCACGGACGCGATTCTGTCTAGCGACTGTGCTATGTATAGGATTAATAAAGCAGCGTGCATGCATTCAATTCAACGTGGCTTTCATTTGCTTTCTTGTCGAGTTCCCCCCTTTATTTCGCAGTTACAAGTGGCATGGGTTTTGTAGGAATATTCAATTGCTTTCGGTGTCAAATATATTTGAAGTAATATTTATGCAAATCTCAACATGCAGAGACAGGGATACTATTCCAGCCCAGCTTGTGGTATATACGTTTTGTGAGTGCACTGACGACTTAAAAACTAATTGGCATTGCACGCTGAACTGAAACTGCTTCCCGCTGAGACCGAGAGTTTTCAGGGCATCTGTGAAGGAATGCCATTATTTACTGCCAGAATCCAGGTAATGAGACGCTCCCTACCTGTTATTACCATTCACAGACAGGTGTATATTATAATACGCTGGCCTCCCAATTTACTGTTAACACGTCTGGGGTGTCGCAGGGACCCCCGAATCACGACCGCGCTGCACGGCGCCGGAGGTTGTGTGGGGCGACTGAGGTAGCTGCAGATTAGCGTTCGGGGGGCCTGGGGAGGGGCGTTATAGCTGGAATTGAGATCAGGTCGTGGGAACACTTGCTGCGGGGGGACTTTCTACCTGTGACACAATGACACGTTTATAGTTGTAACTCAACCGCACGAACTCCAGTCAGCGAGATCTTTGAAATAGT